TTGCATGGCATCAATTTCTTTACCTTTCCACTTTTTCTAGGGTTAGAAAATTTTCAAATGTTTTCAAAATTTTCAGGAAAATTTTTTGCACGATGCAGGTTGTTTGGTCATTTTAGTTCCCAGGCATGCCTCAGGTTCTGAGTCCTGGGTTATGAGTCCTTGGTCTCCTCTTCCGTCTCTTGAAAAATGGCACTCCTTTCTTGGCAAACATTGGCTGCCTGGGTCATCAGAAACCTTGCCAAGTCATTATGTACTGCAGATGTTCAATAGAAGATTCAAATTAGACGAACTGTCTCGGGACACCGCTTTGTGGGTGTCACGATAAGATTCCAAAGAAATTTCCTTTCTGCTCTTTTTCAGATGCATTAGTTTCTTTTTATTTAAAAGGAGCCCGCTTTAGAAAGATTTAGTGGTATTTTTCAGAGTAGAAACATTTTATGGAATAGTAAACTTTTTCAAATCCAAATCAGGACTTTTGACACAATGGTTCAATCTGAAATGATAAACATACTGGCACCGCGGAAGGGGGCTGTTTTTAAAACCATACACAATCGACTTGTTCTTGATTATGAGCATGCTTAGCGCCCCTACCTCAAAAAAAAAGTTTCAGCCCCCTCACTCTTTAATATGCTCCGCGGTTCATGAAAAACATACCAAAGGGAGTGCAGCCATTCCTGCTTCTAGAGCACAGAAACGTTCTAATGTCTTGCTATGTAAACATATTAAGACTACTTATGCTTTGGTGGCTTTTTAATGATGTGGGCTTACTAAAGGTTTGCAGTGTGCATAAAATATACCCCGATCCTACTAAAGAATAGCAATAGCCATCTATGCTAAAACAACCACGTCAGGTTTGCATGGCCAATAGGAGTATTTCACATTTCAAGGCGTTGCTTTCGTTTAATCGTACATTTACATATTCCCGAGCTACCCGAGTTTTCGTTTTTCACACAAAGTCAGAAATAAAATCAGATTCTTTTCCCCCCTAAAATGATGTGCAGTCTTTTGTTCGATGTGCAGTTTTGGATTTTGGATTTTATGGAAAATTGTTCATGGTATGCAATGTTATAACTTGGTATTCTTATAAAGGAAACTGCAGTGCATCGTCGAAAACATATACGGTCCTGGTCCCTCGGTCCTGGTCCTGGGTCCTGGTCCTCGGTCCTGGTCCTGGGTCCTGGTCCTCGGTCCTGGTCCTCGGTCCTGGTCCTCGGTCCTGGTCCTCGGTCCTGGTCCTCGGTCCTGGTCCTCGGTCCTGGTCCTGGGTCCTGGTCCTCGGTCCTGGTCCTGGGTCCTGGTCCTCGGTCCTGGTCCTGGGTCCTGGGTCCTGCCTTAAGGTCCTGGGTCCTTGTTTTCCGGTATGCCCCCTGAATCCGCCCCTGGCTGAGCTAAATGGCACGAGTAACATTTAGCTCAGCCATTTGCCTCACGTGTGCGGCGGTATTTTTGTGTGAATTTTGTCTCACGTGCCGAATTTTTAGAAATCAAACCAGTTTGATATTTTTTGTCACTCGTGGCAGTTTGCTCACCGTGTGCGGCGGTCTGAGCATTTTGCTCATCAATTGTTTCTTACAATCCCGTTCACTCCTGTTTTTTCTGCCTTGGATAAAATGTTTGAGGCTGCGCACAGGCTATTGTTATATGGCTTTATACTCCGAATGGTGTTTCATTTTGTATGGTGTTTCAAATTTCATATGATATCGCGTCATATGAAATGTAAAACGCCATACAGAATGAAACGCCATACAGAGTATCAAGCCATATAACAAGTAATGCCACGTAGAATGTGTAAGCAGTTGAAATATGATATGTTATGGAGAATTTGAGAAGCCACACGAAATGTTAGACTGATGATTTAAATGCCATAGAATTACATAATTTCATTAGAAGCTAGTTAAAGACCATGTAGAATGGGGGTAAATTGCATGTGAAATCATTAAACACTCTACAAAGAATACAGTTGTAATATAGACATAAACGACGCTCCATACATGTGAACACGGAGACATTTGATTACGTGCTTTCTAGCTCGCCAAATCTAAAAAAATTGAATGTGAGAAATTCTTGTGAGGAATCGCGAAAGCCTCTGTTCAAAAGTGAGGCCACGCCACTTGTTGCGTTTTGTTGGAGCAGTGCAAACACTTCCAGTATTCAAAGCGTATTCTTTTGTAAACGGATCCGTGCGAACGGACAGCGCTTTTATCAACGAAAACGAAGGGCAACGGTACATTTGTTCTTGTGTATATTGCGTAAACAACCTATCTGTTTATTGGCCTTGATCAAGCCTCAAGCACCTCGAGGGTTTTTCTGGTTTGGCGTGCATGTAATGCACGTCTATTAGGCAAGAATTGTGGCATGCATGTAAGAGTATTATCTCAGTGGTTAAGTTAATAACACAGAAACAAACGAATCCTTCAACAGCATCGAGGACACTGCTCACAAATATATTTCTGCGGTAAAGAGAGTGGCAGTGATGACGCCATTAAACATTTTTTTGGAATGCTTGACTTTTGACCAAATATCCTGGAAAAACACCATTAAATATCGCTAAATGTGCAAAGTCATTTAGATTTACTACAGAACGCTTGGAAAATGGCCACATGAACCAACCGGAGCAACAGAAACCATTTTCAAATTTAGGCCTTCACTGATCATATCTCGGCAAAACTATTTAAAAGATATTTAAAAGATGTTTTCTTGGAGAAATGTCAGTTTATCTTTTCATGTGGACAAAATATATTGAAATAAGCCAGCTACCTATCTACTTATATCGACGTTATCATCACAGCATTTTCTCGAATTTGGACATAAATACAAACCAGTGTAGTTAAACTGTTTCTTACACGAGCAATCATTTGTTCTTCATCTTGTCGTTCTATATACGCATTCGATAAAATGATATTGAACAACAAGATTTGCCATCTTTATTGGTTTAATTCATTTCCATGTTGTTTCTAGCTGCAAACAGGGGAGATCGGAAAATAGGATTGACTTTAAATGTTGTCTTTTAGTGACAATTTTTCAGACTGAGCCTCTATCCTTGCCTTCTATCTAATTTTCAGACTGACTTGAGAGCCATGATTTGGGGTTCTTTTTTAAAGTTGGGCCTTCATCCTAGAAGTGTAGCTACGCCTACACATAGGTTCTTGAAAGCTTGAATTGGATCTCTCCTACTTTCTGATAAGGCCTTCTATCAAGCCAGTTTTCATTTTCCCACAAAACAGTTTGTGTTGTGTGCAGCGGATAAAGCATTGCAAAGCGGCTGCTGTTCAAGGCCAAGGACTCTCTATATAATGTATGTTATAAGTTCTAGCTTGGAGTGCTCTTTTTCATATCAAGGCAATTCGAAGTCTATCGCTAAAAACATGCTACAGAGATTTTTCCAAGTGTAGCAAATTTCGCTATTAAATTGGGTCCATAGACGCTCAATTTGTTGTAGCGTCCTTAAAGTGAGGCAGTAACAATAGGGTTAACGCGCTATAACGATCGACTAACGACCAAATTGACATTGCTGGCATTTCAAATTCTTGTTCTCCTTGCCTGCCATCTTGAGGGCCATCATTGTATGGTCCAGCCCCTAATGGCTTTTTCAATTTTCCACAACGGCATCATTGACACTCAGTGTTGCCACGCTCGACTTAGCGTTTCTCCCTACTGCGCAGGCGATTTCTACCTACTTCCACCTACGCATGTCAGCGTGGATTCTCCCCACAAATCCCTACATTTTTCAAAATATCCCTACGTTTTTACCCTCGTCTACCCACACTTCTAAGGACAACTTTCAGCGAAAGTCTATTTTTAAAAGCCATAAAGATCGAGGATCATAACAATTATTCAACTATAAAAAGTAATGCTTTTGTAAGATGTTAATCTGACGTAAAATATGGTTTTGCGTTTTTTGCGGAGTATATTTTCATAGCTACTTCTTGCATTTGCATGAAAATTCAGCGAAAATTGATGTACAAAGCTATGAAAAACAAGCAATTGTTTGGCCGCAAACAAATATAAATCCCTACAATTTCCAGAAAACTACCTACTTTTCTTGATTTATCCCGTAGATTTTCCTTACAACCTATAAACTTCTGAAAATCCCCAAAGTAGGTAGCAATCCCTACGTGTGGCAACACTGTTGACGCTTGTTAAAGCTTGTTAATCATATGCGTTTTCCCGCCCTTTACATTCCCTGCATTGATACGTATCTGTACGTGCTGAAAGCTTTTTGGGTCATAGTACCCCTGTATTTTGAAATGTGTAGATCTAGGGCAGCAAAGTCTGTATACAAAAGCTAACGAGAAATCACTTTAAACTGATATGGAGTTATTGACCATTAATATTCCCACAAGAGTGAAAATATGTATGCATTTAAATTGGAGTTAATGGTTTTCACTTGTATATTTGATTAGTCTGGTCTGGGTACGACTTTCATTCAATGCTCAAGGCGTGCCTACGACCTGTCTGGAATCGTGCGTCTGTCCATACATTTAAGTTCTAAATTTATATCAAAGAGACTAACAAAGTTGTTAGTCTCTTTCGAGTAGTTTTATCTGAGAAAAAAACAGGAAACTTTGTAGGCGAGTCAAGCAAAGGTCGTTAAGAAGAGGTTTGTCTTTCGACGAGACTTTAACTGCAAAGAATATCATTATCCCGCTCACGGCCACTCCGTGGAAGAAAATATTACTTATAAGTGACTATTTGCACTTGTAAAGCTTAGGAACAACGACTTCGTTTTCTTCCTTTGAGTTTCAGTTGGAAAAATACAGGAAAACTTGATCTCAACTTTAAACCTTGTGACAAATACGTATACCACTCTTTGGAAGAAAATATTACTTATAAGTGACTACTTGCACTTGTAAAGCTTAGGAACAACGACTTCATTCTCTTCCTTTGAGTTCCAGTTGGAATAATACATGTAAACTTGAGCTTAACTTCTCAAGCTTGAGACAAACGTGGGAAATTACCCCGCTTTTGAAAAGTACGAAGTACAATAATGTGACACAGAATCGGCATGTAAAATAGAGATATCATATGAATCAATGAAAAAATCTATATATCCAACGGCAAGGTTGTGTTTGGTCATAAGACTAACCAACTACGTAACGATACAGTATTAACCACTTTGGTATAGTACAGTTGCACAAATTTAAGACTTGCTTTACAATTTAATCTTACTTAGGCACACAAATCAAATAATTTAAACTCGCTGATGCAGAACAAACGACGACTACATTTTCAGGCTTTCATAATGGCTATTAAATTACGAGAATTATATCAAATATGATGTTCTTTAGCAAATAAGGAATATGAATTGAAAGTAGAGTTGTGTTCAAACAAGTCTGTTTGTATTAGAATTTTTCATACGATCGTACTTCACGAATGAACCGGGCAAGGCAGTATGCACAAATAACTCCAAGAATCTGAAATTGAGAAAAAGAGGAACTTAATCTGTTATTCATAAAGCAATGGTTCACTCTTTTAAAGATAAGATGCATTACGGCCAGCCTGTTCAAAACAACTACTCGAAATTGGGGCTGAGTCAATATGGTTCCTGTCAGGTCCAGAAAATTTGTTACATCTTGAATATATATACTCTTATATTTCAATGTTGCTCTGAAGTAACAAAGAAAAGGCTTTTGCCAAAAAGCATTAACGTTTTAGTCAACAGTAGAAATCTGACAATTTACATAGTCCAAAGTCCTTTCGCAAAGGTGCGAGGAAGGCTCGGTCACTGATTACAAACCTAAATTTCTGTGGTTCGAGTCCCTGACAAGACAAAACTTTCCCTCAGAGTAAGGAGAGTTCCAGCTCTCTGTAATTCCAGGCGTAGGAATCACGAGGTGTTGTCACATCGAGAGGAAGGACCAGGACACTGTTCGATAATCATAGACAGCAAACAATAAAATAAAGTCCTTTCCAACTGTTAGAGAAAAAAACTGTTCAACCCAACTGCTTTTTTCCTATTATTATGTAATTCTATCCTCTTTTCAACAAAAGCTGGTAAGTATTAAGCTATTCATGGAAACTGGACCATCTTGCTACTACAATTTCTAATAAAACTCTCTTATGTTTTGAGAAAATCAGAATTTAATGCCTGTAAAAAGGAGCAAAAGTGCTATTTCAATACCTGGAAAAATGCTATTCCAAGAGCAGTTCCACCAATAATAGCAAACTTGTTTTTGAAGAACTTTTGCATTGAACTTACACAGCCCTACAAAATAAAGTAAATATACAATTATCATGAACATAATTGTATGTAGTTAGTGTCAAGAAAGAGGGGGCATCAAAGGGAAAACATTGAAAAACCAGTAAATGTTTTTCTCTAGAAACAGCCCAGATGTGCATCACTGAAAAGCGACCCCTGGAAGTTATCAGCGTAGTAAATAGGGAAAGTCTTTCAAACTAGAAAATTTTTTTCAAGGTGTTTTAAAACTAAGAAACTTAGCATTCAGTGGATGTTGCAACTGGCTCAAATGCACTGGCAGGCAACTCTCTTGCTTTTTACTCTTGGCAATTGTTCTTTGCTTCTTGCTCTTTGTCAGACTTTGACAGTCCCTTCCTATGACAGATACCAGTTTAAAGGACATAAGGTAGATAAATATCTGCTATATTACCTCTGAATACAGTTCACTTGATGCCTTTGTCTTGCAGTTCTTTGTATCTTTGCAACATGAATCTGGCACAACTCCATATTTTAGCCAATCCTTGTAACTGTCTGCACCACAGCAATGGAATGCTTTGCTTTGAACATCATCCACTGCCTTTTTTATGTCACCTTTAGTGTCATTTCCATATTTCTCAATGGCATCTCTGATTCCATTCTCCAAGCCAGTTTTTAACTAAAAACAGTAAATATGCATTTAATTGTGCTTTAATAATATGAATGAAACTTTTGTCATTTGAATGAACAAAATTTGCTACTGTGCATTGTGGTGAGTGAACACATCAAATGTAAAAAAAGTACAGGTGAATATTTGGAAATTCAAAGGAAGTCTTCCAAGGCTTGAGGAGGGGCGGGGGGGGGGGGGGGGGGGGGTGATAGAGTATTATCTGTTCATGACTGCCTAGCTTTTGGTTGTCTTGAAGCAAGACTACCAGCCAGCAATTTGTAAACAAACTGTTTAATGTAATGACATATAATGTGTGAAGCAATAATGCTTTGTTTTCATGAGCAACTTGGCCTTTCATTTAGGAATATTAGGAATATGCTCTTCCTGTTCCCTGTGAACAAGACATGATTTTGCGAGGGCATTTATTAGTCTGCATTATCATATGACCAGGGTTGATGTAAACAATACACTATAACCTCTAAAAATAATCTGACATCTCCCCTTACTGATGCTTTTCTGATAAAACATATTTGGACAAAACTTAAAGGTATGTAAAAATATTACAGGATAAAATATTAAGTGCTGTTATAACAGGTCTGTCTGCTTTCATTTACAAAAAAGCTATCAAAAAAGCCATTTATATCCACATAATATAGATGAAAATTTCCCCTTGATATTTGGGCATTTTAGTTGAACGAGGACAAGAATTTGCAAGCTGTGCAGCAAACTCATTAAAAAAGAACGACACTCAACTGACCTTATTGCGAAGCACATATCCAGCAATGCCGGCAGAAAGCTCGGCAATGAACAACAATACCAGAATGATCATGTACTGTAAGAAACAAAACAATTACTGAAACTGATGCCTTAGTAGAGAAGATTTTAAAAAACTTTATGCAAGCAAGGCATTTGTCTGAAGTTGTACAGATGCATAATCAGAGTTTTGTTGCATCTTGAAAGATCAGATGTTGCAAATGCACAAAAAACTCTGGCTCAACTTGTATTCTCTGTTAATGAAAATCAGCAGCAGGCTTGAAAACTGTTGGGCGCTTAAGGAAAAAGTTGTTGTTACCATGATTGACAGGTGCAAAATCCGCGGAATGGGAAAAGAGAACAAAATACAAAGGAAGATAAACATTGAAAATGCCTTCATTATCATTACTTTATTTATTCTTTAATTCAATTTATTATTATAATAAATTATTATTCGTTACTTTATTATTCATTATTTTTAAATTTATTATCATTTATTTCAAAGAAAAGCTTTATTGCTACCATAATTCTGAGTTTTCTGAAATGCCAAAACCAAAAACATAAATTTCTGCAAATTGCTGCTCTGACTGGCCAGACCTCATGCTCTCTGCCAGACAGAGAAAAAAGATTGTTCTATTTTGTTTTGTTTATTTAAATGCAACAAATGTAAGAAATATCTTGGAAAGTTCTATGCTTAACCACTGTTGTTGTAATCTTTATGAGATGCATTCTATAAGCAAAACTTCTTTTTGCAGAGCATCTTGGTAAGTGATGAAATATCTTACTTAATTAGTCTAAGTTTAGTTTTACAGAAATTTCTCCTTGTGCCTCTTATTGGCTTGCAAACTAAATTTCTTATTTATTTGCTTGAGCAAAGTTACATGCAAACCATAAAAATACCAGAACTGCCTACTGAAAAGCAGGCCAAACTACAACACAGACTGTAAGTCCAGAAAAAGCCCCCAGGTATCTATTTTTCTTTGAAGTGGGGCTGATTCAAAGGCAGGGGCTAATTCAAGGACTCACAGGATCAAAAATGCTTGAAAATGTTGAAACAAAGGTAGGAAAAAATTGCAGCAACATTTGAAACATGGTAGCTGACATTGTTGCAATTCATTTTTAAATGTTGCATGACAACGATGTTTAGTTCAGTTGGGCCATTATACAGGGAATCTTTACTGTAACACTGTAACAGCTCTTACCTATCAACGCAACATTTCCCAAAAATCTATAACCCAAAAGTTCTAATTTTTTTATGGGCCAAACAAAATTAAAAAAAGATTAACTCTCAACTGAAATTAAAAATGATAATAACTAGAAACCTGATATTCACTTTAATTTCTGATGGTATGAAAGGTTCAAAAATCTAATAAAGATTGAAAATGGCCATTTATCATTAAATTTACCAGAACCAGTGCCCAGGGATGCTCTTTAAGGCTTGCCCAGCAACCCAAGAATCCAACAAGAATGATGAAACTGCCACAACCAATCATGATATAAGGTGCCATGTTATAATCTATACTGGTTGACAGCTTCATGTACTTGATAAGAGAGATCCGGCTCCATATTCCAATGACTAGTAGTGCCAGCCCAGTGAGCTAGAAAATGAAACAAACAAGTGTTAATTCTGTTCATTCGATATTGGATAAAATAACAGAAAACCCTTTAGGAACCGTGAGGTACTTGTTTTTACAAACACTGCCTCTTTTTCATTTAGCTACTTGGGGGTTAGTCTGTTTGGGGTGATGAAAAAAACAAATCTTTCTAATAGGTGATGCAGCAATTTTGTTGGGGTCAAAGAGCATGACACCAAGATTTGATGACTGCAATAGTATAGGCATACTGGTTACTGTATTTTTTCAAGTAAACTTGATAACTGGAGGTTTAGAATCTGTTAGGATACTTGGGAGCATATCACCCTGTTTGAACTTTAAAAAGGAGATTAAATCTTGGGATGGAGCTAGCTGCCTCTGTACAAATTTTAAATCAACATTTGTATTCCTTTGGTTGGTAATTATTATATATTTATTTATGACCTTAACACTTATGTCATTCAGGAACCCCTGATGTCCTTCCTCAGAAAAATGTCTGAAAAATTCCATCTGGGGCACTGAAGACCCTAACTTCAACTTACGACTACATGCCTTGTAATTATTAAAACTTAGCCTGAAAGGCGTGCATGTGCTACCTACATTCTGGACATTACAGACATTGCACTTGATCTAGTACACAACATTGGATGAGTCACAGTTAAATGAACAGTTAATCTTATATTCTTTACCTGTAGTGCTAGACTTAAAATTATCGCTGTTAGACATGACTTCACACACTTGACATCTGGACTTCTTACAACACGAACTTCCCCTGTTATTGTGTCCCTTCTCCCTTCCACCAGTAAGTCTAGCCCTAACCAAGATATCCTTAAGATTCTTAAGCAACTACTGGTGGCACAGGAAACACCTCCTTGTGCTCTTCTGAACCAGCAAGCAAGGCATGGTGTTTCCTGGCAATGTTCCCCAATCCATTAAGTGCCGGATGGTATGCAATAATGAATGGAACCCTCTCAGCCCTCCCTTCGTTGGTTTTCCTATTTCCTGCATTTTCCAGAAGAGTCTCCCTGTCTAGCCTACATAACCTCTCTATTTGTTTATTAACTAAGGACTCTTCATACCCCCTATCCTTAAGCCATCCAGCGAGGTTACCTACATGTTCCTTAAACTGGTGATCATCTGAGCAAATCCCACAATACCTAAGAGCCTGACTATAGGGGAATGCCTTCTTTGTATGCCAAGGGTGACAAGACTTCTTATGTAAGAACTGATGGGTATCAGCTGGCTTACAAAATAAGTGTGCCATAAGGACTCCCTCCTCTCCTACTTTTACCATGACATCTAAGAAACTAATAGATTCAGTATAATGTTCACTGGTAAACTTAATTGTGTCATGGCTACTGTTGAGATGGTCAATGAATAACTTCAACCTATCCTCCCCTTGTGTCCAGATAAAGAAAATATCATCGATAAATCTCATCCAGACAAGGGGCTCGTCAGCAAAGGTATCCATCAACCTCTCCCCTAACCTAGTCATGAAAAAACTGGCATAGGCCGGAACAAACTTCGTGCCTATAGCCGTACCTAACTTCTGCCTATAAAACCTATCATTAAATTCAAAATAGTTATTTTCTAATACTAAGGAAGCGAGCCCAGCTAATGTGTCAGTAGCCATGCTTCGATTTTCCCGTCTATCCAGGGCCTCCATTACGGCGTCTAAACCTTCCCTGTGTGCAAAGTCGTGTCTAACAGCGATAATTTCAAGTCTAGCACTACAGGTAAAGAATATAAGATTAACTATTTGCTTAACTGTGACTTGTCCAATGTTGTGTACTTGATCAAGTGCAATGTCTGTAATGTCCAGTATGTAGGTAGCACATGCACACCTTTTAGGCTTAGTTTTAATAATTACAAGGCATGTAGTCGTAAGTTGAAGTTAGGGTCTTCAGTGCCCCAGATGGAATTTTTCAGACATTTTTCTGAGGAAGGACATCGGGGTTCCTGAATGACATAAGTATTAAGGTCATAGATAGGTTAACAGGTAATGATAGGAGGAGGGAAAGTTTTTGGCAATATCGCTTAAATACTTTCTCTCCAATGGGTCTTAATACTAGGCAGGTAGATACATAGGACATTTATATATTCTTATACGGTTTTTAATTTTTTTGTATTTTTTTATTTTTTAATGTCGGCTCTTTTATTTTAATCTTATCTTCTCATTCTTGTGTTTATAATTTTATGGCTTTCATCTGTTGTGAGACAGTCCAGGCGCGGATCTAGCCAAAATTTTGACAGGTTTTGGTGTACTTTACCCCATTACAGCCCTGTGTGTTTTTGCCCACACTTTCATCTAATATGTCGGAATTTTACTCCATTCAGCATGGCTGGCCTTTGATCCTCTTCTTGCAACTTTCATTCTTATTTTCATGAAATCTTCCGAGAAAAAACATCTAGTCCTCTTGATATAAAACCTCAGATTCTTATTTGCATCCGTATTCCATTTTGTATCATTTTGTTTTAAAGCCTCCATTCTTTCGAGCTATGGATATCGATATTGAGTATGCTTTTTGGTCACCAGTTTTTCTGGCATGAGGGAAACATATGGGCATCGGTTTTCACAGGTTTTCAGAAAACAAAAGCCACCGGTTTCAGTATTGGCGCATAGATAGCATACTCCAAGCTGTCACATCGAATGGCTGCTGATTTCCTCAATTTTGAATTCCTGGGATACTTTGAGATAAAAGATGAAGAAGCTGGGAACTCTGTCAAACTCTTGTGAAGGCTTAATTCAGTATATAAACAGAATAACTGTAGTCAGTCAAGGAGAAATGCAGCAATTGTTGCAATTGAAATTTAGATCAAAAATTCAAGATTTACAGAGAAACATAGCTCTTAGAATTTGACCGGTTTTTTGAAACCTGTGCAACCGGCCTAGATCCGCGCCTGCAGTCAACACCAGCATCTCCATCACATTCTTTTTTTTCTACCTTTCTATTCACTTCTCTCCCAGTTCCCCATGACAATCTGCATTCTTACACATTTAACAATATGTATTGTATTAGGCAAGTGTCCCCTAGGTTTCTATTGTTTCTTATTGTTCTATTGTAATTTAAGCTGATAAGTAGGCTCCTCTGATTTTGCAAAGTTATTACTGATGAAGCTAAAGCGAAACGTCTTACGAAAGTGTTTTCTTATATTTCATTTACTATCGTTTAAACATTTTACAACTATGAGCTTTTGAATACATATATATATTGATTTTGTATATGATAGCTCTGTTTGATTTGTAAAGTATTACTGATGAAGACTTCGGTCGAAACATTTACATGAGAGTGTTTTTCTTGAAGATCTATAATAAATAGACAATAAAAGACAATAACATCGACCACTCCATTTCCTGGCACATCCTATCAAAAAAGCCATCCTACAGCAGCTAAAACAAAAGATGCAGCCTTTGCATTAAAGAAAAGACCCTCATCATCTGCCACCCCGAATTATCAACACTCAACAAACGAAACAAACTTCTTGCCGCCATAGAAACAAAACACTATTATGTAACACCTAAATTCTTTTATGTACCACCTCTTATTCACCTTTTGTATAACCTCACACATTATGCAACACCTTCTGTATTGTATTATCTATTTATTTGAGGAATATTCCAGTATATCAACATCTTCTGAAGAGTGAGTTACTCATGAAAAAGGCTTGTAGAGATAAACCATGTAGTCTTATTTTCTTCAACTCTATGATATATCACGCTCTACGTGCTAACGTATTGAAATGAGACTGATGAAATGAGACAGAACTGTCAACCCTCCTAGTTTAGCCAGGAGACTCCCAGTTTTGAATGCTTTCTCCCAGTCTCCTGGTTTTTAAAATATTTCTCACGGTTTCAAAGATGTTTATCAGAATGTTTAGGAAGATTCTTCACTGAATGTTGGATTGAACTGCGCATCTGTTGCTTCAAAGACAGGTCCATTCATTGTGTATGTTTTCTTTTTACAGAGGTATAATTAAGATATTATGGTCACATTGACTTTCATGTGACAACAATTTTTTGTCAGTGCTTACTGATTAACAAAAAAGCACTAAAAGTTATTATGAAGATACTTCTCATGATCACTTTTGTCATAAACTGTTTGCCGAGCACAACATCTTATCAGGTATATTTATTCCCTTAATGAATTACTGTGATCTCCCTGATTTTGACCAAATCTCCCTGATTTTCTTTAGGAAAAATCTAAAATCTCCAGGTTTTGACAATTTAAGGTTGACAGGTCTGAATGAGACCAAACTGAAAATAAATTTGCGGCTTCATTCAATGGAAAAAATAATAATTGACAGAAAGTTTTCACGCAATTGTTTCGCTTTGTTTCAATTGTTGCAACAGACAATTGCCTTTGAATGAAGTATGCGGGAAATCAACCACGTCTAAAGCCTTTCGCTTTCAGAAGTGTGACTTTCCTTCAAATATCTTTTTCAAACGACAATCCCAAAAAAGATCTACCCTGAGTCATCCACCAATCTTACCCTGTGAAAAAAGCTTCATTTGCAGCATCATTTTTTGTTTGCTTACAGCATCGGCAATAAACTGCCTTATCTTGTTCATTTACTTTACGCGTAGACAATGCCATGTTTGAAAACAAGTATTATCGACACTGAATCGCCAAAAAAGCCCATTAAAAATTCTAAAAGGTCTTAGTATGTGATCGTTAATTTATTCAAAATTCCGCAAGATAAAAACATACCAATACAACATCAACTCACAAAATCTCTGCATAGGCAGCAGGGTATATAACTTTTCAAGAACTAGCCCACATTTTGTTCGAGACCTTGCCAACTCGAACTTAGGCCGAGGGCAGATTCGAACAATTCCAAATAAATATATTTGAGCTAGAACTAGCCCACAGACATTTACATTCAGGAATACTCACCCAGAACACAAAGTTGAAAAGAATGAAGAAAAATTTAGTGCATCGAATTTTCGAGCTGCTGGTCATCTTGGATTTGTCAAATTCCACTGGCAATGCTCGCAACCTTCTTACTAACTTGACGTAACTTTACTTCACTGTCATTTTGGTGGTAATCACGTGATTATGCAAATAAGATGTGACGTAATTATCATTCTGTCATTTGACCACTGCCCAGCACAATGTTTTTTCAGAAAATGGAGTCCAAAACGAGTCTGCTGGTTGCTTTGCAATACAATCTTTTATAGCAAAAAAGATAGAGTGCCCATCTATCAATGCAACCACGAACATTTAAAATAGCAGAGCATGAAAACAAACTGTCATAAAATTTTGTTCATTTTTCCTAAATCTTGCTGTTTTTTTGTTTGACGAAGATCACAAAGCTACGTCCAATTATGGGAGAAGCAATGAAAAATATAAGAAAATTAATATACAACGCAACTACAAGAAAATGCAGCTCGTAGGTCGTAGGTTAGCTCCTAATTCAGCAAAACCTTCACCGCAGGGGCGTAGCCTGGCGGGTAGGTGCTGCGCACCCCAAACTTTTCATTTTTCGGCAAATGGAACAAAAATTTATTTTCTTTTGCTCAAATGTTGAACGCTTCGAAGATAAGTTAGTCGAGATAAGCAAATTCATCAATATTATATACTCCATTCCCAGCCAAAAGAATTGTTGGTTCATTCTCAAATTGCCAAGTATATTTCACTGGAGGCAGTTGGGCCATAGTCCATTGAAAGGACTGGTTAGGAATCCTATTGTCTTTCGATCGCTATGTTATTGTTATGGTAATTTTGTGTCACGTGACGACGAGCCGGCATCATCTCGGTCTCAGAATAGAGAAAATTCAGTAGGCCAGAATGACAGCGTAATAATGTGATCTTTACTATCGTCTCGTTTTTTACTTCATCTTTTACATAATGCCCGGAGAAAACTGCGGGTTTCTTGGTTGTCACAATAGCAGGGCCTCATCAGGTGCAAAACTGTCGTTTTTTAAAATACCAACTAAGTGACAAAGATGGAGAGGATACACGTAATAAGAAGGAGGAAGCACGAGCTGAGTGGATAAGGATTGTGTGTAGGACAAGAGTTAAAGATGCCGATTTGGAAAGGCAGTTTCGCGCAAATACTTTTCATTTGTGCGAAATTCATTTCGATTTAGATGATATTGATGTGTTTCCTAAATTTCGGTTACCAAAGAAGCCATGGCAGACGCTCCGAGAATCCAAGTGCAAATGAATTTGGATTCAATGACCAGATCATTAACATGCAAAGGACATTGGTGCAGGGTAACACTAGGGGGAAACAGAAGACAAAATGGCAAGATGTAAATGAGGACCCATTACCAAAAAAGTTTTCAAAACCAGGTTGCTGAATTAATTCTCTTGAGTATTTAAAATTCCTCAGCAAAGTATTCATTAATATTTTGTAGCCTAAACCCCTCATTTTAAAAATAAATGCCTTTGTGGTCCTCCTTTGCAGGGAATTCACCTGAGCTATTCTATTTAAATTTCCATTTAGTATGATTTTTGTTTTAAGTAAAGAAACATTTTTATGAATAACTTGTCATGTTACATTATACCTTGTTAGATTTTAGCTAACTACCAAAAGTAAACAATTCAAATATGTGCCCAAAACAATAATAATTAATAAATTGTTAATAAATTAAATAAGGTATGATTTCCCCCCCTAATTGAGTTTTTCTTGTTTATGTCTAGCTTTGATATTGCTTTTATGTGCTGCTTTTATTGTAGTTTCTCTTAGGAATAACTGTATTAATTTATACTGATAGGCTTTTGTAGTTTTAGTTGACAAGTTGCTGTTCTGTTGAGTTGTTTTGAAATGATGTTCATCTGAACTTAAAAAACATGTGATGTCTGATCGAACCATTCGATTGTACCATTCTTGAACACTGTTATTTATATATTTTGTATACCATAAAAAGGTATATATTTTGGTACCCCCTTCCCTATCAAGCCCTCCAGTAGTTGTACAAGAAAGAGGGTAATGAAAAAATAAGGAACATTAAGGCAGCCTTTGAGACACAAAGCAGTAGGTATTATTAGAAGATAAGTTATTGTCTAAAATGAGTGCAGAATAAAAAATTCAGCTACTGAAAAGTAATATACTAAGGTAAAGAAACAAATGTTAACAAGCAGAAGAGTCTTTTTCTTGCAGTTTAAGTCCTTTTCTTAGGGATTTTTGCTTTTTAGCCAGTTTCTGCTCAATTTGATAACTTTTAAAAATATCCTTTGCATGAGAAAAGCTTCTAACTCTAACAAACATTTTAACAATATTATGTAAACAAAGACATGCACACTCTTGGTCAACCTCTGCACCTTCATGATCTAAAATTATTGAATCCCAGACAGACACAACAGTTGAGTCACTCAGCACATCATTTATAATTTCTTTAATTGGAATTGTTTTGGCTTTCTTCTGGACCTCCACACGGAATTTCATTTCAATTTTCTCGGCAATCCTAAGCAGCTTTTCTGAGGGGTTCCAAAGGCCCCCTCTATCAAGCTCGGATAAATAAGAGTTTTCTTCAATGGGAACACGCAAAGTTTCAGTGAATAAGCTCTCAATTTGCTCTTTCCAAAGTGAAGTGCTATGACCATAAGCTGACTTTTTATAAAGTTTTGATATTACAGCACCCATCACATATGCCAAAGGCCCTCTTTCTTCCTCTTTTATGAAACATATTGGTTTCTTCTTGCCTTTATCTTTCTTTGCACTATCCTTCTCTTTCGCCAAAGCGATCAGTTCAGGCCCTAATTTTACAAGAAAAAGACTTACAAGCTCCGGCTTTTGATGAGGGATTATTTATACAAATTCGCTATTACCTCACAATAGCTTGCATAAAAAGTCTCTTTACTTTTTGTAGCCAAAAATTTCTGGGCCAGCACAGATAGAACTCCGCACAAATTTCCTGGGAGTGCGGTGGGGAACGCTTTTCGGATCTCCTCTGGAAAGATCCCTTCGACTGTAACTTTGTGCAGGACCTTAGTTACCAAAGTAGAGAAATCGATATCGGAAATATATGACTGCTCCTCTTCTATAGCTATATTTGAAGTGTTTCCGTGCGTCTTCGCCAAATGCATGTTTAGGCCTTTCTTTGACTTGAATTCTTTCCCACACTCACCACAACCAAAATCATGTAGACCAATAAACTCATGTATCTCCTCGTCGGAAATAAAAGTGACATCGAATAAAAGATCCTGATCTTCTAACACAATTTCAGAGATACACAGTGATTCAGAAATGTCTAGATCAATTTCGTCGCTTCTATTCGCCATCTTTGTGTTCGCAGAGTTGATGCAGGCTCGTCGTCACGTGACCACCAAAAGGGCTTGCTCCAACATAAATCACGTGACTCATTGGACATTCCTAACCAGTCCTTTCAATAGACTATGGTTGGGCAGGCATTGTATCATTGTTAACAGGCATCTTTGGCAGCAAATCTGACGAGTAGGATGCAATATAATCAGTAAGATGCATTACAGATAAAGCACAAGAGGTCTAACAAGTCTGATTTGTTACCGATATGTGTTTTTAAGTTACCCAATTTTCACAGTAATAGCAAACTTACATGAAATATAATTTGAAAATGACAATAAAGATGATTTGGTTTGTGGAACATTGAGGTTTGATGTTGAACAAACCATCGCTATCTTGTCGATAAAAAGATAAGTTTATTACTCTTATTGTTTCAGCATTTCTCTAAATTTAAAATTACTGCGGAAAATGACTCACTGTAGGTTTTTTAATAACATGGGCGTGGCGGATGCTTGGAGGGGGCTTAGTATGGATCTCCAATGAGTATTACACTCTTTTTTATAAGAACAGTTTAAAAAACACGAACCTCAAAATTGGTAAAAAGCTAAGAACAAATTAAGACCAAGCTGTAGTTCTGGCAAGTTTGTACACTTACCGAAAAAGCACCTCTAAAGTATCTATCAGGTCCCCCTAAAAACAGGAAAAAACTCTTTGGGGAACAATTTCACTCGGTTCTGCCTATCCTTTGTAGGGATCTTAGATAAAAGGGCGGCGAGTATGAGAAAGAGATTGCATAGGTGTTATTGCATCAATTGTAATACAAAGTTTGTTTGAATGAACATAAAAACCCTTTCAACTGTTTTCTAATATGTAATCAAACTGTAATTTAAGCCTAGCGCACACTAGCGATTTTTGTCGCCAGCGACGGCGATTTTTGTCGCTGGCGACTAAAATCGCTAGTCTGCGGGGAAAAACATCGCAGGATTTTTGTCGCCAGCGACAGAAACAAATATCTAACATGCTAGATATTTGTTTTTGTCGCCAGCGACTAAAAACTGAAAATCGCAAGTGTGCGGGGCGCAAAAACAAATTCTTGTTGATCAGCCAATCATTAAGTGTTTTTAAGGCACGTGGAAAGTGTGTTGACAAGATGGAGGTCACAGGAACATGCTCGTTTTCTTGGACAACGCATTAAGAGGATTTGTTAGTCGATTTGTAGCGCGAGAAACCCTGCTTGTACGCCATATCCTCTCGACAATACGACGATAGGACGGCAAAAGCTGCAGCCGTGGCTGAGCTTGCTGATGCACTTAGTGCCACGATCGGGTACTACTGCTCTCAATTATTTTTAAACGTATTTGGATAAACACGAACAAGATTTCTCTCTCATTGCACTAACAACTGCACTTTTATTGATATATCCTTTTAGCAGTATGGGTTGCCTATAAGCGAAAAATCTCGTACGATGTAGGTTTTACTATCTACTAGCAACTAACAGTAAAACAGATAACAAACAAATTGTGAATAAAACTCATGTGTTGGGTTCTCTACAGTACAAAAGAAAAGAAAATAAAATAAGTAGCATAATTTAGGCCAAGCTAAATCTACAATTTTGGGCCTAATTTTTTGCCATTAAATGTGGCCTGGTTGAATCAAAGCTGGCAATATTTTTCTTTGTTTTTGTCTAAATTTTCCCATCCCGTAATATCTGAGGATGTCCAGGCACATGCATGGGTATTAAACAAATTTGATTGTTAGTTTCTGGTCATTTTTATCGAGGTTCATTATGAGGTGGAGACCAAAAATCATTGGCCAAGGCAGAAAAGATCGCAAGTGTGCGGGGGAAAACATTTAGTCGCCAGCGACAAAAATCGCCGTCGCTGGCGACAAAAATCGCCGTCGCTGGCGACAAAAATCGCTAGTGTGCGCTAGGCTTTAGACCCCGTTTACACTGTGCCGGATAAATTTTATCCGCACAAAATTGTTCGGATTGATTTGCGTTTACACTGTGCCGCACAAATTTTGTCTACTTTGCCCTCCCGTTTACATTGTGCCGGATAACTGCAGCCACGTGATTTAAATTGTGCACAGAACGTCCAAAACAAAGTCATCTCTGGGCAACAAATAACAACTAAATTCCCGCCAACGTAAAAAGACTTTGAATTCTCTCTTCAGAATCATCTGCTTCTCTTTCAGACATAGTCCGAAGATATTGTCAAAACAAATTAGGCAAAGTCAGTTTTAATAATTCATTCTGTGAAAAAAATGACGCTGAACTAGCGAAGAAAGTGGGGAAGGCTGACAAAGATGCCAGTTTAATGTGGATTGACGAAGGTACTGCACTTTTAACAAGAGTATTTAGCGACTAGGAGACAGTGAAAACTAAATAGGAAGAAATAGCCAATCGCTTTCGAGCAAGATACGATGTGGATAAAATTTATCCGGATAAAACCGTTTACACTGTACCACATAGCTATCCGAACTAATTTAATCCACTTTCCTAGGTGAACTATTTTTGTTCGGATAGCCGCTCTCAAATTCGTGTGGATAGCGTGGGTCTAGTGTAAACACGACGTCTATCTGAACTAATTTTGATGCGGATAAAATTTATCCGGCACGGTGTAAACGGGGTCTCAAACCTGTATGGTCAATGCTTCATGTCTTGGGGAAATTAAACAATGAAGCGCAAAAAACACAATTTATTTTCTTTTAGATTGAATTTTGGCCAACCAAGCAGTTGAAAAAGGCACTTTATCGCCTACTTTGATAATGTGAAAAAAACGACTTTGAAAACAACAGAAAAATGATAATGCACTGAAGGAGCTTCAATCACATGAAATCAGTGGCGGTTTTAGGGGTCCAGGGCGGCCATGGCCCAAGACCCTACGCACATGGGTAACCAGAATAGGCCCCCACACAAAAGAAAAATATAAAATTTAGAAAGAAAAAAAGGCGCGCTGACGTTTTCGGCCCCAGGCCCACAATACCTCAGACCGTCTTTCCATGAAGTTTTGTGGAATGGAATAGGTTCTGTAGTAGTCTATGTGCACCCTCTACGTTCCTGGCGTAGAGGTAGCACTTCGTCAGGAGCGTAGAAGCTGCATGCAGGCTGATTCTGTAGAGCATAGAGATAAATATTTCTCAATGCAACTGAGGCTAGCAATCGATTTTTTCTTCAATTGCCCTCTTTCAAACAGTATGAATGGTAAATACATAAAGATGTAAAGCTAGGTATAGAAATATGCAAGTATAATTTTTTCTTTCATAGCAATTATTTTCTTTTCTACTTTGAAGACCGTTCTATTTCGATGTCCATCATTTCTTAAGCCCGTAATTGTGAGGATTATGCATGTCTCGACAGAGAACTGAGAAACCTGCCAAGGGTCCGAATGGAGCTTACAGAAATGCCTGCTAAAATGAGATCCAATATTACAGATTCCGAATCTGATTCATAACAGAACTGCTGACATTCGGTATGGTAAATTGTCCCACTAAGGCCCCGTTTACACAAGTCCGGCTAGATTCCACTCCGGGTCAGGTCAACAAGCTGCAGTAAAACAAATTTACGCTTACACGAGCCCCGGTCAGCTGGTTCCTTTAACGGGTTGAGCTCACCCGGGTTAGCTTAACTTGTTAGCTCAAATGTAAAAACGAAGTGTTTACACGAACCCGGGTTTAGTAGCCCCGATTTCACGCGAGAAAACTTCAGAAGAAGGCAACCTGTCAAACCTACCGCCAAGAAGGGTTACATGGAAAGGCGGGTTGACCCGGGTTGGCTGCTATTATCATGTAAACTTGAAGAGATTTGACTGTAGACGGGTTGACTCTTTAGGGCGGGCAGCAGCAAATCTGAGCGCGCGTAAATGGGACCTAAACCAGTTTTAAATACTACGTCATTTTGTTATTGATAAGAAATAAGAAGCTACAATTTGCTAATAAAAAAAGAATTAGTAACCTAGTTAAAATAACAGTTAGCTATGCAAATGATCATTTGGTAAAGCTATTCAAATTGTACTTGTTGGAAAGCTTTTCGAATTGTGTATGTTGGTTTCTATGGAAATCTACCGTTGGCTCAACACGCTCCCCAGATAACTTGCCAATTTTACCCAGCCCAGTCCCAACAGTATTTCTAAAGAAGACATCTAGTAAGAAATCTCTACTGACGGGAGTTTATAATTAGAATGACCTTGCTATACCCTTTAAAATAACAATATCGACACCACACAATCATCAAGTACAATATTACATCGACACTCACATATATTAACTTCGAGCGCTTAAGGTACTACAAAATAAAAAGCCACCTGATTAAACCTGCAGTAGGACAGGACATAACACTAATATGCAAGTTCTTTATTAATTTATTGGTATCGATTGGGTATTATGTAGATGCTCACTTTTAGCAAGCCAGAGTTTTATGTCAATCTAATTGCCAGTAAACAAAGGCTATTTCATATTTCATATAAAGGTTATTCATTTCTTGAAAAAAGAACTACAAGAAAAGGTACTTCCATCCTGCATGTAGTCAACAATTTTATTAAGCAGCATAATCGCCTGCGATTGCTAGCTGTGCTCACCTAGCAGTAACACGATTGCAAATTAGTGTCTTGTCCCAATGAAGCCTAGTATTACTTGCCAGATTTGATAACTAAAACAAATTATTTGATTCTGAGAAAAGCATTCTAAGAAAGGGTGTAGCTGGTAATGAAAAACAACACCACGTGATTAAATATAAAAAAGTAAGAAAATGACAAAAATACAAAAGCCAAACCTTAGGATCTTTCTAATTAAGTGGCGAAAGTGTGACACACAAGAGAAACATATTGTTTAGTTGACATCTTGCGGGAGTTATGCTTTTGGTTGTCTCACCTTGTTTAATTTTCTCAAAAATTTGCTCACAGAATAGGAGACCAGCTATTACTTGTTTTGCAAAAATGTTGTCATTTTGCGCATTATTACATTTTTTGCGATCAAACTAACAGCTTTATTCATAAAGCAAAACTAAACATCATTGAAAAAAGAGAACCGAGGAACTTAGTAAAGTTAAGCAATCTACAGAAAGGGGAAAGGATACTGACAAGGAAGGAGAATCGCTGCCAAAATTTGTTGATAGAAAATCTGAGAAAATCCTAAATCGCCACTACCAATATCCTATTTCTTGATTCCAAAATACTTTTGTAACTGAGAAACTGAATAGATAATAGTTCGCCATGTTTCTAGTTCTTGTTACTTTAGACTTTTAGCCTACTGCTTTGATAGGACTCTCCAACACCCAAAAAATGAAATAATGGCTTGCCCATAACGACATAATGCCTAACACTTTAAAACCAACAGAAAAGGTCGTTATGTCTTACAAAACTAAGACTTTGAAGAAATATCATTTACAAAAAGGCATTTCTATTACAACTTAGTTCGAGCTGACGTAAGGTGTAATTTTCAAGAGTAAACTTCTGATGTGAGATCTATAATCCATTTCTTAATTGCAGTTTTGTTATCCGAGTAGGTAATTCAAAAATGCTGCTTCTTGAAATTTAGATCTCGTCACTTCATCTGTTGAAGTCAAAACCCAGTCAGATTTTTACTATCATAGAGGCAATTTCATTGCAATTAATTGCACAGCGACCTAAAGAAAATCGTTATACCCCTCTGTACTTCTCGAGTTCTGTTGGAAGTATTGTCTAGTTACACCAAATCTTCTATATAAAATTCTATCATTATAGCTAGCTAAATATTTTTCTGCTCTACCAGTAACGAAATTCATTTCGTAAATCTTACAAGCATGCTATCTGTTTACAAATAATTTAATACAACCTGACCAGTCTGCAGATGCAATTACATGAAAGTTCTCTTGGAAGGTCTCCGCAGTTGCTGCGTCAGTTAAGTCTTTTTCACATTCTTCATCCCTCGTCTCGGTATCCGAAATAGAGGCTATCAATGAAGGTATCGGCGCGAAAACTGCAGCAGTGACGACAGCATCGTGTGCTAGAGGAGAAACACAAAACAAATTTAGTAGGTAGAATATTGCAAACCGTTACAACTCTTAATGGGTACTCGACACTTTTAAAGGCAAAGTGGCTTAAGCCATTTGTCAATCAATATTAGCCAATCAAGGAGATTGTGAGTGGAATCACACTCACTGATTGGTCATTTTTTGATTGAAGGATGGCTCAAGTCTCTTCAGTATCGGTCGATGACGTTTAACTAGGGAGGAAGTTCCTCAGATCTCAGGTAGATAAAATCAAGAATTTACGAACAAGATGACCTGATTAAAGGACGTTTCCAAATCCATACAGGAGGGTTCGAAAACGTACGAAAGGCGTATTTGTGCAGCCTCATAACAAGAAAATACTCTACTATGAGGTCTAAAACGCTGGATAATTATTTCATGATCGGTCATTCCTGTTATCATATTTTGAATAGCTTGGATCTAAAAGAAGATAGACCATGATTATGGCAGGTATGATATGAAAAATCTATTTAACTTCAATAAACCAGTTATCTTGAGGTTCTTACTAAGATTCTTGAACGGTAGAAACACCGGTCAATTCTTGTCGAAGATTGGACATTCTTGAGGCCCCATCCCCTAAAATGTCTTGTTTCCGCCCGTGAGCTTGAGGACTTTTTCAGTTACCGTCTTGTCTTACCCTGGAGTTCTTATCATAGGATTCTAAGTCTCCGCTACGACCCTGAATCAAAAAGGAAGAAAATTCTTACCTGAAAAACTTTCATAATATTCATTCCTATCCTTGCGGACATTTTGGACATCGTGGTAAGTCCTCCAGATATAAACGAATTGATCTTCTGATCCACATATAACATATCGGCCATCAGGGCTAAGGATCAGAGGGCAATTTCAGAAGAAGTGAAGACATGTTAAAATTGTTGGCCTTCGAGTTTGACATTCTAACAAGAAGGGCATCGTATGCGAACTATTTCCCCTTCTAATCTTTAGACTAAAGGGCAAAAGCAAAATGAACAGGGAAGGGTAACAATGAAGGAAATGGGTAAAAATACACAAGTAAGGGTAAAACGGCAAGGAAATACTAAATGTACGGGCCTGTACGGGGATAGGTAAAATACAAGGGAAGGGTAGAAACACACGAGAAAGGGTAAAACACAAGGGGTGATACAAATAAAAGGTCAAGGGTTGAAATACAAGGATAAAAATACATAGGAATAGAAAAACAATACACGGAAAACGTAAGAATAAATTTATAAAGGTAAAATTCACAAAAGAAGGGTAAATACAAGAATACCTCATATGAATGTTATTCATAAAGGAATAAAGAAAGTTTAGTTATAAATTTTCTTGCAAGAAAAATGCTTCGAGGGTATGAATACTCAAACATCAGATCCAAAGTGACAGACCACCCTTTGGTATACTCCCCCTGAGCACCCAACAAAAGCTTACTTTAAGGTAGGTCGGAGGCTTCTTATCCCTGGTCTATTACAAAACTCTTTGTGTATAACCGGAGCCTAATACACTCTTTTTTTATAAGAACCAGTAAATTTGAGTTCAGGCTGACTGTTCTTAATTTTTTCGAAAATCTGAGGCTGGATTGTTCTTAATTTGTTCTTAAATTAAGAGGGTGTAAGCAGTGCTATTGCTAGCTTTTTCGCTCTAAGGAGGTGTTCAGGCCTCATTTGCCAACAAAGTGAGTGAGACAGCCTTCATTTGCTGACAAATTTGAATATTCACCGAAAAGCACCCACACCTCGCTAAAAATCCTCGATTTTGAGAAAAAACGTAGTTCAAAATAGCAATTTGCAGAAGCTCAGCCTCAGCTTGTTCTTAATTTGTTCTAAACTTTTGACCAGTTTTGAAGCTCGTGTTCTTTAAATTGTTCTTATAAAAAAATAAAATTTTTTTTAGTTAAATTATTTAGGAAACTTTAAATAAAATTGTTCTTATAAAAAAGAGCGTAATTCGACTAACGGCTGATGTTTCAAATATTTCTTATTTCGAGCAACATACTCCCTACAAAAATAGTCGTGTAAATAAATAAACTTTTGATGATTAGAGTTTTCGGCAATTCCAACAAATTTCTTCTTTTTTCAAGATTGGTCATACGGAGTCAAAATTATGGCAATGGATGCCCCGCAGTGGCTTCGTTGATTACTGTAATGTATTGACTTTCAACACCATGCCTACGCAGGTCCCATGGTGTAATGGTTAGCACTCTGGACTTTGAATCCAGCGATCCGAGTTCAAATCTCGGTGGGACCTTTTTCATTACCCTTTTTTCTTTTTCATGTACATGTAAACATTTGAAGCTCATTTTAAATTTTACACACATCTGAGGATTCAAAAATCTGAAAAATCCAGTTTCGGAGTTTCTAAAAATCGGATCAACAACAAAAACCAGACGTCAGTCGACTTGCCTCGTTGAAATATAATAACGATCAATGTAAGTAAATTGCACCAGGGAAAATTTTTTTAAAATAAATAACGACATCGTACAATTTACTTACAATGATCGTTATTATAGCTTTATATTGTACCGCACGCAATATAGTATATTTATTGACTCGTTGAAATCTGCAGAGGGGGGGGATATGCAACTAATCATTATCAAGCTGTGGTAGTTTTATTCCATGTTAATATCCCCAAATAAAAACTTATTCTGCTATCAAGGGAAAACCACAGTGGCTACTGAAGGTTTATTTCTCTTAAAAACCTTTGAAAATTTGTTTGTATTAACAAGAAAACACCCACTGCAAAATATTCTGAATTCAAAAAGCAATTTTTGAATTCATTCATTTTTTATTTTTTGAGTGGAAAATTAGAAAAAATGCGGTTAGAATCAAGGATACGAGTTAAACTTACTGTATTAAAAAACTGTTTCCGTTGTGGAACTTTTAATCTAATTTTAGTTGTAGTCATTGGAACCAATAATCCCGAAAAGTTCTACGCTGAAATGTGAATGCCTGGAGCTACAAATATTATGCTAGCGTAAACATTGTACTTGGTCTGAGAATTGAGATCTGGGTAACAGGGACATGGAAAACAATCCTGGGGCTTTGCTTATCATTGCATTGAGCGAGGAAGGCTCAAACGACCGGGGATTAGACTTTGTTCGAATAAAATCCCCAAGGCAAATATTCATTGCAAAAAAAGCAACAATGTAGATCAAAAGAGAACTGTTGGAGTCATAACGATGATCCAAAACAAGATAAGTTAAGAATAAGAAACAATATTTAAAAAGTACGTAAACAAAATGAGAACTAGAAAAGGAAAATAAAAAATGACCCCATGTAGCGGAAGAGTGAGAAAATTGGAGAAAATTTTCCCTTTTTGTCACCCTTTTTGTCACCCCTTTTTGATCACCCTTTTTTGTCACCGTGCATACGAGAAAATTAAGAGATTCTTACCTAAAACTTGCTTTAATCTGGCTACTCATATTGCTTGCCCCTCTGTATTTACAAAAGAGTGAATGATCCTTCAGGTCGTAGATTCTGACGCGAGAATCGTTTGAAGTTACCAAAACCTGATGAAAAATGAATAATAACTCTTTGGAAGGTTGGAGAGATGATTAGGGTGTCAAAAACCTTTTGTTCACGGGCACCAAAATTTGATGTAGGGTCAGAAAATGACTGCATAATTACCATGAAAAAATAGTCATGTGTTTTCTTCTTTGCTTAGATGCAAAAAAGCAGAAATAAAACAGAAAAAACCTTATATTAACTGAACACTCCATTAAAACAGTATATCATGTGGAAAATTGACTTGGGTGCATTTTGAAACTAAATTTGACGTCTTCATAAGCTCATCGGTCTCGGTGACTCATTTATTGTGGTCGTAAAGCAAATGATTTCACCATTGCCTGGATCTAAGAAATCGATGTCAGTCAAAAACGAGATTCACCTTGTCCTCGCCCGGCATCGGCTCAATTCCGCTTATTTTTCTTCCCCTGGCGTTTTTGCCACGAGTTGATCTAACTGTTACCTGTGTGTGGTATTTCAGCCTCTGCAAGATTGAGAAAAAAATGCATGAAATTTAAAAATAAAATGAATAATGCACCAAGAAAAGCGAATGCGATGTCTGTGAATTAATAAACCTCAGCCATATTGCTGTTGATCTAGGATTTTTTTCAATTTCTGATGGTATTTTAGTTCCAAGCAGCATTACAATGTATTCCCTCTAAAAAACTTCAAGTGATACTCAATATGCCTTCTTTCAAACCAAGCTTAATAAGATTTTCACCATGTTTCAAATTAAATTTCAAATTCCGATCAATTAATGCGAAGTATGTTTGAATAAACGTAGTACATTTGACATAATAACTGAGATTTTGTAGTTGCTTTATTCCATTCACAAAAGATGAATGAAGTAAACAAGACTGAAAATGGAAATTTAGGTTTAGCAACCAAATCATAAAAAGAGAATTTACATATTGCATGGGAAGTTTGAGCAACAGCAAGCAAGAACAACAATATACTTGGGCCACTACAAACTTGAGTCATGACAATCTGAAGTTAAAACAATCTGGCTGGAGCCACATAGATACAATAGTCGGAAGTTACAATAACTGGAGATACAACAAACTTGAACTGCAACAAGTTAGAGCAGCAACAACCTTAAGCTAGAACAAACTTGAGCCACATTCAGTTAGGCTGGAGATGAAATAGTCTGAAGTTAAAGCAATCTAACAAGCTTGAGCCACAACGGGATGAAATCACTATAAGCTTGAGCCATGATAAACTAAAGCTAAAACTTTCTGGAGCCATAACAAACATTGAGCACAACAAGCTAGAAAAACAGCAAGATTGAGCTACAACAAGCTTGAGCCACAACGAAACGGAGCTACTAAAAGCTTCAGCCAAGAAAAGCTGAAGCTAAAAAAATCTGGAGCCACACAAAGCTTGAGCCGCTCCAAGATGGAACCCCAACGAGATGGAGCCATAAAAGCTGCAGCCATAAAAAATTGTCTCTTACCTCAGTGTCATAAAATATACAACGGCCATCGTAAGTTCCAACTACTGCTAATTTCCCGTTCTGACAAAAATTTGCAGCGGTTATCAAACTAGTACCTGCAATGAAAATAATATGAATGAATCGAACTATGGAGACTGACACTTCTGAAAACAGTATTTCTAGTCACTGTGGCTATGGGGCAGACAGTACACAGTACAGGTAGTAAATGTTATTAGGTAGCAGATTTTAAGCGCTACTCAACAAAATAAGCCTCTAAATTTACACGTGATTATTTACGATTCTGACCAATCAAGACCTGTTTATAGGCCACGAATCTAAAAGCAATTATAAACATGTTAAATGAAGGAATAGACAATGAAAAGACATGGCAGTATTTCTTGAAAAGAAGCCGTAGGTCACTCGTCCTTAATGCATGCAGCTTCCTAAATCAACCAATATTACAGGGATACTGTTCTTATTGATACTAGGATATAAAGACTTCATACCTGAACCATCGATTTCATTCCATAATGCAACTCTCTTTTCTGGTATGTTCCAGAGTCGGATTTTCCCGTCTAAGGAACCGGATAGAAAATACCGGTCATCCTAAGAAAAAAGTAACAGAACAGTTAGATTGGAAGTCCAGAGGATTCAAGTACGGTTTGGTAGACAGATTGAAATTAATTTAGTATCACTCATGGGCATTTTATGCAATCTGTAGCGGATCTAACTGATCTTGTCGATTCAGATGCATTTTACAGTGCTGTTTCGGTTATGTAAGCAATTTAAAAATTCTGAAGATAGGTTTTTATGATGCCATCACTTTGACACTTTATACTACTGCTTCTTATAAAAGAGAAGATTTATTTGATGAACTTTCGTTCAACAACAAATCTAAAAATGGTTCTGTATTATAATAAGATTTTATATAAAAAGACAAAGCGGAATATTTTTCAGGGCACTTGCAATGTTCCATCATTAATTTTGAAGTTACGTTCCACGTAAAGTAATCTGTTAACCTACGCAGATGAATCACAGGAAAGAACTTGTGAAAAAGACGTGAAAAATGGAGCTTAGAAGATCAACAAACGATCATTTCAGTAGCATAGGACATGAAAATGCCAGACATATATCATGGCTGCGAAAAAACCTTTTTCTTTTAGGGAGCCGATTGAAGAAGAGAAAAATTTCCGCCAGATGAAAGGATTGCAGTGAATTGTTTTGATAAACTGGGACAAATACTTAACAGAAATTTAAAATTCAGTTGAGATTCGTAGCTTTTGAGTATTTCATGGGCGTTACAGCTAGAGGCATAGTTAATTTTTATCTAATATTTTGGCGTTTAACTTGTGTTTGTATCAAGGCACTTAGCAAAGAGATTACATTCTAATTTCTTCTTTGGATTAAACTTTTAACATTAGTATTTTCCCTTATTTGTAATTCTGATATAATACAATAAAGTTTCTTATTTGAGCTGAGTGTTCTACTTTTCACTGGCATTTTGGTGCTATATATCTGTCAACTTAATAAATTTTGACGATATTTTTTGCAGCCCTGGGATAAAAGAGAAGCCGTTAAAGATGGCATTATGATCAATCTTAATGTCCCATAAGTGGGTTTCAGGCAGGCAAATCGTGCGAAACAAACTACATGCGAAACAACGAAACTGATTTTTCACACAAAGGTCAAGTCTGTGAAGTCGGTGCAAAATTCCTGTTGTCATCTAGCCTCGTTGCCCCTTACCCACGAAGCAAGATCTATCAATTAAACGAGGTTGCTTGCATGGATGCCCAGTAACAGATCATATGTAGCTAGGCAGGTTTAGGGTAACTAAAATAGCGAATCGCTAAATATGGAAAAGTTAGTGTCGATTGTTCTTTGTTTACCTCTTTATCAATGTTTTAAAAAATAATTCTGATAAACATCATTGAAATATTAAATTTCAAATGAATGAAAAACAAAGAAAGACATTTGTCGTACAGGTAAAAACCTGCTAGAAAATAACGTAAAGGATGATCTTAAAAGCTCTTGCACAACCGGCATGCTTTGCGAATATATCGTACCGCATAAAAACAAGCCTAATACCGTACAAGCCTAATTTTTAAAAACATAAAATACGGCCCATTTCTCCTCGTGTAAAAAAACAACTACCGCAAAGCATGCTGGTTGCCTAAGAGTTTTGAAGACTTATAAATAAGGGTCTCTATGAAACACATTGTGCAAAAAAATATGCAAGGGTAGGCACTCACTCTTGGATGAAAGCAAATAGCAGTTACAAAATCTACGTGTTGAAAGCAGCAGAGACACTCATGCCGAGAAATGTGCCAAAGCCTAAAACAAATATGTAACGGACGTCAAAGATAAGAAATTAGAAAAGCAGAATAGCTTGTTTTTGGATATGGTAAATAGTGGTTGTTTTAATATACAGGGGTTTCAAAATGAAATAAGATGAATAGGGACGTAAAAAGGTGGGAAAGGCGAAGCTTTCAAATACTGAAATTATCTTGCATATGATACTTTACAACAGTAACAGAAATAATAAGCTGAAAATGTCTCCAAATATGCATTATCAAGTTCCCTTGTTTGAATTCCATTCCATCCAAATTTGGAGGAAATTCTGCCAATAATTTTAACAAACATATTTCAAAGCTTCTGCTTACTTGGTGGCCAAGAGTAATGACATAATTGCATGACTTGCTTAGCAAATATATACAACATACAGGTTGTGAAATACAGGGAAACGGTACTGGAGAGATTTTGCAACTCACAAGTATGGTTGCTACCATGAGAATGAAGAGTAGTCGGTCAGGAATGAGTTAGTGGATTTGAAACGATATGAATACGATATGCTTCAGCTAGCCAAAATGCAGTATATGCACTTCATAAAATAAACATAAATTTTCACATTTCAATTGATAATCAACTGCGAAATAAACAATTCAGATAAAAAAATTCCGATGCTATTTGATAAGGTAGGGGAGCGGTGACAAAGTTTCAAAATCCAATGAGCGGAGGTTGATATAAACAGAGGTGCTGGATATGTGGGTAGGCCAATAGATTCTGATAACATTCTTCACACTGAAAAAATGCTTCCAGATGTTCAAAATATTGTCTATTTTCGTCCAAAATATCGTCCAAAACATATACAGACGAGCTTGAAAAGGGATGTGCAACTTCAAATGACAACCTTTTCTATTTCCACAACTCGGTCGTAATATCAAAGACAAGAGATATTGACCATAAACAAATTGAATCAGACGACGGCATGAAAGAACTGTTGCAGGTCAAATGTTGAACACGTGCCACATTTTTAGAAGAACATCAAACGTTGTCTACATCAATGTGTACCAGTCTTTTTGGTGCGTGAATGCCTGACCTGTCTCTTGCTATTCATGCCAAATTTAGAGTCACAAACATCAATTTCCAATATCCTTTTTAACTTTCCTCTTCTTTCCTTTTACAAATCCTAAGAAACATTCTTTCAATTTTGTGACTTATGAGGCATTATCTATCAACACTGCTCTTTGTTAGTCGAAGTTGAAGTTATTTGGAAAAGAGATGAAAGTCAAAGAAACCAAAAACAGTTTATGGGTGTAGCGGCAAAGAAAATTTTTGGGGGAGCACCAAAATAGAAAAATGTCAAATTTAACTTACCGTACAGTTTTGTCCATTGATGACGAGAGAATGAAATAGTTCTACAAAAAAAGGTTTTTTAATGTCAAATGGTTGTTACTTTATTTTTATAAAAATATATATCAAATGATGCAAATTAGAAGGTGAAACAATTCAAAACTATTATGTTAAGTACATGAACGCTAGAACAAGGGTTACCAGAGGTTTACTTCCGAAATGGGGCAGGCCAAGGCAGAGGTTCCCGGGGGCACATAGGAACCATTTGAAAACAACATGATTGAAGTAGTCACACGAATCGCTGCTAGTGCTAGGTCTTGGGCCGCCAATGCTGGCCGAATACACTCTTTATACAAGAATATCGTTTATAATAATTTTGCTCAGTCTAGCTCGCGCATCTATTTCAAATTTTCAGCAGTTTTGCAATTTTCATAAAAGGAAATCGCAGAACTGACATATTTCGCTCTTCAAAAAGCTTGATTTCTATTCAAGGGCGGGCAAAGTTCCTTTGCAACCATATCAGATTTAAGAAAAAATAAGAATACCCAAAGAATATATTCGGGCTCAAAACGAATATTTCTTAAAAAATATCGAAGCTGGAAACATTTGAAAGCTTTCTTAGAAAAAGAGGAGTGCAGACAAGTCTAAGCGTACCCAATATTATTGGAATGCGGGGTTATGTCTCAGCTTACCCTGGGTTCCAGAGCGTCAAGTGTAAGAGCATCAAGCGTAGCAAGTGGGGCGCAACACCCTATTTTCTCGACGCCCCACTTGCTACACTTGACGCTCTGGAACCCAGGGTAGTCTCAGCTGAGAAAGCAAAGGTCAGATGTCTATTTCTTACGTTGCATAAAATACCAAACGAACTTGCAGAAAAGGCGTTCTAGAAGAACGTATATAGCTCTGCCGAATGAGCCTTTTAGAATGTAGAAGTGCAACGGTTGAAGTTTTTAAAAGAGCCGGTCAATATAAAAGTAGCCCTTTATTGGTTTATACAGTCTCCAAATAGGTCACTAGGAATTTATAATGCTTTTCTCAGACAGACTTTAATTCATTCATTGGTTTATAAAAAGAATTGAGCTTCAAGTCATGTGGAAGAAGATGACATTGTTGTTTAACTACAATTTATTTGATTGTAGAAAAAATGCGGGAAAATTCAGCCCTGAATATTGTTTAGGCGGTGTAATGTCAACAGAATTTTTGATAAAGAGACTTTTAGATATACCCAAGGGAGTGGCAAAGGGGCTGGATGGGGCAATCCCCATTTTTGTTCAACTACAAAACACATTCTTCTCCGGAAGTGGTTTTAAGAATATCTCTTACAAAGTTTTTAAGGAGTGAATCTTTTTAATGCCAAGATCGCATTATGGAGATACCCTCAGAAATAGTCCTTGGAGCCCAACCCAAGCCGCCATTAACTATGAATTTACTCGACAGGCAAATCACTCCATGAAAATCCCGTACCCCATTGATGGAAATCCTATCCTTTTTCTGAAATTCCCTGGAAATTCTTTTGTTTTGTTTGAAATCTCGTATGCAATTTATAAGAGTAAGGCGCCCTCGAATTTACTCTTCTGAAGTCGCTGGTAATGAGGAGGGTAAACATTAGGCGGTTAATTTAGTTTAATTGCGTCTAAAAAGTAATTCATTATCATAGTTAAGCTAAGTGTTTGCATTTTCCAGAAGCTTTGGTACACAACTTTTTGTTTTAATTGTCAGAAAGATGATTTGAGATGTCAGTGGAAATGGTCTAAAATAAGAAGTGTAAACAAAGAAGTGCAAATCGCCAGCGGTTTTAATTCGAATTTGCTTTTCAATCAAATTAGTCCATCCTTTGTGAAAGGCTTTTAAAAGCTTCACAAGCAAACGAATCATGCGGAAAAACTGTCGAAGATTCAAAAACTTCCAAATATTTGCTTTAAATAAAACTAGTGTTAACAAGTAAAGAGCACATAAAAATCTCGTTTTATAGAAAAGGGTGATACACAAATAGGTAATGTGAGAAATCAGTTGCTGAAGCATCAACAGCTGTTTTAGGCCACTGGCGGACATCAAAACTGTACCACTGCTTCACTGATCAGTGCATTACTTTCAAAAATCGAACAACTTCTGGCGCTTAAGGTACGTAAAAACCTCGGTAAAGCATGGTGTGCAAATAATTATAAGCGGGTCGGCAATTCAGGTTACTTGCGAGAAGTCCTTGTGGCGAAATGCTTCGCGTTTGCAGTTAACTGAACAGCCAGGCTGCATTTGAAAGTATTGCCCCGTTTATTTGGTTTATAACATTTAACGTTGACATTGTAATAACTAAGATTTTTCATATTTGACTTAAATTTGATAAAGACATCGAGGGATCTGCGGAGACAGTCGCTCTAACCAGCCCTTACCAACCAACAGCTATTTTCAATCTCCTTCACCTTTGGCAAAAATCTTGTTTTTTATGAGCAAGATCTGTAGAACTCTTTTGTTTTTCACAACCGCTGAATTGCTTCCTGGTCATCAAAGATTTAAGGGAGATGTACCAAGAGAGTATCTAGGCGTGCAAATGCCCCATGATAAAGGTTGCTAGACGTGAGGAGAAACGGAGTAGAGATGCTAAAAATCAGCAGGTGCCTGGGAAAAGTGTTTATAATTCTACTTTGACCGAGATTAAAAGAAAAACTGGTTTTTTATAGCACTTAAATACACTGTCTAACTTGTGTCGAATCTCATAAAGTTCAAAATTTGATAAACTATAAAGTGTTCTGGGATAATCCAAGCCAGGGCTGGTTTGGGATAATCTGCAAGGCAAATGAGCTGAACGGTATAGCGAAGACTTTTAATGAAAATTAATCCTTAATGCATGTGCCTATGTGCCAAAAATACTTTTGAAGGCTGAAAGTGTCCGTGATTCTTCACTGCTCGATTTGTCATTAGTGGTTTCTCCTGACTTGAAAATGTTTCTGTGGCGCTGTCCTCTTTTTTCGAAACCGTACAATTTTCGTATCATTATAATTATCTGATCATTTAGGGTTAAAGAGTAAAGAATTTTTTTTACACAGGCAGGAAATCAAAACGCAGGTACAGCTGGTGCAAAGCAAGCACTGACAGAAGACAGCATTAAAACTATTGAAAGCGTGGGTTTGCAAAAAGTTTTTCGCTCTAAAATACGTGCTTCAGCATCTACTTAAATCCATATTTTGCTTAAAAAATATAATTGCAAAAATGGTTCTTTTATAAACATCAGGCTTTTAAGTCTAGTTCGAAAACCAGGCTTTGTGGTTACTCCTACTCTACTACTCGTTAAGTGAGAGTCAGAGACGAAAGTAAAATGTGCTCAAAACCGCGCTTGCTTTTTCGCACGACAAGAAGGAATTAGGTAGAAGCCTCCTTAATCTTGAAAGAATACAATAGTCACGGCCAAATCAGTCAAACAGATTTGAAACTGGTAAAAACAATGTCATCACCTGCAACATTTATTAACAAACATTGACTGTGGAAATTATCTTCCAATTCTTCTACCTGTTAAGTCTAGTCCTAGGATTGCAATGCTTCCGAGACGAAACTTTATCCACGGAAGAGAAGGGAATTTTGAAAACATGGGGTAATGTTTACTTAAGGTAGTATATACATTCATCCATTCATTCATTCATTCATTCATTTCAAGTAGCATCTATATGCTTCGTCGGCCGCTAAACATAGTTTTCCACCAAACCCTGTCAATGTCATTAGGCCTCCCTTTTAGGATAACACAGCTCCTGATGTTTGCTCACTTTTAAACATCATTTGTCAAGGTTTTCCTATAGATAGTGTAAAGAACAGTATTGTATGGCATAGTATTGTAACAAGGTCGATTAAGATATAGTTTATTCAGGGCAGCCGATTGGGGAGGGGGGAGGGCAAGTGGGGCAAATGATATGGTATGGTATGGTATGGTATGGTATGGTATGGTATGGTATGGTATGGTATGGTATGGTATGGTATGGTATGGTATGGTATGGTATGGTATGGTAGGATATGGTATAATATGTTATGATATGGTATGGTATGGTATGGTATGGTAGGATATGGTATGGTATAATATGTTATGATATGGTATGATATGTTATGATATGATATGGTATATGATTCCGTATGATACCGTATGATACCGTTTGGTATCGTATGGTATCGTATATGATATCATATGGTATCGTATATGATATCGTATGATATCGTATGGTATCGTATGGTATCGTATGGTATCGTATGGTATCGTATGGTATCGTATGGTATCGTATGGTATCGTATGGTATCGTATGGTATCGTATGGTATCGTATGATGCGTTGCGTCATGGTATGGAAAGAATATTTCCTGAGAAAACAGAGGGCATCAATTTCAACTAGTTTGCCTATACAATTGTATCTTTACAGTAGACTAAAAACTTAGAACAATCCATGTGAGGAAAATGATTACGAGGATGAGATCAGGCATATTTTTAAACGCCTACGACCATGATTCACCACTTCAATATTTGAACTTAACAAATAGTTACGGAAGAATTCACGTGAAAATGATTTTCCACATTTATTTACGTTTTGTGAAATGAGAAAGCCCTGCCCATCCAATCACCATCATTTTTCGATGTGATTTTCGATAACAAGACGTTTGCCACCTTATGAGTGAAAATAATATCGTTTTTATTATTCGGAAAACGTACAAATATAAAATCAAACCTCATAGGACTAAACTATGACCAACATTTCCTCTTGCGACGACAAAATGCAGAGCTATTTTTTATACTGCATAATGATTCCGTTTTGCTGCTTCATGCCGATGATTAGGAATTTTCTTATTTGTATTTACTTTCGATAACTGTAGGCTCTATTCATCTTCTTATCCGCCCATTTGGAGTTGATGACAACCACGCAATTTTCTACAATTAAAAACACATAACGGCCACAAAGGCTTTTGTTCACCGTACGATAATAATAGCTTTGTTTCTCTATCTTTCGTCAGTTTGATTCAGCAAAACAGAGGAAGCGATGGAAAGACTGACAGCGATGGTTTGAGTAATCTTTGTGCATTGTATTTGAAGACATCCCTTATCGCGAAACCACCAGCTGCAGCAATAGTTCGGTGTAGCAAAAGCGTTATTTCTCGAGAGTGAAGCTGATAACAAGCCTTGAAAGGCGTTTCCTGACATGGCAAAAATTGTGGTGTTTACAGTGGAGTCATCAGTAGCAATTGCTATTAACGCGTTTATTCTCGTTCTTATCCTGAGAAGCTCGACACTCAGAAAAGCAACATCAAACATATTTCTTATCAACTTGATCGTTGCAGACCTTGTCGCTGCATCAATGGCATTAGTGGTATGCCTAGGACATTACGCACAAAAAGCGAAAAGGAAGGAGTGGAAAGAGGAAAATGCAATAGAATTGTTTATGTTTGTATTTACGTCGACATTGATAACTCTTCTGGTTGCAGTGATACTGGTAACAATAGACCGATTCGTCGCTGTCGTAACGCCATTTCGCTATCAAGAGCTGTTTACGCGGCGCAAAATTACAATATTATTGGCAACCATCTGGGCTATTGGGGGTGTGATTCTCCTTGCCGGACTTGTATGTGCGGTACTTGATGATTCTAAGACATTACATGTAGCAAAAAGTGTTTTGGATATTGTCCTCATTACGATATCCAGTGCAGGTGTTATATTTCTGGTCATCGCCAATACTGTTATTTTACGCGCTATTCGGAAGCAATTAAAGCTTGAGTCGACCGTTTCCGTGTTCGGCAACGACACCGCAGCGGCGAAAAAGTCCGAAACTAACTTGCGAAAGAAAGAAATCCGGGCGGTGTACCTTTGCTTTTCGATTGTCGTTCTTTTTGCGATTTGCTGGCTGCCAATCACGGTAGCCCTTGTCCTTGACAGATCGGTAAAAAATAGTAATTCAGGACGCACTTTCATGGAATTGGGAAAAACATTGGTTTTTATTGGAATAGCCTTAAATCCTTGCCTTTATGTTCCATTTAAGGCGGAATTGCGGCATTTCTTTTGCAAATGTTTTAGAGGCGGACGGACGGCGAACCAAGAAATGTCCCTTTCGAACAAAAAGACCATAGATCAAAGTACCGGAAATGTGCCGGAGCACTTCCTTGCATCCGAACAGGCAATATGATATCTGGGGTGTATCGCAAGCCACATGCATTATAAGAACACCATTTTATGAGCTAGCAGACTTATCATTTTAAAAGGCTGATTAAGTAACGTCATAAAATATATGTTTAGAATTGTTGAATTTTGACCAAAGTTTAAAGGAAACAAATTTTACTAAATATTGCACATTTATGTCGTCTCTCAGACACTACAGACCAAATACAGCAAAGCTAAAATTATGTATTCTTATGACGTCATCACATGGCCATTCAATTTCTAAAAACATAATCATCAGATATTGAAAGTTAGTATTTCTCCAGCCTTGTTTGCTGATGCTCTGCCTTAATTCAAGATGTGAGAGATGTTTGTCTAAATCATTTGGCAAAGGTAGGTTTTCATTTACCCCGCCCTTTTACATTTCTTTTTCTAGCAATCAATATTTTCCAAAACACATAAAACCAAGTTACTCACAAAACCTTCAGTGCACAGTTCCCCCTCCCCTATCTCCCCCAGTTAAATATTTTTCAGCAGTGAACCTTAACCACAAATGCTTGCAAAATTGGCTACAATGTAATTTGTGCATTAGCCGTATTATCTAGGGCCTTTGGGAATGGTTCCACTTAATAAGTGAAACTGCAGGGGTTTTAAGAGCCAAAGGCAAATGCTATCATCTCTCGAAAGAACAGAATATGTCTATTGTAAAAATATTCTCAAACGCATCGTGAACCAAATTTTATTGTATCTTAAGTGCTCTAAGATATTTTCTTGTATCTTAAAGAAGTAATATATTGTGAATCACTAGAAAGAAAAGAAAGAAAAATAAATGCCTTTTAGAAGTTAGTATATGGAACAAGAATGATATAATATTTTGAATAATTTTTTTTTCTTTTAAGCCTTTGGAGGCGAGTCGTTGATTTTCTGCGCCAGTAGAATTGCCATTAAACAGTTTTTTGGCTGCACATCTTTGAAGAAAATGAATAGTTTCCAAGATGCCCCCATGTTTTAGCACGCCAATGGGCTACCATTACTAAACAACGCGTCAATGGAATAACACACAGTCATTGGTTTGGGTTAGACAGACTTAGATTAAGACCTAGTATGCAAACTTCAACCAAATTATTCATTTGATTATCGTTATCAGTATATTGGCAAATAATGGTGTGCCACGATGATAGGGGCCTGTGCTTTTCGGTGCCTTTTTCGAGAACCCCTACTTATGTATTTTTGAGAAAATTTCCAACCCCCTGATTTTATTAAGGACCCCCGCCAATCAATTTTTACACATTTTATTCGTCATAACATTGTCTAGTGAATATATGCTATTGTGAAGGGTGTATCATTCTTTCCAGACAGCGTACCATATTTTCCAGAACAATGGAATTATTAGGGTATTTTTGGAGATTTTTCTCGAATACAAAAGGGTTTTTGCCAAAAGACGCACGACATTTTCGTGAAGTGCTATGTCCCTGGTGCCATGGAAATTGCGAAATAGCACAGCATTTTGTTGAAACCAAATTTCTATGTATTTTTCTGCCGGCTTTGGTAAACAAACAAGCTTAAGTCATTCTTTGACCTCCGTATCTTGAGTTAATGAACACGACCCCAAAATCAACCTTTCCAGAAAATTCCTGATTCGCTTATTTCACCCTCCCCTTCCCAATAATTAGCCAACAAAAAATAATCGACAGTTACTTTTAGCTTCTATCGCACTTCTAGTCGATTGGGATATCATGAATTGGTTTGCTTCTTTCGCGTGATACAAAAAAGCTCTGTGCTTATTGTGACTGCAATTTTTCTAATTTTCAAAGCAGTTCAATGTTTCGGGAAACAGAAATCTGTTTCAATACAAACGGAATCAAGGATTGTTGCATCATGCGAAATGAAGACTTGCATATAAGAATGCCATCCTAACGAGTTGATGAATACAATAATGATTTCTGTTAATAATTTACAGTCTATGTCAAAACCCTTTCTAACACCATTATCAAATTCTTGTTTACTTTCCTATTGATAAATTATTAAAACGATAAGATGCAGTAAAGCGTAGTCTTGTTTGCATTAAGCACGCGGCGTTTGCAAAACACACACAGTTGCTAAGTTGCTTAAACACTTTAGAATCTACGCAGAGGTACAAGAAAAACATTTATTTACTTGACTCTGCAAATGACATTACTGTTTAAGCAAAGAAGAAAAATCAATCATTTTTAGTTTGTTATTACAGAAAAACACTAACTTTTGAAGAACGCGCGAAACGTTATATAGGCATTAATAGGCGGATAACTTTTCTTACGTGAAAAAATGAGTATGTGTGATCTAAGGTTTCTTCAGGATCTCTTGAGAGTGTAAAATCACACGCAGCTTATATCTTCTCAGTTCCACATACTACACCACAAAGAGACATAATCTCACTTTCTAAATTCAAATCCCTTCTTTATCGCCGTACTACTTTTTATACATGCGATTATTAACTATCCTTATAACAGTAACTATTTTTATAACTTTGTGCACTGTTTTCGCCACACAGAGAGATACCAATCTTCCTTCAACCCTGGGCTGTCAACCACAGCACAGTGCTGACAGAGCTATATCTAGTTTCAAAGCCATACCGACCCATCTTATCTTCTAGTTCGGTCTGTATAAGACGATGATTGGCTAAACCCTTTCTGCCAAAACTCTAATCTCGGTTTTGGAACCTAACCCAGCCGGATACAAGAAATATATTTTTATCTATATCTATATACTACTCATAAATGTCTTTTTCCATTATTGAGTGACACAGAAGTTAAATGTGATATGAGAGCAAATACCTTGGTTTTATCATTATTGTTAATGTATTGATAGTTCTAGAACTAAATCTGCCATCGATCCCTTTAATTCTATACCGACACCATTTTAAATTTTTAAAGCATTGTTAACAAATAGGCCAAGAAGAGGTTTTGCGCATAAAGTGCTTACCATATAAAACGCAGTTAAAGTTTAAACAGGTTTTTACTGTGGAAAATAAAAATCAAATTCACTCGTATTGCGATAACGTTTTCGTAAAAATATTGTGTGAAATGTGCTAGTGATAACAAATCGCGCAATTTATGAAATACATACAAAAATGCCCAATATTGCAAATGATGCTTTCATGGGAGGCATCTCTTGAGATGAATGTGACGCACAGGGCTCTCGTTGTTAAGTGTCTTTTATACTATTTTATACTATTATATTAAAGGGGAACCTTCATTTCATGTACTGGACAATCATTTATATGTAAGGTTTTTTGGTAACAGTAAAACAAAGTCCCCCTCATGTACAAGAGCAATAGCATTGGTTCATTCGATATATGGGTTTTGTCTCCAAAAGGATCCCAATTATGAACTTTTGAGTTTCTAAAACTAAAAATAGCAAATTTCTCACCTTTGACCAAGATAAATCGAGAACGTCCGATGTATGTCCGTGGTATGTGCAAAATGGAGCTTTTCTAAAAGGCCCAGTGTCATCAAAATCTTCATCTTTACTCTACCATCAAAGAAGACAGGCATAAAGATCTTTACAAATGACATGGCGCATTAAGAATATTTTTAGAGAAAACTGTAAAAATGTTAGTAGAAAGGACGCATTTAAAAATAATTCATTTAGAATTATCAAGAAAAATCAAAATCAATCGAAAAGGCTGCAAAATTTTTAACCCAATTCTAAATCTATTACATTCTTAGGCAAAAAAGAATAAACGATTTGCGGCTTAATCGATACTTTTTTCTTCTACTTAGAAATTGTATTGAAACAATGTTATTTTGACACAAAACTTCGTCTTGCAACAGGTTCTCTTCTGTTTCGCACTGTAAACTTAGTCGTGTCTTCTAATTTCTCTTTTCTACTTCAAAGTTTAGTTTCTTGTACGAATCGTCGTGCAGAGCTGACGGGATGAGAATTATAGCGATGTTTTTATCATTATTGCAGTGCCAAAATCTATTTTAATATCTTCCAAAAATAGTTTTGTTTACTTTCAGTTGGAATCTGGACACTAGTATTACAACCTCTTTTGATTGACTCTTGACTACTCGTGCTGTCCAGGGTGACCCAGCGTTTTATTTGTTGGCTACCAGACGTTTTCTAAGTATTGTCGAAATTCACGGAAATAACATTGATTTGACCTAGGTGACATCGAATCTTCTTATCTTCGACCAGCCAATTTCGGTAGACGGTTCCTCAATGGCGATGGAATCAGACCAATCATGATTAAATGACTAAACCATTTTAACCATCCTATCTTATCTTTATCAATTTATCTTTATTAATTTATCAATTTATTATATCTTAAAGATAACAGCTTCCTCACCAGTGCATCTTCCTCTAACGTGTTATCATCTTCAAATGACGTAATTGAATTAATAGAGGCGATTGAACTTGTTGGTGATCCTCGCTCTAGACATTTGCAAAATACATTTAAACATTACTTTAAGAAAGAACAATATGTTTGATAACAAAAGCAGATAAAAAAATAAGCAATTATTATATTATCTAGCAAGCCAATACTTAATGTCTGATTGCTAGCAGCTGCTACATGCAAAGAAAAAAAAATCTATATACGATCTGAGAAATAAGTCGGGGAACTTCTTGGTTAAGGAAAAGAGTTTAGGCTCATTGCCAAAAATTGCGAAGGAAAAGGTGAAATGGGAAATGAAAGAGGATTTTTGCACAAATCGATAAAAAAGGTGAAACAAAAAGGGAAAGAAAAGCACCCTTCTATGTAAAGTTTATAGAATAAATGATGTTGAAATTGAATCTAGCAAGTACTCAAAAACAAATGTTTGACAACAAAGGACATCTCTTTGAGCAATCTTGAAAAGAAAACTGTCAAGGACCAAAAACAAACCTGTTTTAGCATATTTTGCCCGCATCTCGTCGAAGAACGATTGTGCTTCTTTCAAAACCCAAACTCTCTAAAAAATTGAACGCTCATGCTTTAGCTGAAAAGGCTACTTATTTGGAGTTAGCGTCGGAAATAGAAACGGGTATGTTGTATAAAAGGCAATAAAACATTGAAGAAAGTTGTCCAACTCAGATAATGAGTTTGAGATCCAACGTGAAACCTTTGGAGACCATACCCGAACCAAGAAAGAATCCTAAAGTCTTTCAGAATCAGGCAACTCTAAGATTAACATTTTTTGGCGAAATAAAATGCCCTTTAAAGAAGTAACGAAAAACTTCCAGGAATAATCTTCGTGTGTTGAAAGTTACCAAATAACAGTTCGTGTCAAAACATGATTAGGATTTTCAAATGGATGTGAAGAAATAGGCCAATCACGAGGGAAAATAGAGACGTTTGAGGAATATCAAGTCAGACTTCTAAGATCTTTCTTGGAACTATCTATGTTTTTGTCTGTTAATTTTGGGTGTTAGAACCTTGCAGGGCTCCATCCTACATCCTACTTTTCAAGACTGGTCCAATAAAAACCAAGACCAAAAAAGACACATTTCCCTTAAGTGAGCGTGCTAGCCTAGAGTCTCCTTTAGGTAATCAAAGATGGAAGCAAAACATCCAAAATACAATAGCGTTGTTGTTTCTTTTGCTGGTACCATGAATACGTTAGCAAATGGCTTGATCAAATATGTTTTGAGAGAAACCAGCTTTAAATTAAATTTACTATAATACAATTTCTGAAAAATATTTTCCCTAGAACCTAATTAGACAGCCGACGGATATTCGTTTACCGACATTGAAAGCGTTATTTCTCACTGATTAAAAAAATTATGAAAATTTAAGTGGAGCAAGCAAAACTTGCGCAAGCTAGCACGAAATGAAAGGATTAAATATAATGCCGAGGAAGTTCAGAATCCGTTGTTAGCAGAAAAAATGCTTCAGACCTACCACTATATTGTCTTGGCCAGCAGCTGCCTAAGGTCGAAGAAAATATCAAATAAGGCTGTTATCCTTTTTCACGTATATCGGCAAATTATTACAAAGGATATGGAACAAGTAAAGCTTAACATGAAATTATACAGATATGTACGGATTACAAAATATAACATATTCTGAATATATGAAAAATTGTCTCAGCAAATATATGATCATTTTTCTCATTATGATTTCTGGCTCGTGGTTTTTGTGTTATTTACAATGTAATTACTTTCATTTCGTCATTTCACGATATACTTTGCAAAATTATTAGCAGCACAAAGTTTTATCACAAGAAACCATAAATTCTAAAAATTGGTCACTCATAGTAACTGCTAATCATTTTTTACATCAATTTAAAAAGAGTGAATTTTGTCTTACCAAAAGTCTACCACATAATGAAAATTTCAGAACCCATATTGGCCCCTGGAAGATCAAAATAAATCATTATTGATACTGTCAAAATGAGCAAAATTGAAATTTTGCAAAATGATTTTTTACAAAAAAATGTTTGATTAGACAAAACGTAAAACAAAATCAGTTTAGTTATTAAAAAGTTAAGAGCTAACTTCTATTCCTGGACCGATAATTCTGAGTTTCACCCTAAAGATTAGTTTATCAAGCAATTGTGGCACTTTTTCTTGTTATGGCTGCCAGGCTTTATGAGCCTAAGGTAGAGAGCACTGTACTGTAACACTGGATGTGGCAGCAAAAAGGGATAAGTTAAAGTAGATGGTGTGTATAGCAAGCTTAATATCAGCAGTTTGATGCTCAAAAGCAGCTATAAATTCAGTCGAGATCTCATAACTGTTCATATAGTTGTTTCGATAATTTTTTGGCTGATTGATGGTAGGTTTGATCATTGTTTGCCTTTTTCTTCTATGGTTACTAAGAAAATTTACTTACAAATTTTGAAATGTTTCTCATTAGAGATATTTCCCAAAAATGCAACTTAAAACTTTTATGCAAAAAGGGGCAGTAGTTTCATCTATTTTGCAAAAGAAAAGAAATACAAAGGTTTTTATAGAAAGGATGAATAAAACGTCTTTGAACGTCTAGTTTACTTAAGTCTTCGAAATAAAATGGTCATAAATGATAGGAGCATTAGTAGTGTTACGTCTTCTGCTTGAGGGGTTCAACCCCCCCCCCTCTCCTTGCTGACAATATTTGAGAGTCAAAAGTTTGCTCAAACCCGTGTCCAGTGTCAAATCACAATGGACAATTGATAAAAGGAAAAACGCGCTTAAAATAGTCTCATCGATGTATTGTTCTTCTGTTTTCGTATTCATTCATTTTTCATTCATTCATTTAATCATATTTATCCACAATATCTATTCAGTTCTTTAAAAGTAAATTACAATAAAAAGTTGCAATTTCTATTAAATTAAATAAAAAATAAATGCCCTAAAAATATCAATAGAATGGCCCTAAAAACTGATCTTCCATGGATTCGTGCATCTAATGTTTGTTAGTTCAAAAAGTGATGTTTAAGCCTTTGTTTGAATCGTACAATGGATTCGGTATATCTAATAGGTTTTGGGATACTATTCCAAGCTTTTGGACCTGTGTACAAGAAACTTTTATTGGTATGTTCTAATTTTAGTCTATGTACATGGAGACCTTTGCTGTTTCTCGTGTTGTATTTTGATATGACAGACCTTTTTATGTACTTATTTTGTAGGCCTTCAAGAAAAAGCTGATTGACAATTCTGTAGGCCATTACCGCTCGGTCAAAGGTCATCAGTTGATTTACTTCCAGGGAGTTCTTCTTCCAAGCATCCTTTACTCTCGCAGACTCTTTCAGATCGAATGCTCTGTTCTAATATTTTTGCAGATTGCTTAGCTTAGTATCAGAGAGGGCTTCCCATACCACCTTGGCATATCTCAAGTGGCTTTCGATAGGTGCTTGATACACATTAAGCAGTTGAGAGTGTGGTAAGATGTTTTTTAGTTTTCTGAGTGATGATAGGCCGCTAGCTAGTTTACCTTTGACTGATTTGTATTGTTCATTCAACTTAGCTTGTCATCTACAGCAAGTTCTAGATACTTCGTTTTATGAACCTGTTTTATTCTAGTACCATCCAAATAAAATGGTGGTAACTCTGGCAGTTTGTTCTGTCTTCAGGGATGGTTAATCACCATGAATTCAGTTCTCTCGGGGTGTATACTTAACTAATTTATTCTAACCCACCCTGAGATATTTTCTAATTCCGCCTGAAAGTTCTGTATGAGATCTCCAAGCTCATTCGATGAGAATGTGACTTCAGTGCCATCAGCATATAGGTTAATATTTGAGAACTTTAGGCATTCTCCAAAGACATTCAGATACACGATGAACAGCAATGGGCCTAGACAGGATCACTGGGGTATTCCACATGCAACTGTCCGGGAATTTGATTTGTGACCGTTTAACGAACGAAACTGCTGTCGGTACTAACTTTACATAAAACTTAACTCATTTCTTGATTTCGACAGATAATGGAAGGGATTTGTAAAGCAAAAAGATGTTTGGCGTCAGTGGAATAACTCTTTGCACTCTCTGTTGAGCTGCTTCAGCGGGGGTCAAATGCGCTGCTTCAGCGGGTGTTTGAGATTTTTTAGAACGAGGAAGAAGGTTGGCGTAGCCGAGAGTTGGCACGAGATTAAATCCAGAAATAAAAAAAAACAAGCGCAAATGGTCATGAAATATTGTTATGTTTCAGTTTAAGTATAATAACTGAAGTCATAAAATATTTTCTCTTACACTCTACAAAGGAAATTGCCCCAGAGGAAAGAGAAAGAAAGGAAACTACACATCTGCCAGTAAACTATTGTTATGATGGATAGAAGAAAATTCATCAAAGGCAACTTACCACTTGCTCGCCACTTAGATCTTGCAGTAGGTGGATCTTTTCAAATGCCCGTTTATCTCGTATAGCTTTATGCGTTTTTCTCTATGATAAATTGCAAGTAGTTGTTACATAGGGTTAAGAAAATGTCTACGTGGGGACGAATATACACCTTATTTTCAATTGCAAGGGTGAATGTTAGATTATATGAATAGTTACAGATTTTGAAGTTCTGGGGAACCTAACGGTAAGAATTGTTTCTAGGTTTGTTTTAGATACTTCCAGTGCTCGAATATTTCGCTTTATAGATACACACCATCTGTCAGATGTGGACAATTCTTTGATGGCTTAATGGTGCCTTATATAACTAAACCTAGTTTTTCTCTTCACAGTTTCAAAGAAAAAAATCCTTTTCACCGATAACATATCATTTCCGACTAAAAGATAATTTCTATCCTTCAAATTATCAAACTTTCCAACCATTAATGAAAAATATAAGCGGATCGAAAAAGACTTTTCAGATGTAAGTAACCATTATAAAGGGTCCTTTAAAATTTTGTGTAGATGTTAAACATTTCATCATAACATCCTGAAGTTTCCACGGGTTGCCCTTTTAATGATTTAAAATTTTTTTTAAACAACAACCATATCAGAATGAACTTACTTTTATGTAATGACTATCCTGGTTTTCATCTTCGTCGCTTGACGAGCTTTCGTCTCTCAAGGCTATGGAAAGTACGAAGAATCCTTGAAACTTTACAAAAATCACCAAAAATTACAAAAACTCTCTAAACTTTACAAAAATAACTAAAATATGAAGAAAATAACCATGAAATTTGACAAAAACTCTCCAAACTTTACAAAAATACTAAAACTTGGCGAATATCACCAAAGCATTGACAAAAATCACTAGAACGTATCGAAAAATCAACAGAATTTTACAAAAATCACTCGCACGTGAAAAGAAATTACTAAAACTCAGCAAAAACATAGATGACTATGCAACTATGAAATAATTTGAATATGATAAAATTAATCTCTAATGCAAAGTGAAATCATACATTAAAATATATATATAATCGTTCAAAATAAAATAAAAACATCATGTGGACAATAAGTATATTGTGAATTCGAGAGAACAAGCAGCAGACTCAAAATTTAAGCAAAATTTATACTCAGTATCCTTCTGAAGTAACAAACAAAACTACACAAAATCTTGACACGATTAACACATTGTACTCAAACCCTTCTTCCTACTCCTGAACTATCTTCCTATTGCCGACCCCCCCAAACCCCTATCCCCCCTTCGGATTGCCGACGACCATCTCTCGGTTGTAAAACAATATTTGTGTCTTCTAAAGAAACGTACGAGTAAGTTTACACAAAGCTATTGAAATTCCAAACTTCGGAAAAACTAATGAAGAATGTTTTAGTCTCCTTAAGCCCCGGTCAAACGAACTGAACATCGCACTGAGCAACACTAAACGTTTGCAAAGCTACTCGGCTCGGCTCAGCGCGCTGCTCAGTACAGGGTTGTCAAACGAACTGAAAATTGCACCTAACAATTCTATGAACAAAGAATAATTAATGCGAGTGGCTCTGTAATGAAAAATGAAAATTTCGCACAGAACTGTTGCAAACCAAAAGGCCTTCTTGATATTTTCGAATTGGCGTGCTTTCATGACGCAATTAAACGGTTTTAGTGAGCACAAAATCAACAAAAACTCTCAAGGTATTATTGGTGCAAAACTTTAATTCACCGCGCAAGTTAGGCAAGCACGAGTTGAGCAAAGTTCAGTTGGGTGCCAAAGAACTGAGCATCGCTCAACAACACCTCGAATAAAAGAAATGTTTAATGACTCTCTCAATATCTTTGATCGCCGTCAAACATCTCTGAGCAGGACTGAGCCAGACTGAGCAGGGCTGCGCAAAGCTGAGCAAGTGGTCAAACGAACTGAACTTTTTACTGAGCAGGCATGTTGAGCGTTGCTCAGTGAAATGTTCGGTTCGTTTGACCGCGGTTTTGCGGTATTTTACACAATTTTCTTCTTGCAAACCTTCAGAAAAATTATTGAAAATTGAAAAATGATCATCCCCGCAAATACAGCAAATTCCAGACAAATTGACTTCAACCACTTTTTAGAGTATTACTAAAGTTATCTTTGTTGCACAATTTACTTAAAAAAGAAATTCAAAATTAACGCCACGTTACAAAAAACGTCACCCGTTTTTAGTAAATATTGCATTATCGAGCAGTTTTTTAATCGCCTTATAGAATCTGAATCAGTGAGCTTTAAATAATTAAATAAATAAGTATAAAAAACAAGTCAATGTTGATCAGATCGCAATTACATACCTTTGACTTCATCTGCTACAGATTTTATTTTTTCCACAGTTTTACCCCAAAGTTGTTTTAACTTTTTCCTTCAAAGAGAAAAAATATTCCATTATAAAGGCCTTATAAGCTGCAATTTTACAGTGTTTGAAGCCGATAAAGACTTTATGGTAATGTGAATCAACTACTTATTACTCTGGAAACCAAGCATTGCCATTATTTGCAATGATTTTAGAATGACATTATCCCTGGCAATAATATTGAAAGGTTTTTTCAAACTTAAGTCAAACAAACATAAATAACTGCAAAGTTCACCGACGTATTAGCATTTAATATGTTTCTTCTCTAAATTGTGAAACTTTGCGCTTTTTAGAACCATCTCAAAAAAGGTCCATTCTGGTCAACGATTTTCCTGTTGAATGAGCATGGTCAAGAGCTACAATGCCTGCCAAAATACTTGGAATACCCAGCAATTTGTGTTGCATTTTACACCTTTCATCTCTTTGCCGAAAAAAAATTACCATTTCCGCCCTTTTCCCCATAGAGCAATGTTGATAGTATCGAAAAATATCATAAAACAATCGAAAAAGAAGGTACTTCCTAATTCCCTTACCCCTTTTATGGTAAACCAACATTGCTCCGTGGGGGAGAGGGGGCGGCTTAATTTGGCCTTGCAAACTGACGTCAGTGTTTCAAAACTTTTGGCAGGCATTGTATCATAAGTTGTGTATCATATTTTGTGCAATTTTTCGTTACTTTTTTACTTTTTTGTGTCATCTAACCTTCTCATAAACTGGTTTTGCTTTAAGGGGGAAAACAAAACCCTCCTCAACAAAGCTTTTACCTTCCCCTTATCTGAATGACTTTATGAAAACAGTTAAGCAGTGAACTTGAAAAGATATATAATATTAAGAGAATAATAAAACCTTACCCTTTGCGCTCTGTTTTAACACTCGGTGCAATAGATGTGTCTGAAAGATTTCCATCTTCGGATGCAGCAATTGAGGCCGTATCACTAGAGAAATTGTATGCATGATAAAAAGTCATCTACCGTAAAGACGTAAATATAGCAGATTATGAAATAGATAGTGTTGCCTGATTAGGGCATTAAGCGTGAAAATGGGAGTTAAAACTCACAACCCTCTTGTTTTACGCAGCAAAGTGTGTGCAGATCTGCTTACAAAGGCTATCGGTATTAGGTGATGGCTCATACAACTACTGATGAAAATATGATTCTATCAAGTCATTATTTGATAGTCCAGTTTCGATCTGCAAAGAGGGGTTTCCTTGTATCAGCGTTTAGTTTGAAATATTTGCTCTTTAGAAGTTCTAACATAAAATGAGCATTCTGAACACACTTCAATAATGACTTGAGGTTCTGATTTAAGATCTAAGTTCTGAGTCAATATTTGCGTCGGGAGATTCCAGTTCATTATTCTTAAATCGAACAAAAACATTGCAAAGCCTCGGGCTTTTTACAATTGCAGCAGTTCTGGATGCCATTTGAGAGATATATTTAGAAGACTTCATAGTTATTATATCATAAACATACCCATTATTGAGGAATTGAAGTAAAAACAATGTTCCTCAAAATTGCAGGTGGTAACAAAGAAATATTCTTATATTTACAACGAATTTTATTACTTTCTGAAGGAAACAGCTATTTGATGGTAAAAAAACCCTATTTTGATAGGAAAACTAGGAAATATTTAGTCACTTTTCAATAAATGATGAAAAAGACTTTCGGAAAACAATAGGTATTTCACACAAGATTCCCACGGGCAAAAGGTATTCATATCTCAAATCATCCTTTTTAAGTACGCGAAGGAATATGTGAATGATGCGTTGAAACAGAATACAGAAGACTGTTATTGCAAGAAAAAGATTAGAATATAGGAATGAAGTACTGAAATTCTAAACAGGAATCAGCAAGAATTTTACGGCCAAGATGGTCTAGAGGAACATTATAGTATAACTTTTACTTCACTAGAGAAAGTAAAGCTGCCAGATGTGGATGCTTTAAATCTTCAATAAATCATAAAAAATATTTGGCATGGCGCCTGTGACTCTAAAAATATTGATTAGAGTTTGTGATTTACATTATGTAATTAGCACCTTGTAAGGCGAGAAAAACCAATGAACCCTCTTTAAATTATATTCTTCGTATCTGTTTTAAACGATTAAGAACAAGCTTTCTTTACCAACTGGCTCAGCGACTCAGCTTTTTTCTGATTTTTAGGAAAATGTTACAGGCTCATACAATCCTGTCAAAATGAAGCTTAAATTTTGTACCAAAGAAATCTTTATTTTTTTGTCACTGGAATCTATAAACTCCATATGCAAAGGATTCTATTATGTTTGGGTAAAGGGAAAGTGTTGTACTAGACATTCTTACAAATCAGAATGTGCTTAAATTGCCTCAATAGTCACTGCAGTTTCCTTATTTCTGCAAAACCAACTATATTACATTTATAAAAAATATTTTCATACCCTTCATATTCTGAGGTGAGTCTCATGATCTGCAATGACATCGGGTTGACACATTTTGGGAGCTTGTCTTCCGCAAGACTCAGCGGGACGGTTTCTCCCGTATCCAGATTTTTCACAATGACTTGTTCTAAAATTTCCTAAATTGAAAAAAACATTTTTTGAGTAAATCGCAGAAAAACGATACTTTTATAAATGCAAATTTACCAGGACAATTTTACCAAGCTGAGCGGTTACGTACAAGAATGAACAAAACTCAAGACAGAACTTAAGACAGAACTTGAGACAGAACTTAAGACAGAACTTAAGACAGAATGAATCGAATCCTAAATCGAAAGCAGAAAGATAGAGCATACGAACTTTTACAGTTCAAACCCTAGATATTTAATACTCAACTTCCAACAGTACCAACAATATGCAACGAAGAGACAGTCAATTAGAAACTAAGAAAGTAAAACACACAAATGAGGAAATCGTGCATTCCTTTTACGGGAAAGGAAAAAGGGAGAATGGGATAAAACTAGCTTACTTGCTTATAAAAGAAAGCAAAACACAAGGACTAAAAAGGTGCTAAAAATATCAATTTGCTCAGCAAAACTTGAAATACCTTAAAGTAAAAGTAAAACACTGCAAACAACGTTTTGTTATTGTCATGTGTTGGTTCGTTATGTTTGGTTTCTATCAAACGCAAGAAGCATATAATGAATCGTTTTAAAGCTTCTTTCAACAAAAACAAACAATAAGAAACTGTGTTTGGTTTTCGATGAATTTCGTTACAAAAGAGTTAAAAACTTACAATATCTGACAATGGTCGTCCCGATGATGACGTACTTCTAACTATCTCTTCCTGCAGCTTCGCAGCTCCTGGTATTTTCAGATTTCCCAAAGAAGCTCGCAGGGGTGTCGTTGAGCCTGAAATACACGAGGAGATACGTCACTATCAAGAAAATTTTGATCGCAGGCTATTTGCTTAGAGACTAGAATGCGAAAAAGTTCACATTGAAATTGAGGTATAGCTAAAACAGGGATGTAAGTTATTTCATGACTTCCTCCCTCTTATCTTCAAATTCCCATTACAGATTTTTCAGATTTGTTGTCATATCACAATAGCATCATTGTCATTCCTCGAGTTCAATTAACTTGGAGATCATTCTTTCATGCAAGTCTAGGCCATATAACTGTATCTTACCATCATTACTCTTTTCCAGACTCGTTTTGCTTCCCGCTGGACTCTTAAATTCATCCAGGTCCTGGTTTTTCACTATGTCAGAAGCACTGCCCTTAATCAACACCTCATTCATGTCTTTTGCATCTGAATTCACAGTAATGCACGGATGATTGGCGGTCGTTGGGCTCTGCGATTCGGTTGGCTCGGGCTTTGAAGCCGGTTCTTTTATCAGTTTCGGTTGGCTTTTGGGGCGTGGTGGTGGGGGCTTTGGGGGCGCTGTTTGATCCTGAAGGAAAAATACACTACACTTGTTTATTAAAGGCACTACGCATACAAATTCGAATGAGAAACCTTCATAATATTGTTCAAATCAAAAAATTAAATGCAGCCGCACAGCATAGCATACAATGGAAAATTATCATTCAATCTAATAAAGTCTCTCCATCAATGGATAATAACTGGTAAATACAGCTCATCAACATAGAATCAATAATCTTAACATGAATGATATCTAATAATTGATATCGCAAGCATTTTAGCAGGCTTTTCACCAGCTACTATCTATTAAGGATCTGTACCCTTGAGAAAGTTGCGAAAACTCTAAAGACATTCTATCAGTATATGCTCCTCACATGTCTTTAGAAATCGGACATCCAGCCAGATATGTTGCAAGGTTTCAACACAACACACGAGATTACCTGTGATTTGGCAAGAGCTTCTTTCTTCTGCTGTCTTTTCTTTCTTGGTGGTGCCACGGGTACGGGGCTTCCTTTGGCAGCTTCTCCATTCTCAGTTTTCAATGGCTCTGCTTTTGGCGGGGATGCATCAGATGGATCTTTTACAGGATCCTGTGCAGGGGCTGACACTAAAGAGAGGTTCGTATCCTTAGCCACCATGTCTCCGCTTCCTTTAGAAGATGGAGGCTGTTTGGGAACATCGATAGTCTCTTTCTGAACCTGATATATTAAAGATGAATTCAATAATGAGCAAGAAAATAAATATCAAACAACGGCGTTGCAGTGAGTAGGAGCGGCGTTGCTAATCCTTCTCGATAAAAGCAACTTTTAATAATTTGTTGAGAATAATTTTGTAAGGATTCAAGTTTCAAATTGGCTTTCTAGACACCTTCCTCGAGTACAGTCTAGATGCGCAAAAACAAATGTTGATGATGGATTCAACGGATAAGCTAGAGGAGGAGAGTGCACGAAGCTGATTCAAGAAGAAAAAAGAAAAAGGAACAGGAAAAAGGAAAAAGATAAAAGAGGGAAGAGAGGGGGGACGGTAAAGAAGGAACAAAAAGACAATTAATTTGAAGGTGAGAAAAAGAAAGGGAAAAAATGAAGAACGATTATTAGAGGACAAAGATCAAACACAGAAAGTAAAATTTCAGGTAAGAAAAACATGATAGCAGAAAACCTAAAATTTGAAAGAGGAAAAACCCAATTGAAATAAAAACACAAGAAAGTTGAGTTAGGGGAATGTGGAAGTAAAGAAGGAAAAGAAATGGAAATTAGATTCTCTTCTTCTTAAGTTTTAAATCACACCAGGGTATGAGCAGAGCGGCAAAAATATACTGCGATGCAAAAAGATAAATGGAAAGGTCAACTTAATGCAATTTGTAGTTTAGACCTTGTCATAAGAATTCATGCAGACTTGTCCCTCTCAGTCCCTCGATGCAATTTCTGACAATCACGGCACAAAAACTTTCTGAAGCGATTAGATGTCATTACCAAATACATCATCCATAAAAAACTTGGACACATTTATCCAAAGGGTTTCTCGGAAAATTTGTTCGACACTAAAAGTAATGAAAGGTTGTACCTATGGTGTAGATTGGGCCTTGATTAGAACAATTTGCATTAGTTTGTGAAAGCCATTGTATTTGAAAGAAGTGTCTAGTACTAAAAAACACGATATCGCTTCAAAGGGCCAAATGAATCATTACTGACATGCTATCAAAAGCAGTAGAAGGAAGTACTTGAATTTTAAGGCTACGCTCACACTACTCCGTATTCGTTTCACTCCGTTTTCGTTGATGAAAACGCTGTCCGTTCACAATTATCCGTTTTCAAATGAATACAATTTGAATACGGTAAGTGTTCACACTACTCCAACAAAAACGCTGTTGGTGGCCTCATTTTTTAAAAGAGGCGTTCACGAATCCTCAACAAATTGGCATCAATAAGTGAAATTAAATAAAAGCAAATCGTGAAAAACTTTGTTGAAACAGCTACCAGTCCATTGTGATCTCTCAATTTCAAAATTTTGGAGATTTGGTGTGCTAGAAAGAACGTATTTTGTTGCCGTTGTTAGCGTATTCGAATGTCTCCGTTTTTGGTGTTCACACTGAAAACAGAGCATATTCGATACACACCGTATTCAAAAGTGTCCGTTTTCATTTGTGTATTCATATGACTCCGTTTTCGTAGCAGAGTAGTGTTAACGCAAGGCAAGAACGGATCAGTCGTATCACAGAAAGGTAAGCTTTTCACCCGCTGGTTTAGGCCCAGCAGAAACTGGACTGTCACCGGATCTATATTTCTCGGTTGCACCGCAAAGCTTTTCAAACCTGTCTTCCTATAAGACACCCTTGCCGCACTTGATATGATATAGACTAGACACCTTCAGACGGGAGAAGATATAAATATCTGGTGAACAATTGATGTTTCTACATCTCTTGTATCTTATCGAAACAATTTTGTGCATTCTTCTCATGAGGCCTCCACCACATTTTAGAAAATTGCTTACAAAAAGGCAATTTGAGATTAGAATGATCGCAGGGTGGCGCCAAATTGTAGACAATTGAAGTGGATGCTTCTGATAAGATATTTATAAACATTGGCCTAAGTTGTCTCAAAACTTTTTAAAAAAGAAAAACTATAAGAACGAAACACATTTGAAAAATTGCAGTAGAAAGACAGTCAGAGAGCACTGGCTTGTATAAAATCTTCCAACCACGGCAATCAAGTGCAAAGCAAACGGCTACATCGCTTACAAATGAAAAGTTCAATGCTACGTCCAAGAACCGCAGCTCTTAGTCTGTTGTGACGTCATAGAAAACATTTATATAACAACTCTCTCTGGGACCTATTTTATCCCTTATACATGGAAATGAACAAAATACCTTTCCAATAAACCATTCCATAGATTGGGAGAAATGATTCAGGAAAGATATTGACATACCTCTGAAGAGACATTTTTTTCTTTCTTATGGGCTTCCCTGAAAAGAAGAAAACATTTCGATTTAATTGTACCATGGATGCAAAATACAAAGCAAACCTGATCCGGAAAAGGAGATAATAAAATAAAAATCTAGGTCACGCCCTTTTTACTGTCAGAAAACCCTCTTTTATCGTTAGAGAGCGCTGATTTTACCAACTGCCAACACCCATGCCTAATCCTTCATTATGTGAAGACAGTTTCAAAACCAAGAAGCAGGACACAATAAAGTACTTGGCCAAAATACCTTCCTTTCTCATACACTTTCTTGACGAATTTTGATAAAAACAAAATTGTTCTTAACAAGAAGTTTGAGTCATGTAGCACCGCCATTGAGCATTCCCAAAATATTGAAAATTGGAATCAAAATGAATTTCAGACCAAATTTGCAATATTTATCTTTGACAACCACTAATCTGGAAAAAAAAATATCACACACTCCGGTCCTTGCAAACTCAGAACCAGAATCCGAAGAGTCAATTAAGCAGAGAAAAACAGACAGAAGGTAACAGGATTTATACTACTGTGGTTTTTCTCTGGCCAGCAAAAGCTATCAGATTTAGACCCTAATACCTTGCCAATTTGCTTGATCTATTATTCTAAGAAACCATTTTCTCGATAGTTAAAAAAATACATTTATATGAAAGTGATTCCCAAGAATAGATAGGAAAAAGTAAAAAAAGGTTTATTAGATTGAAGAGAAACTGTCAACCTTACAAATATCCCAATGAGTGACCTAGCTTATGCACAGTCAAAATATCCAAAAAATACAAAGGATTCTTGCCAAAGACAAATGTGACATTACTTATAACTGTTTTGAGAAATCTCAACTATAAAAGTGTAGCTTTTGATGTTGAAAAAATTCATGATATAAGGAAAAAGCTTTGAAAATACATGCCCAGAAGAATGTGCACCATTGTGGTTAAAATGAGCTTAAAATACTTTACCAAGGGAAAGAGATATGGAATCCAGTAATGAACAAAGAGCATGTACTCTTTCAAAGTAGTCACATCAAGGGCTGACATGGTTTCAAATTGTGGGGAGCCTTATTACATTTATGAATGTGGTAGGCCCAATTAAATTTTTGAAAATTAGTGTGTCTTTAAAAATATGCAAGGGGGGCCTCAAGCCTCTTGGCCCTCCCCCCAGCTATCTCAGCCCTTGAGCCACATACTACTGAATCAACAGACAAAAACCAACTAGGCAAACAATGATACAAATCTTGAAATTATCAAAAAAATATATACAAGCAAATTGTTAGCCAAATGCAAAATAGCATTTAATAACCAAGGATAATTTGAAAAGTAACAACCAGAGAAATGTGCAAAGAATAAATGTTTTCTGGAAGACGTGACCTCTTGTGGGACCAGCTCTCAATTATAATAAATCAACTTTAAATATCAATGCATGCAAAGAGAGAAAAGCCTATTTCTAGAGACTCATACAAAAAGTATCCCTCTCTATTTTCAGGTATCATCTAAAATCTGGAACCCCCATCTCAGTCAAAGTTGTCGGTCAAGCCTAGTCCCCTCCCCCTTTATCACTTGGGCTAGGTTGGACTGAACCCTCAGCAAGAATAGGGCAAACTCTATATATTCAGAATAATTCTTTTGGTTCAGTTGTCTTAAATGGTTCAGGGTATGGCATCTTTTTAAGCCCATTAAATTTGTACCCTGGCACCTACAGCACAAAAATAACAACCAAATTTTGAAAGGGACAGTAATGATAAGGTTAACTATTATCTTACAGCTATTGTCTTTCAGCTTATGAATCACTAGCAAGCAGGATGTGGAACTTGAGTTCCAATATCAAAGTATCAAAGGGGGTGGGGTTAAGAATAGAGGCAAGATTGGTCATCCTGTCTGAAACTTATATTTGCCCCACGCTACTCATGAGACTTGTGCGGATGGACCTATTGATGCCGACCTTGCAGGTTACACTCCACATCCTTTATTCATGCCAATCAAAAAGCCAGATAAAAAGGTATGGTTTGTATCAGCAGTAATGGTGTCAACAAATGATACCATAAAGCAAGAAAATGTCTATTGAATATGAAACTTGTGCATTTGTGACTCTTACTCAATTGTGAGTCAAGATATTCAGATATGCACATTTTATCTCTGGGATAGATTCAGTGTATGCATCTGTTAGAAAATATGCAAGCAAGGAAACTTGATGTTAAATAGCTACATCAGAGATCAGGTTTAGCATGTAGAAAGAGCATAAGGCTGTTACTGCTTACTTATTCATCTACCTTTATTAAAATAAACCGGTCTTTTATATCTTTATTATCACAACATTATGCTGACTCAAATCGGAAATAATACCAACAGCAAACTTAAGGAAATTCAAAATAATGAAAAATGACTCAGAAGTGGAGTTTGTTATAAGTAAAGTATGGTAGGGTCACAAACATTTGTGAGTCAGGATTATCACTCATAAGCTTTTTAAATGTCATCAAGCAAGACTCCAATCATCATTAACTTATTTCATTCAAACTTTAATGACTATTGTCAGTCAGGCGGTTAATGTGTTTGCACTTGGCATTTTATTAATCAAAGTTTTTAAGGTACAAATTCGTCAAAGGTACAAAAAATTAAAAAACCCTTCAGTTTGTACTTAAAGTCGCAGGCCTTTTTGCATTCAAGTGGAAGTCCACAAATTGAAATTTGATTTGTTATCAAGATCAGCAACTACCACAGAACAATGATAATTTTGCATAATGTCTATTAAAACATTTTTCACTGTTGTTTATCAAGAAGGGTAAAAATGATGTTGCTATATCAACATGGTCTATTAGGGTCCAGTGTGGAATCCATGTAGCTTATGCCAGAGATATCCGGCGTAGACTAACGACTTCCCATTGTCTTTCTATTGTTTATTGGCGTATGTCCGGCGTGAGTTTCACATGGATTCCACCCTGGATTAGGGTATTTAGGATCTTGCAAATAAACATTGAAAAAATCGGAACGTTTATTGTGTAAAAGACATTGAATTTGTTATTATTTCAATTATTTTAGGAAATATCATCTCATTCACTCCTATAAAAATAGCTTTTTCATTTTTAAAGTTGCAACTCTTGTTATTAATGGTTTTAATGATTCTTTGAAAAAAAACAAACAAATATTGATATCATAGGTAAAAACATTTTCTCCCATACCTATAAAAATGATCTTTTCTGTAATATTTTACTGCTGGCATACAGTAGTGAGTTTAAGGCCCTAAATATGCCGATAAATACAATTCACTTTCTTCGATGGTCTTGCTATTGTCTTTCGATCTCTCATGTCCCTATTATTCAATTGATACATTGTCGAAAAATGGACCATTGAAAAATGGTATAGAGCCAATATTACCTTTCATGAAACCCTGAAGCGACTTTTGCGGGCTGATTTAAGCCCAGAACTGAATCAAAGGCCTTAAACATGTAAGAAACCTAAATAAAACACTAGATGACGAATTACTGGGAACAAAAAAAGACCCAGGAGGATTTGTCCACACAGGTAGTGACCTGCATGTGGTCTGGGCGTCATGAGAAACAGCGACAAGTCGGATTCAGCGTATAGGGAGTGTTAAAAACAAAGTGATCCGGTTATATCAAAGTACAAGAAGTAGTTTATCAAGTTCGTTATGTTGCCGTGCAGGTGTTGAAATAGAAAACATTTCCTTGTTGTTTTACTGGTGATTTTAATATTGAAATCAAAACACTTACTTTAACGGGGAGAGTTCTTCAGATGCATCATAAAACTCGTCAGTCTCACTGTCACTTGCCATGTCAGCTTTTGTTTGTGCTTCAAACTATTAATGCAAGTTCAAGTTGTTTTCCTAGGCACACAAACTCCGTTATCTCTTTCGGCGTTTGCAACCATCTTGATTTGATACTCCTTAATCTGATTTTTTACAGGGATACAAACCACTTTAAAACTTGATGACAAGACCGTTAAACGCCCGCGGTGGTGCCATAGAAAAACTCAGAATGGGGGGGGGGGCAGCTCCTACCATGGGTTTGCGATTTACCTACAGATTTTTTGAAAAAGCAAATTACATCAACTTTGTTCTCACTTCCAAACACTCCCAATACCAAATCACTTGTTATCATTATCATATCTTCATATGCACCACTAGACATAAAGTATCATTCTTCAAAAAACTCTCTTCAGAAGAATGTGTGGTCCAGAAATATCTCGAAAATAATTTCTTGTGAAAGACACTTGCAAAATAAGATTTCTATATGCTACCTTGGGTACCAGAGTTTCTACGAATTAGTTACAGAAATATATTTTAAAGCTAATCTCATAATTTAACATTAAGTGTTTTCCCCTTCCAAGGGGTCAATAAACGCATCACCAGGTTTTCGAGGCTCTGGTACGGGTATATATTCGTTTTGAATGCAAGTAATCGATTGAAAAATAATTACATGATTTCAAAACAGCAATTCATGATGGTTTGGGTGTGTTTTACTGGGTGGTGAAAGGGTAAGCGCCAATTCGAGAAAGCAATAATTTGTTAGCCTGTGCTCCAGACCCCAAGCTAGGTTTTGTTAAAGCATAGTTTTTGCAAAGAATCGATATTTTAGATACTCCTTCACATCGGTTCAAATTGACTCAACATAAATGTCTAGGTGTATGATTCGCATCAGGCTTCATAAATATATCCTTTAATTGCTAGTTTCCAACTTCGTGTAAATTTATGGACAATTGCATTGATGCCCAAACTGGATTTTTGATGGTTCTAAAAGGTGCAACTGCTGGTCGGTTTGCTAATCCGCCACTTTTGGTTCAAAATACCGATATGGTTGTTTTGTCTTTAAAATGTTTTCGGCCACAATAGATTCACTATTTCTTGTTCTTTTTATGCTGAAATACAATTTATCCTTTCGCATTAAACAAATGTATTCGCTCTCCGAAGAAGGGACATAATTTTCAGCAGATTTTTGGCATTTTTCTTAAGCCACATCGGCCACACTGGGAATCATTTTGATTATTTTCTTGCAGTAAGCCAATCACGCAGAATTTGACATTATAACAATTTCTAATAGTGTTTCATAGCAAGGATGGTTTAGATGTTTTCTTTTAGCTTGTTATCATTCTTGCTTGCATTATTTCGTGATGCTCCCTTTTGCAACACCCTACTGTTATCGTATGCAAGATTGTGGAAAGAACTCAAGCTAAATAAAAAATTTCCCGATTACAGCCTTTTTATCAATGTGCGTTTATCTATTTCATTAAAGCCCAGAGTCGTGGGTGTGGATAACGTGAAGGAGGCCGCTAAAAGATACTTTCAGTACCTTTGTGTACATTTCCAGTTTCTTGGTCGTCAGGTAAACAGCATCATCTAAAGCAGGGACATATGTGTACTGTTGGGCTGCATCCGAATCTTCCCCCCAGTCTAGGGATGTCGGAACCATTTCAAGTTGAAGGGGTAGAGATAGATTGGTGCACAAAACGGGCCTTGTTTTTAAGAGGTTAATTTTTAGAGAAAGAAATGTTTCCAAAACTTGGAGGGCAAGTGCTCCTGGCGCATTATCCGGTTCACACATCCTTGATACATGTACGATGACACTACGATGATACATGTTTAGAAAGTTGAAGACGAGAAGGAAAGAGAAAAATGTGGCTAAAAAGATTTGCGAATATATCACTAATATCCGAAAAATTTGCAAACTAAATAACAAATCTAGAAAAATCACAACTTATACCTCTTTGATACATTTTTACAAATAAAATCTAACTGAAAAATAACCTATCTAAATAAGACTTTACAATAATACACATCAATTACGAATACCATCAAATCATTTTAACCGATCAATCTCAATATCTCCTGCTTCTTTTTTTCAGCGCCTCTCCAAGAAACACAAAACCCTCGGATATGAATCCTGCAGTCGGTTTCTCGAAGACCTCTTGATTTGCCTCAAGCCTTCGTTTCTCCATAGGACTATCGAAGTTCTGTATCGCAGTAGAAGAGCGGAGCCTTTACCGCGGTATTGCCTATTGACAGCGGTCATGAACATTCATAAATAAGACTTTTCGCAAGTTCAGAAGATAATTTGGAAGCAGAAATTGGCGCTAAGTTCAGTTGTCATGAACTAGCCATGTGCTTGCATCAATTGCCTCGTGTAATGTAATGTGATCGTGCTAGAATAACGTGATGCAATTGCATTTTGTTGTTAAGGTTAAAAGTTAAAAATATAGTTACTGTTGGTACTGTCATTTTGCAATATGAATGAAAAAATAATTGTTTGCATATTAAGCTGGTGTGGTAAATTCACCTGTTAGAGATCAAGTAGTATCATTTTAAGTTATGTCACAAGAAGGGGCATATTAAACATTTTGGACACGGGCGAGGGTCATATCTGAGCTTCATTGCAAACGCTGGGGCTAGCATATTCATTGCGAGTAAGAGGCCAAGAAAGTTACATTAAACGGTATGTGTACGCAGGTAAACAAAAAAATATTTTAAATAAAAATGGGGAGGTTTGAAATTTGAACGCTTTAGGAAAATGGCTGGAAATTTTAATATTTCAAATAAGGACAAGAACCATCATACAAACACTCCATCCGACCATATTAAAAGGGCGTTGTAAAAATATCAAAAAAATTTTTGCATGGAAATATTGTTTGAGCATGGAAAATAAACAATTCTTTGCGAATGAGAAAGTCTTAATATTTATGTCAAAATTCCAGAAACAATAACTGGAATTACTGGATCATATACAGGGCGCTCTTAATGTCCAAACCCCCTTTTTTCCACTGCGCTACCTTTAAAATCTTCAAATAAAAAGCTAGCCTTCAACCTATTGCTCTAGGAAAAAATTTGCAAACCACAAAAAATCTTAAAAGAACCGGACCATTCTAGTCAAATCTATGGATATCAAACTATCGGTTATTTAGACGTTGAACTTACAAATAAAACTATTTACTGCTTCTAAGTTTCTGCTCCTCAATAGCAAGTTCTTCTTGATGCCGTATTCTCAATTCCTGAATTTTAGCCATTGGGAGTGAACCAGGCACTTTGAAGCAGTTCTAAAAAAGAGGCAGTTAGTTACTTAGATAGATAGTATTCATTGATGGAAATTGGGCTTTTTGACAAAGGGTAAGAGTGTAACTTGTTTCCAGTTTTGTTTTCCTAGGTCCAAATATCAAGATGTAAATTTCTGAGTCACGGCGAGTCGAAGGGCAACGGCTCAAGCCCAGGGGTGTCGTCCTAAAAAGCAAGGAGGGGGTTTGCTGTAGGCAACCTCTAGAAGCCACTCCCACGACAGCACCTTTTAACACATCCAATACCATTGCATTTGTGTTAAAATCTTAAAATCAGAGAATCTGTAGCATTATAAAGGGTCAAAGATACTAAATACTTTTAACCAAAAATTAATTCATTGTTAAGAGCTCTAAATTTTAACAAAGGGGTGAGCCCTCTTAAGTCCCCCCTTCACGGTACTCCTGCCAAAGCCCCATATAATGTCCTGGCTGAAGTACTGGTGACCTGGCCAAGTACGGTTCTCTTTATGCTCGCCCAGCAATTCTTTGAGTAAGCATACCCTATATTCCCTTAGCTCTATTGTCACAATCCGTCACAATGCCTTCCTGCCACCAAGAAAGAGGAATGGTATTGGGTGCAAAGGTTTAAACATTTTGTATGGATTTACCTGCAAAAATGAATGACAATCGAGAGTAAGGCTGTTGTTCGTGATTTTCTGTGAAAAGAAAACACCAGTGAACAAGATACAATTTACTTTAATCCGATGATTATTATCAATTATGTAAAAACAAAGAAAAAGTAAGGAAAATTTTCCATAAACATCATTTTGAAATATTTACCAAACTGGAATATCGTAATATGCAAAGAACAGTGCCGAGAAAACATACTTTGGTTCAGAGCTAACATTACATAGAGGTTGTTCCTAATGATAAATAAATAATAACGATGTGTCAGGTAACGGTGTGGAGCTCAAGCAAACGACGTTAAATACACAGCTCGCCAATATAATAAAAACATAGCGGAATCGTTAAATAATTATTGAAGTAAGAACTGAAAACAAGACTCGCTATCAAATGCTCGGGCATTCTGTCCGCAATTGGGGATCAAATTGAGTTGTAATACAGGTAAAACGTTGAACCTCACCTTAAAAGTTTGGCAAATTTCTGTGAAATCCTTGCTTGCCAGGAATTTTTCTTTATTTGATATAATCAACGTGAGAGCTACTCGCAGCAGAATTTTCGAACCCTCGTAAAAAAGACAGTCCCAAATTCGGAGGGTGGTCTGAAAAATATATACAGGAATATGCAGGAGCTATCTGAATATTCAAATAGAGGATTGTGAATACAGATATGGAGCTCATCCTAATTAAATTGTTGTTTAAGTTTGAGCAAAGCTGATAATGTGTTATGTTGGTTATGTATCTGCATCATTCAGTTCGCATTCTGTATTTTGACCATGGGAAAGGCTCGTAAAAGTACAAAACAAATCGACATTTCTAATTGAACGCAAATAAAAATAATAATATTTCTTTTTTTACACGATTCAACCCTTCAGCTACCCTAATACAATATTAATTAAGTATAAATATATTTGTTCAATTGAAAAAGAGATAATCAATTAAAAAATATATAATTCATAAACGCAAAGATGAAAGAATCGACAAATCAAACGAACCGTGTTGGTTGTTAAAGAAAAAATCATTTTATCTTACTCTATCTAAAGAGGACTTGTATTTCTTCGTAGATTTACTGGAACAAAGTGACTTTTCTTACATCATAAATGTTCAGTTAGCTAACGGATTACTGTTATTTTGCTTGCTTAATTAGTTTTCCAGGGATCAAATTGCCATATCTCAGGCAATCTCTAACGGATTTAGCTTATTTTGCAAAGGAATTCATGTTCAAAATCCAAAAATTTTAAAAGTACAATTTGTAACGCCATCACTTTGCCAGTCTATTCACCCCCTGAGCGAATCGACAGGTCTCTAAGATATTTCTCAGTAGCAAGAAATCACTTCTCCTAAATCGTGGAAGATAAAAATCAATTCAAATTCTATTCAATTTAATTTTGCATTAAGCTAAACCCAGGGACGTTATTGTTTGGGGTATTGATTCTCTTTAAAGACTAATTGCTAACAGTGGGCCTTTGCGAGCGTGTCGACGATCCAAACAATGGCAGTAAACTTGTACGGATTAACCAAAATTGATTTCAGACTGTCTAAAAATGCATTATGGGATGCTTGCGTAGCGCAATGACTCATTGTTAGCAATAAGTCTTTAAGAGTCATGCACTCATCCGCCCCTTTAGAGGCTGTTGGAATCTTGAGCTATCACCAGCAAGACTTTCTGCCCTGCTAGTTGTCATTCATTGCAATGGGGTTAAAAGAATATTACCTCGACTGGCAGTACATCCATAAAGAGGCAAATAAACCATTTCGAGGTGGTGAGGTTAAGATCGATGCCATTCGACTTGAAGTGCAAATAAAGGTCTGGGTGTCTTTGGCTGAAAGAGGAGAGGAAATGTTGTTAAACTAGAATCGACAAACAAGAACTGCAATTTGAAAAAATACACTATCAATAAAAAACTATTTATGTAGTTTGAATTGCAAAAGTAATTTCTTGAAATCATCTGTCTCGAAGAATACAGTCTTCAGTATTATTAGCTACATATTTCTATTTAATGCAGGAAGTATCTACGATTTAATCTTTATTCTCCTCACGAAATCTCTCAAGATCTCAACAATCCTAAGATTTTAGCCCCTCCTCCTTAATGCTAGCTTAGCCAAGCACGTGGAGATCTCTTAGCAAATGGCACCTTACTTTCTCCAACAATAACCTAATTTAGTAATCCAAAAATTTCTTCGAAAGAAACCACTTGATCGCTGTCTCTTTAGAAAAGAACATCTGAGATATTTAAGAAAATTTAGGCATTGCAATGCAATCTGCAGAGCGAGCTTACAAAATGGCGAAAACGTACTTAAAATCTGTTGAGTACATAAATGTACAGTAAAGGTTAATTTAAATGGCAATTGGACATCCATTATTTCATTCCAACAGAAAAGTTTTTCAGTTGGTAACACTTCATCAGAACTATTTAGTACTGAATGTTGAACTGCATCATGCCAAAAGCCGACAAATTGAAAATATAACAACAACCTCACCTTATCAATTCCATTAAAACCAGAGTTTCAACTCGAACACCAACAAGATTCTTTGAATAAAAATCTGAAACAGAAAAAGTGAATTGCATGGTTAAAAACGAAAACAGCTTGTCATTTAAAAAAGTTACAGAATGGACACCTATCTTCATAGGCACATATTTTTTGACGACTTTCAATTTATTAGAAGAGAGTATCTTTCTAAAACATTCTATTATAGCTTGCTCAGTAGGAATAAAAATTTGATGAAGATTGTGCAGTATTTAGAAAATCGACAAATTAACTATACAACGATATAATTTCAGCCCCTGGCAACATCAAAAATAGCATGTTTCAGATTGAGGATGGAATCAAGAAGCCAACAAAACCTAAAGACAACAAACCTGGAACAAGTCTTTCAAGAATTTCCACAATTAACCAGAAGGACATTTTCTCATCTTTTGTTATTAAAAGCAACATACCAACGATGTAATTCAAGCCCTAGGTAAAAACAGCCTCTTGTTATGCTATTTGAGCAGCTGAAAATCTTTTAGAACCTATACAATAGTTGCTCAGTGATTGCTTATCAAAAAGTTTAACAATGTCAGTAAATACCATAACCTAAAATGGTTTGCCCATAGTTTTTTGATATGATGTCAATTGTAGTACACATAACATTGGGAAGACACAAAGAAATCTAGGGGATTGAACAGAGTTAGAACATTAAGGTCAGGTTTAAACATAATTTCATTTAAATTCAGCTCAGAAAAAAATCGCTTGAATCAAATTTCATATATACTAAAGATGCTTTGTAACCCTGCAAATTTTTGTATAGTTGCCTATAAACCGGTTGCTTATAAAATTGAGAGTAATATGGAGAAAACTCTTTTCATCCATATGGAATATCTTTTTCATCCACAAATTTGAGAACATAGAACCTACAAAAAGTGTTAGGATTTGAAGAAAAATCTGTCAAATTTTTTCATCTCTTGCAAGATATTGATTTCATTTTACAAATATATGTTTTCTGTACTAACATGTTTTTTGCTTTCTGTATAGAGTTCAAGGAGGGCTTACTTGAGTCAGTTATTCGTCAACATAGGGCCTATTCTAGAATGGGACATGGATAAGCAACGATGGCTCATTTTAACTCGTTTCTTGAAGAAAGGATTGGTTGCTTTAATTCAGCAGTTTAAGAAGTGTTATTCTGCAAAAGAGGTTGAGTACCTGGCAATATCCTATTGACTCTTTGTAGTGTGCTACTGCTACTAAAACATTTTTCAAGGATGTCAACTGGCTGTCCTTAACATCTCTGAAATAAACATTCTCTGGGTATGTTCTTCTAATATCTGCAACCACAAAAAGCTAATTTGAATTATCATTATCCAGCATAGTGGAAAAGTTTATTAGCAAAATACCTAAACTAGGTTAAACCTGTTCAGTATAAAGAAACTCTATAGGATTTTACCTCAAGCAAGGCTCAAAACGTTTTTAGGGAAGGTACCACCATGTATGAGAGCAAAAAACTGATTATGCGCCATCAAATATCTTGTACAAAAACTTTGAGTTTCAAAATCAATACCTTGTGCTTTGGAGTCATAAAATAACTTTTAAAAAGGCAATGTGATTGCTTTTGTCATCAAAAATTTCGTCCTTTAAAATAATTCCCCTGCAGAAAATCTTCTCCTTAAAAAATATTATGTGGGCATTGTTTTGGCAAACACATTCTCTTCATTCAGTACAGAAATTTCTGAAACATTTGAAAAATTAATATGCAAGATTGCAACAAGATTTAGCGCTTGACTGAATTTTTTCTCCTGAAGGAGTGAGATGGAGTCTCTCTGCCATTGTTTCAGGTGATATGTTTATGACAGTTTGCAAGTTCTCGCGAGCTGATGAAAAGTATGCGGGGCGAAAAAATGTATCAAGCTAGGTTTTTTCCTTTGTTTCTTTCCTTAGATTGTATAATATTGTTTTCTTTTCTTTAAGGTTTTACTATACGAAGGCGTACTTTCCCTAGTATACTGTATTTTCACATACAATAGGTTTTGTATGACCCTATTGGCTGTATCCCTACTTTTGAGCCCTGTTTAAGTGAGGCAAATGATTTGAAATATTTCACAGCTGCCTGTTGATATCACTGAGTGTGAAATTCAGAACTGCTCTATTCTGTATACAATAACTCATCAAGAGCTATAAGACAGACTGGTATAAACCCAATATTATATCCTATATGGAGAAAAAGGAAGCAATACCTCTTTCAATAATATCAACAATCTTTTCATCCATGTTACCCTGAACCAGTTCTTCATATTTCAATGGGGCTGCATCAAGCTTTGCTTTTGCCCTACTGATAATCAACCATACCTTGGAAAGAAGCAATCAAGTTCTGAGTAATGATTGTCAAATCCTGCAGCAATTATTTTACAAGCACATTCTCATCAAGAAATTTACAGCATGGAGAGTTTAAAAGGACAATCATGCATTGGGCTAGATACTAGGCAATTGAATGCAGTGATGTTTTTATTGTTTTTTATATATTATTTATGATATCACAACTTATTATTCAAATTTTTTAATATCTAAATCACCATATGATTTTCTAGGGTATCTTAGATGGAAATACTTTAAAACAATTTACAAGAAACCCTAAAACAAACTTTTGCAAAGTTAATTAAAGAACATATATAAAAGGCATATAAAGAATAATTATCATTACATAGGAGCTTCTATCTTGCACAGAAATTATCATATTTCATTAAAGCAAAGTAACACACTGACTTTCTTTGAAGCAGCAATCCATCAAACTATAAATGTTAGAGCCAAACAACCCTATGAAATACTAATACAAAAAAATCCTATTTCAAAGTCAAAATGTCAGAAAAAATATTTTACGCTATCCAAGCAATGGGCTTAAAAATTATGTTGAGCAATACCTCCCCTCTGCTTTCTGATGGCACTCCTTTACGAACATACCTCTTAACTGAAATAGAAACAGCAGCATATATGTAGGCTATGAAATGAAGAGAAGCAACAGAAATGTGCAATTTCTAAAATGGAATTTCTAAATTCAAGAAAAAACATAAAAGAATTGTTATTTGAAAGTCATTGAGTCAGATGAAAATATCAGGCATCATTTTCAAGAATATCCTTTCACTTTCTTACTAAAAATAGGATCAATTTGAAGCTGCAACAAAATGTGTACAGCTTTGGAAGCTTTCAAACTACTTTTCTGCATTACCTTGGAAAATTGGAGTTGCACAGGGAATGGCCACAAGGAATGTAGTTGAAAAAATAATTTTACCTTTACGCAGACCATGCCTCATTTCTCTTTTTTCTATTTTCAACGGTTTTACGCATCAACCAAGGAAGAATGAACAATTTACTGGGCTTTGGACACTTGCCTGTGTCATCAAGTTTTCTTAACATAACTTTCATTGAGTAAAACCAAAAACGTACCTTTTCTGGAATGAGTAAGATTGGATAACTTGGTCCCTAACAACTTCTCCCATTTGGCAGCTCTTCTTGCCAGAACTCGTAGATAAGCAGACATAAATGCCTCATAGCTGTCATAGTCAAAATCATCTGGCCTTTCAAATCCATACTGGTCAATTTCCCTACAAATGATACAATATTTGTCAACAAAAATGACCTTTCCACTAGAAATGACCTTTCCACTAGAGGTCAATATCAGCTTGCATAGCTGCCAGTATTTTAACCTCCTCATAAAATAAATTTGTATGTAAATTTGCATTTGTATGTAAAATATCTATTCAAATTTTCTTATCAATATTTGCAAACCTTTTATCAGTTGTAGAGCTAATTTGTTCACTGTTGACATCTAAACAACAGTCGTTTCTAAAAGACTGAACACCCAAAGAACAGGCTGAACACCCCAATAACACCCTAAGAACAAGATTAAACACCCCATCCAAAATTTGGATTTTGAAATAAATGCTGCAGTACTTTTTAGAGGAAATGAAGTAGCAGAAACCAAGGCATATTTCCTGCTTTCTGTTTTAAAATACCTAGAACTAAATGCAAGAAGGTTAAAAGACCTTAATGGACATAAAACGTAACACCATTCAAGGATAAGGAGCACATAACCTGTATGCCCAGTTGCATGTGTTAAGCAGCTAAGAATTAAATCATTCAAAACCAGATTGAATACCTGTCACAAAGGTTTGACAGGCCTGGTCGTGAGCATTTTAGCAGGTGCGCGGTACATTGCTCTCCTCAGTAAAGTTAGGCGGACGAAGTTTAGTTATTCTTTAACATCTAAGTTTACAAAACAAGATGGCGATTCTCTAACAAAAATAAAACGATAGTTTCATATTTTCGCAAATCAACAACATTCAAAATTTGTTCCCTTGATGTAGGCTTCAACAGCTGCCTTTGCACTGCCTTTGCAAAGTGGATCCAAGAAAATAGAAGCTTTATGTTTAGCACAAAGTTTGCGCCAAACGACATGCCAAGGATAAGGAGCACATAACCTGTATGCCCAGTTGCATGTGTTAAGCAGCTAAGAATTAAATCATTCAAAACCAGATTGAATACCTGCCACAAATGTCTGTAGTAAAGTTCTTATTGCATTGAAGCCATTCATATCATTAGATAAATAGCAGATATGGAGAAAGTTCATAGATTGTTATGCCTATATGTGGATCTCAGTTTGTGGTCATTAGAATTTGGCCATCTCATTGGTTTTCCTAGCAGTAAAAAATCAAATACACTGTTCACACAGCTACGGATCACTTTCGATTCAGATAAGAGTGATACATATAGGTTGCACTTATGCTGCTATGAATCACTTACTGATTGGTATCAAAAGCGATACAGATTGGCCTTTTGTTTCTATCACTGTTAACATACTGTGGCTTTACTGATCAGTTACCCATAAAACTTCTGATTGACATATGATAGACATATCACTCTAGCACTAAGTGATAAGGATTGCCCAGTTTTACACTGGGCTCTTATGAGTCTTTGCTAAAAGAATCAAGGGAGCAAGACTGGAAACTTTGTCATGCGCCCATGATATATTGCACGCGCACTCAAATTTTCCATCATCATTTTGGCCGTGCAATGTCCCTATTTAAATACATTCCACATTAATAACAATACAAATTTCTTAAAAGTGGGTGATTTCAGGCGTGCAGTCGTGCAGTCAGGTGCGTGAACTTGCCCGCGCAAGAAACAAAGTTTCCAGTCTGGCAAGGGAGCAAACAATGCAGAAAAGGATTAAGATTAAAGGACAAAAAGGATTCTAACAAAACACCATTTAAAACACATAGATTCTGCGGTTCATTTTATCTTTAACAAAAACTGGCCTTAGCTATGTTATCATTCAATTATGTTGCTATATTTTTCTATTTTTTTCAAGAAAGGGGAAAGAATTGAAAAAATTTGCATTATTTTTTATTCAAAACGGCACAATTTTAATTTACAACTACCGATTTTGGCAAATGGAAGACCTTAGGATGATCCCTGTTACAAGATGCAGTTTACAAAAAAGCTTTGATGGATTAACCTGGAAAATTATTCAGGTGTTGATAAGTAACTGTTCCATTTGTTTACTAAAAAAGTATCAAAATCAATGTTTTTAGGGAGATTTTTGCAGGTCTAAATCAAAATCTTCAGCTATTTAATCGTTAAAAATAATTAAATCATTAGATCAATAAAGAAAACTTTCCCTACCCTGTGATCCCGGCCATAATCTCAATGTGACTGTTAATCCATTACTTTTATCAGTGTGCCCAGAATATGTATCTATAAGGCAAGGTAAAAAAACCCAAACACAATCGAAAATTAAGAATATTAATACTTGCATATTCTTCAAATAAGGGGCAATCAAAACATTCAGGTTTGAAACTCAGAGAGCTGATGAATTTGGCAACAATCTATGTAGTGGCCTAAATAATCAAAAAGCTTAGTGAAATGTCTGAAACATGAAACTAGTCCCAAAAATACAAAATTAGGGTACAAGGGCAAGAAACAAAGTATCCTAAAGTAATCAAAGTGTTCAAGAATCTTCCATAAAATTGAACAAGGAAGGCACGTACCAGCCGGTAAAATTGAACTTCAATTCATCCCGAATGTGATTTCATGTGACAACAACAGCAACTTTCATGGGCAGGGTCATGTAAACCAAACCCCCTCTCGAATTAGCCCCTGGAGGCTTATTTATTTTTGAAATTTTCGGATGGGGGCTTATTCGAGGGGGGCTTTTACGAGGGGGCTTATGCGAGGGGGGGGCTTATAGAATTATTTCAGACATTAAGAAGACATAATTAAAGCTTGGTTTCCACTATGAGTTAACGTGAGTTAATTTGAGATAATTTTGTGATCTGACATGCTTTAAAAATTATCTCATAGTGGAAACGGTCATTAAAAATTATCTCATGAAAATTAACTCGTGTTAACTCACGTTATCTCATGAGCTTGGAAACAAAATTTTTTTATTTCAAGCTCATGAGTTAACTTGAGATAACATCTTATCAAAAGAAGCCGATGCGTGGGAGGGGAATGTGCTATAATTTGCAGTGAGGTTCTTACGCAACGCACTTGCACTGAGTATTACTTTAGATGTTGAAAAAAGTTTTCTTTACTGAAAAAAATTAATTGTGAAATAAGAGAAACATTTTCTCATTTCTAAGATCCTGTTGCAAGTGGTCGTATTCACCAAACGCATATCTTTTTTTGGTAGACTCTCCGTACCGAAAACCTTGGCGCAGATCGAAGCAGAAGTAAAATAAGTTGTTCTTGTAAGACGCCCGCCATAGCTGCAAGACTCAAATAAAATGTGATTTCTGAAATTTCAATACTCAATTCTATCTCAAGTGGAAACCGAATCGGTGCATGGGTTAATTTTGAGATAGCTCGCGTTATCTCACGCTATTTCACACTATCTCAAGTTAACTTGAATTTAGACCATGAGTTAATTTTCAATTTAGCTCAGAATTATCTCACGTTAACCCATAGTGGAAACCAAGCTTAAAAGACCTTGTTTATTTTAGTAGTAATTTCTCTATGAGCATTTAATTAATTACTACCAAAAGAACGAATTTGTTGGGGGTAATTCAATAAAACGCCATAGCAACCTCAGATGGCAAAAAGATCAAATGGAGGGGTCAAATTCGAGAATTTACGGTAGCAGTGGGGGCTTATTCGAGGGGGGCTTTTTCGAGGGAGTGAGCCAATTCGTGGATTTACAGTAACGTATTTCGACGCATTCTATCGCAATTCACGTTCCACGATTTTCACGATATATGAAAACCGAAAACGTATTTCATCTTAGTTCACCGTAATTCAACGTATTTTATCGGGAGAAACAAAATTGTTTCATTTCTTCCGATGAATTACGTTAAATTACGTTGAATTACGTTCTATTAGGATTATTTACGATAGGTGGTTTTCATAAAATTTGGTCGGTTTTCATGTAACGGAAAAAATCTAAATTGATCGTAGACTCTGAATTGCGATAAAATACTTCGAAATACGTTATATGAAAACCAGCCTTGAAGTGCACTAGGCTGGGAACCAAGCCCCCCATCTCACCCCTTTATGGAAACAGCGATTGAAACATTAAATCGAAGGAGCGATGAAAAACTCCAAGTTCAATGTCCGAAACTAAAGCTAAGCATTGTCAGAGTAAATTTAGACATTTTCATAAAAAGGAGACGGTGCATTTTTTAACAGCATATTAAAAAGGAGGACATAAATGACTACCTTTTTGAAATGTTTATAATGCGCTAAAAAGCTTTAAACATAACTGGAGCAGGTTCATCCCTCTTGCTTCTAGATGTTCCATCATATAAGAGAGAGTCAGCTGACGATAATGAAATAAGCTTGGCGTTTCCTTTTTTCGTGAAAATCCAGTCCCACATGTTTCTTCTTTTGCATCTTTTTTGCTTTGGAATTTCCTATGCATAGTAGTGACATAACCTGTGCATGATAAAGTAATTCATGCTATTTTGCTTGTTGCTTTCTGTTTTCTGTTGCTATTTTTTGATTTTCCAATTTCTGCTGATATTCTTTTTCTTGAGCTTTGTTCCTTTTTTCTATTGTTGTTTTTATTTTTGGGGAAATCTCAGCCTAATTTTTCTTATTGAGGTTGTTCCTATAAAAAACGTGTTGTTGATTCTCGGGGGGGGGGGGGGTTACCTTAACATTTTTGAAGGTACGGGGGACGTGCCATTGTTTAGGAGTACCTTTTTCTGAATTGCGGAATTATCAGTATCAGTTTTTGAAATATGTACGGAACTATAGGTACCATTTGAAGAGACATACAGAACTATGGGTCACATTTTTCAGACATGAGGGGAATTATGGGTGCAGATTTTTTAACAAAATGACACGTCCCGGTCTAAAATTAGGCCTACCCCCCCCCTTACCCACCCCAAAGGTGATTATGGCTTAATGAATAGCTGGAAATTACATCTCTTATTGCTGGTCTTTGCACCTCGCTCAAAGTGCCGGTTTATATGAGCAAATTTATCCCACCTCTCATCATCTGACAGGTGGGATGAAATCGTCGAATGTTTACATGCAGATTTTATTCCAACTTTGAAAAGTTTATGCTGACAAGTGGAGCGAAATTTGATGGCATTTAAATAAACATTTCATCCCACCTCCCAGCTTCATTCCTTCTCCCAGCGTTTATTTGGAAAAAAATTCCACCCCGCCCAAGTGAGATCCCACCTATTACACACTGGAATCTTACCAAACCGGACTGGTTCATTTGCCATGTAAATAAGATGAAAGAAGTAAATAGGTAAGAACCTATTCTGATCTAGGAATCCGATTTGGAATACAGCAGCTGATGATATGAAGATAATATCATGAACAATGCACCAGTGGCGTAGTTTGATCCTCCAGCCTAGGGGGGTTGGCTACAGGGGGTGCAGCATCATCATAAGTAAAATTTACTATCGAAGACATAGCTGAAGAAAACCTTTAGGTGCTTTTTCACCTACTGACGGATGATTTTACCGACATACGAAGGACTCGTGGACCAATTGAAGATTTTCCGACCAACTCATGAAGAACAGGTGTGTATGTGTAACACTCCCCTAAACCACCTGCTAGCTACGCCCCTAAATTGCACTTTTAAGAAAAAGTAAAAAACAATAAAAATACACCATTTATTATGAGGATGAGTTTCTAGCCGTAAACAACTTTCAAAAGCAATGAAAACATCAGTTATCTTTTTTTAGAATACTTTTTTTTACACATTGTATGATATTTTCATTACAACATATTTTTTAGGAATAAGCTCTTTATGGACGTTGGTTAGAAAATCTACACCTACAAAAATGTAGCTGTTTTCTATCTGTTTTGTCAAATAAGAATTAAATGAAATGGAATATTCTCTCGCTTAATATGTTTATCGCTTAATGTGTTTATCGGATGTCTTGGTAATTGTGCCAAATATGAGCTATAAAATGATGGCAATATTTAAGCTAATTCACTCATCATCATCATCAGCTCCGTGGCTGAGGCGGCCGTGGGTGCACCCAGTTCGTGATAGCCTTTCTCCAGCCTTCCCGATCAACCGTCATACTTCTCAAGGTGTTGCCTCTTTCTCCCGTCCACTCAGTAATATTCCCCATCCAGCTTCTCCGTGGTCTCCCTCCGCCCCTGCTTCCCTCCATTCCGCCTTCCATCACAGCTCTACCAGTTCCTCCTCCACGAACCAGATGTCCGAAGTACTGGAGCTTCCTCCTCTTCACCACATCCATCACATCTTCCGGTTCATATCCACAGATCTCTTTGATCTTATCTTAATTCACTAGACGAAGCTAAATCATGTGATGTCTGTTTCTAACTTCATCTAATTATTATTGCTTTTTTATATAAATTCTCATAATATTGATTTTTAGATCAGAAATTGGTATTTATTCTAGGAGCAAATGATCATTTAACAATATTCCGTAAGAGGTGAGGGTAAATTGACAAACTTCAGGTTGAATAATTCAGGAGCCAAATAATCTGTTGTATATCAAATTTGTTTATGGCTTGAAAGTGGCACAATTTCAAATGATCTTGAACAGGACGGCCTAAGTTCTTTACACCAAATGGCGTGTACAGCTCTGCCTATACGGCATCGAGCACTTTATGACGGACAGGTCAATAGTAATTTTTATAGACTGACATTTAAGTTAAAAAAATGCAGCCAAAGAATATACCGATGCTCAACATCAGAAATAAAAGTAGATGGCACAAAGATTAAGTATTCAGGCTGCTGGGGACTGGTCAAGCCCTTATTCAATCACTGTTAACTGAGCGTGAATTAAAAGCACAGGCAGAGAAGATAAGAAGCTCAAAGGTCTCGGAATTTATCCATTATTCTTCATTATTCTAGTGTTATGTGGATTTATCGAGATTAATGCCGACTAATACGGTTCTTTTCTTTGCTGCATTTCCTTTAACGAACGCAGCGGCTTTTATTACAAAATCCAAACTTTGGATGCGGCGTTCAATAGAGGGCGGCGTTTATCAGACGATGGGGTTTAATACAAAATAAAAAGCTTGTCAAGTAGAAAATTACAAGAAAAATGTGACAAAAAAAATAAAAACAGACTTTAAACAATGTTTTCTTGTGTGAAATGTTTTTAAAAGTTCCGTTATGGAAATGTCAAGGAATGCCAATATCCCTGTCTTTGTCAGAGCCGTCATATCTATGACATGATAACTTTAATAGCTTTCGAATAATAAGCGTATAAACTATTCGTTACTTCTTGTTTGGTATGTTTTCTAATAAACGCCGCTTTTCAAGATGTGGCGTTCAATAGAGGGCGGCGTTAATCAGAGGGCAGCGTTTTCTCCAAATGGTTGGCTGAAGGCGCAGTGTTCAATAAAGGGCGACGTTTACCAGAGGGCAGCGTTCATTGGAAAAAATACAGTATATTCAAAGGGTGGATAAGATGCTTGAGACGATTTGCCTCTTGGAAACAGTGACCGACGCGACACAACTCTACCAACAATCGTCAACTTGCGTTTGATACCATGACATAGTAGCTGAAGTTTGTTGCTATAACACAAAAAACTAGTTTAGTTCAGACAAAGCTTCCAGGGGCTCCATCGTGTTACTTCAGAATTGGGGGGGGGCCTTCCCGTCCCCCTTCCCCGGGCTTTATGGCCCTGTAAAACACTATAGCCATCTCCGGTTGTTTTTAATCAAACAGTGCACCTGCTTCTTTATACTGGCTAGATACCAAAGGTGGCTTTAAGGGGACAATGGCATAGGGCAAGGGGTCATAGCTCAGGACCCCCACGTTTTGATAGCAAGAAGGACCCCTGCACCTAAGAAAAATGTTGAAAATTTAAAAGAACAAGGTGCCCACAGATGCAATATATTAGTAAGCAACACGGACAAATTCAAAAGATTGGAATAACAATTTCTTGGGCATTTTTTTCAATATCGTACTGTTCAGAAGTGAAAACTTTTCATCTTAACAAGCTGCAACAGCAACGTGGCTCAACACCCCCGGCCCACATGCGTACGAAGTGTCATATTTGGTCCAAAGTAAAAAGGTTACCAGTCTCTTCGTTCTACTTCTTTCTTAATCATTAAATGAAAAATGTTCCTTCCCCTCTTAAGCTCCCCCCCTTCGAACGAAAAAGGTATGTTTTTTGTCCATTTAGGTACGTACATGAGAAATAGTATCACACTCCTTTAAAGCCTGATTTACACGAGACGAATTTTTTCGTGTGAAGCGAATTTTTCGCCGCGAATGCGCGAAAAATATGCGCAGAAGTAAACATTAGAAAATTCGCTGCAAAAAAGTAGAAACCATTCCTACTTTTTCGCTGCGAAATTTTTTCGCCTTATTCGAAATTTCGAAATTTTTCGCCTTAAACCAATCAGAACAGCATTTGAAGACATCTGACTTCTGTTTCGGTTTCAGATGGCCTACGTCTTTCCGCATTATTTTTCTCAAACTCTCTCGCCATTAAAACGTCAATAAAATAGATTGGCGAAAACTGGCTTGAAAGTTTCATCGTTCTACCAATATTTCAGAAATAAAAAATAATAGGCAAGAATTTCTTCAAATTGCTGAATTATTGGCTGCTGATTGGCCTGCTCAACAGCAACAGTTTTAAGCAGATGCACTAACAGGATCTCGCATGCAAGCTTCAATAGCGATCTTTGAAAGTATTTGAAGAAGTTATTCTGGCCTTATAAATGTAAACGTAAACCTCTCTTACCGAAAGATGGAATTCCCCCTTCTGAAGACGCCCTAAATAGACCTTTCTAATTCGCTTCGCGTGAAAAATTCGTCTCGTGTAAATCAGGCTTTGAACTTTGCCTTCGTAAAACAAAAGTTTTCAAGCCCGATGGAAATCGCAAATGAAAGTTGGTTTAAAAGAGAAACAAAAGCGCACTCTGCTTCTGCAGCTCCATGTAGCGGAAGCCAGAACAAAAATTGTTGTTGGTTTTCGACATCTTCAGGTTATATTTTTAAATATTGGTGTTGGCTTCAAACTTGCTTAGCAGTGTTCTCAAGTTACGTGTAACGTTAAACCTGTAATGTGGAATGGACGAGATGCAAACTAACAACAGGGATGAGTTCTGTTATGAAGAATACGAAAGCGAAGAATTATCCACACCTTTTATTACAACAGAACCTAACCAAGTATGCTGGCGAGCAACAAGACCGAATATTGCAAAGTCGCTGAGAAAGTGTGCTATTTTGAATCTGCAAATAAGTACTTGTGGTTTTGTATTTGGACTGATGGCTATAGGAATTTGGTGGATAGACCTTCACATAAACACGTGTTGTTATAGCAAAAGTACAGATAGTTGGAATCTTTTGCAATTGAAATTTAAACGATTGTGTGTTATGAGCATGTCGTTCAAAGAAGTTGTAGTTCAGTTGTGGCCTCTTGCGTGTATTATACCAGTTCTTGGATGGAGAATTTCAATTCGTCAAAACATTTTTGTTTGGAATCTGCTGAGGGCATTCTTTATGGTCTCCGTCTTACAGTCGTCTTACATATACGACGTTTTCCAGTACAGATTGAGATCATACTTAGGAAACGTATTTTTCGTAGTGGGCATTGGATTCTGTCATTGGAAACTGGCAACGTACTACCTCGGAAATCATCAGTCATTCTGGAAGAAAGCTAAGTTAGCAGCGAAGGCAAGTATGCAGCTTTCAGTGGGCATAGCTTGGTGGATATTTGTGGCCTATTTTATTCTCCCCTCATTTGAAAGAAGCTCGTCCTTGGTAAAAGCAGTTCTTTCAACTACAATACCGATAGCCTCTGCGCTCCCAAAGCTGCTGACAGGCTTTGTAATCGGCCGCTTGGAAGGCGCATACAGTCCAGGTGAAGCAGTAAACTTTATAATGGCTTTGCAAGTTTGCACAACATTAGCTGCTAGGCTTTTTCAAGCGGACAGCTCGTCGTTTGTTGTGTTCCTTGCAATAAGCTCCGCTCACGCGTTTTTGGGCATAACTGATAAACTTTTGCTGCCAGTGCGAGACAAGATCTCGCGAATGATAGCCAAGCAAGAATCGATGCAGGTTGTAGATAGCTCAACAACAATGCAACACTGTGGAAGTGTTACCAGCCAACCCTATGAGTTGAGACTCGATGAGCATACAGTAAGAGAAGGCCAAAAACTGGATCGCCCTCCCCGTGTCACTCGCCTCATAGCAGACCAATCCTTAGTCAGTATGATGACTGAAACCTCGGCAATTATAGTAAGCTGTGCAGTTGTACCAGTCATCAAAGACCTTTATTCAACTAAGGATAGAAATCATGACGGCGTGCTTTTCTTGGAGTTGTTCAAACGTGTTGGAGCTGCTATCATGATAGAGTATATAGCGAATATTTTTGCAATACATATACAAACATACATGCATAACATTCCTGTGATAAAAGTATGGAGGTTTCGATGGAGGTGGATCCTTCTGTTGCATTTAATTCAGGTCATTTACTCTATGGTGTACTTTCCAGTCCACATCAATGCAATTTTGCTGGAAGCGAATGCGGCATACAAGAACAATTCATGCCGGCAGTTATAGTTTTACCGTGATGACGTCACAAAAAGCGACTTTAAGAATTCTTTAACTTCGATCGCATAACCTTCGATCACATAACCAAAATTACAATGTGTATGCATATTATTCGAAATCAGCTAAATGCGTTCAAAACTGTCAGGCTCTTTCCACATCAAACTTTTGTAATTTGGTCTCTGTGCATAACATTATGAACGTAGTTAACTAACCTTCCAAATTTACACGCCTTTCGTGGTGTTCTTTTAGGTTCGAAAAATCGAAAAATTCAAAAATTGTTTTCTCATGACGTCACACTTCGATTCAAATTCCTAAACGATCTACTCCAATGAGAGGACTAACCACAACGATGAACAAAGAAGTTGTCATTTAAAGCGCTGTATTCTTTAACGGAAATTCATTTGTTCATTTTCGCTTTTTCACAGGATAGATAAATCAATGTTACAAATACTCCATTACAGCTTGCTCTAATAACAAATTAAAAATAATAGAAGACCTTTTTTGCAAAGTAATTCCTTATAATAAGTAAAATTACTAAGGAAAACTAAAAAGGTATCTGACGTATTTGTCAGAGACGGCTGTAACCAGACCTTGGGGACAATGTTGATTTTTAATGATGATTTTGCAATTACAAAGTGTGCAATTATATGTGTAGTATATTTTTCATTGTTTCAAAGTCCTTTATTTGTTAAATATCAAACCAATGAAGTTTTATAAGAAGAATCAATTGCTATTTGTAATTTTGGAAGAGCCGATAAAGCAGCATCCCGAATAAGGACCCAGGTATGAAGCAAACATAGTTAAAAATGTCATCATGAATACAAACATGGATATCGTAGAAAAAGGTAGTAAAAAAGAACAAAAAGTCAAAAGACAGGGTCCAAATCTAAAAAACTAAGCTTTTTAAATTGAAAATAATCCAAATGGGTAACAGAGAATTCTTTCAATTTGACTTGGTCATTTTTAAGGGCATCTGTGACCAGTTGAGCTGTACTTAACCTTTGCCTAGGCCTTCCGGCTTTTCCTGAGGTAGGTAGCTTTTTTTCGCTGTCTGGTATTGAATAGCAATTGAGAGCCTCAGATTTGCATACCATGAAGGTTAAACAAACTCAGTTTTTAGAAAACCATAGCTGGTATCACTTGATGCTTCTGTAAAGCAAGTCACTGACGTAAGAATTTATGGCATCATGAGCAAAGGCGAAGTCTGGCGAAAAACATTGCAACATCAAGTATACATCACAGTGCCATTAAAATTCCTGGTAAACAACTGTCGAGGTGCGAGCGGATATGAAGAAAATACTATAAAAATACAACAAAGAAATAGGTTTTAAAAACAGTAAACGGTATTTAGGCAATAAACGGTGGTTGAAAGTTTTGGATGGAGACGCTCTTTACTGAAGAAACTGATTTCACTGTTATTATAGTTAAAATGGTGTTACGAACAGGATAGGTGACCTGATTTAAAGTAGCGATGAACTGATAAAGCTGCATAAGTGATTAAGAAATGTGCAGGTTATCAAGATCAAGAAAAGCTCTTCAAGGATCTGTCTTAAAATCCTTTTTAAATAATATCGATAACAGTAGCAAACTTCTTTATTTTGAAACAGGCAGCCAAAATTCCAAAATCCGCGAATCAAGAGAATTATTAGATACAGTAAGAGTTAGTAGATACAGTAAAATACAAAACCACAGAAAAATACAGTGTTAATATAGGACATTATTTACAAATGCTTTACAATGAAGCCATGCCAAACAGGCAAGCAATTTTCGAGTAAAATATCCTGTGTTGTAGTTATGATAATAGGAAGATAGAAAAAGTGTTTACTTACAACTTTGTACAGTCTCGCACTCCACAGGAAGTAATTAATGTATTGATACAATTATTTCAACTCGTTGTCTTTCAGAAATAGAATATTTATAGGGCACTTAAATAGGGTAAATATTCCTATTAAATCGTCTAGGCAAAACTAGAATGAGGCAATAATTGTTACATTGCATGGTTAGGGTTTAGGAATGCTACTGATAATGAGGCGGAATAGTTTCGAAGCACCTTTAAATCGTTTTATAAATTAAGGTTCCTTGCTGTAAACAAAATTCTATTCTTTAGCAGAGAGGAAGGAAGGTCAAAATTGGAGCAGCTGGCCTTCAGTTCCTGCATCTTTCCAATCTGATTACCATTGACACAAGGACTAAATTGAAGAGGTTTTTACATAGCACTGGCAACGAGCAAGCTACTTCCAGGCACTCACAGTCTGCCTCGCAGCGGCTATTGTTTTTCTTTGCTGTTTGAGTTTTCCTGGTTTTGTGGCTGGATGGCTTTGGCGCTTCGAAGAAGCGGCAGGTCTCGAACTCTGAAACAGTAAAAATATTGTTAACAATCTTTTGGTGGTACAAAACTTGAAATGGCATTTTAAAAAAGCAAACATTTGAGTAAACTAAAGCTTTTGTGTAGACCAAAGGAGTTCGTTTCCACCTTAGGACTCCATTGGTAACAATCTCGATAGGCAAGCGGCACTGATTGGTCAACCTCAACAGTCATGTGCATGCGTTTTTGATTGGCCTATTTCGATCCACAACTGGGTTTATATGTTTCCTAGCGTAGAGTTTTCGAACATGTTCTGACGTTTTAAACTCTGAAGAGTGTCAGACGAAAAGCTTTAGTTTACTCAAATGTTTGCTTTTTCAAAGCCACTTTTAAAAATATTGTTATTTTTCACAATAGAATGACAAGTGAATATTTGTTTGGCTTGAACACTAGAAATGTCTCTTTTCTATCGTATTTTTCTACAATGTAACCATAGTAATATTAGTCGGTCTGTTGTAGATTTTGTTAAAGTCCTGGAGGCTGGTCTGAGCACACTCTGGAGTGTATGACAGGGCGGCTACTTCGAGCTTCACGCTTCCTGCAGTTACCTACACATAAGAACATATATAATTAAATTCAAATACGTTGGATATGGGGCAGGGTTAAGCTTTCATGGTGTAGCGAAATGGACTTAGCACTAATACTGTGTTTAGGCTTTGTGCTCATCGTAGGAATGCATTAGACTTTATCACAAAACAAAGCACAAGTCCAGTCATTTGTCACAAGTGCAGTTGAAATTACTGTTTATCGGTCTGTCATAATGTGCTCAATGCCGTATAAGCAGAGCTGTATATCTTTGTATATACAGTGGAATCCCGACATACGAACTCTGAAGGAAACCAGAAAATAGTCCGTTATATCGGAAGTTCGCTAAACCGGGAGAAAACGTTCTTTGGTTTTTCCGCAGTTGTTCACGCCACGCCTAAAAAACCTGCGGTGGGCTTGTTTAGGCTATCTCCAACTTTTGTGCATATTTTACTCCGAAAAACTAAGCTGAATTCAAATATTACTAATTGTTAGTAATCAAAAATGAAGATCTTCATGCTCCTCTTACAATTTGGTACCCAGACATTGGCAAAGCTGATATCGATTCAATTCTAGTTGGCGGCTGAATGACATCTTCGATTACTTCACATTTTCATTTGTTTAACCCGTGCTCTGAGCCTATCAGCCAGGGCTTGGAATGTAACATCAGCATGTTTTGCCGATAAGATTTCCCCCAAAAGAAATTGATAAATGAACATCAAAAATAAATAAACATAAACAACAGACGAAAAATTATGAAAAGTTCGTTATATCGAGGGTAATTATGATGAAGGTACCCAAAATTCGGTTCGTAATATCAATAGTTCGTTATATCAGGGGTTCGTTATACCGAGAGAATTTGTAAGGGACCAAACATTTAGTTCGTTATACCGGGAAGTTCGTTATACCGGGAAGTTCGTTTTACCGGGAAGATCGTTATATCCGGGGTTCGTTATATCGGGATTCCACTGTAAGAGGCGAAAACACTCCCGAATGACATGCTGTAGCATGTAGCTTATTCTACACATTCGATTAAAATGTTTGAAAAAGTTCTGAAAAATTTCTTAATAGTTTTTGTGGATACCATAGTTATATGTCTGTCAGTTAACTTGGCCTAAGCCTTATGGCTTCTTTCTTAAGCATTTTGCATTGACTTGAAAGGAACTTTTTCGCCATTTTTGGCATTGCCAAAAACTTGAGATTTTCATGTCCCTTCTGCAAAGCTTAAACATATATTTGAATGCAACATAACTGCAACGCGAATTCCTAAGGCCCGAATGAATGGCTACATACATGAAGGCGAGTTTATGCAAAATACACTGTGACGTTACTTTGCATTTTCTCTCCTCATTATTCAATTCAACGGTCGAAACTCAAGCGATTTCATCAGATATTCTAAACAAATGACGTATTCATTATTAGCAGGTCCAGAGCCTTTTTCACGAGAGAAACAAGCATCATTTGGTAACAGTTCTGGGTTCTCCAATACAGACTGCGTCTGCTTCTCCAAAACATTACCATCTACGTAAGTCAAGGAAAACTTATTTGAAATATCTATACTACTTCTAGATAGGTTACCCAGCAACCACAATTAAATCAGATTCGAATCAAAGCAAACGTAAAATTTGGCACTAAAGATTTACGCACTGACGAAGTTTTCATCCTCGTTTCAACTCTTGCTTTGTTTGGTACTGAAAAATGTCTACACAAAATAAAACTAGTCTCGAACAGAACCAGAGCTAGACTGTCTTTTGTTCTAAGCGGGGATGGACCGGCTTCTTTCGGGACTAGAACCATAGTTGATTATGCCAGAACTGGTGGTCTCTCGTGTAAACAGAATCTCAGTTCAATTACACAAACTAGTAAAGCTGATTAAAATAATAGATGGAGACTGGTTTTAAATCTAGAGTTTTTTCGAAAAATAGTAAAATTTGTTGTTACCAACAACAAAATAATCAAGTTTCAAGTAGCAATCAAGTTCCGCCTGGACGAAATCTCAACATAAAATTCATCAAAATTCATCAAGCTACGCATTTGCATCGTAATTTGACAAGAAATTGAATTGATTGAGAAATGATTGCAATTTTGAAAGTCGAAACTCACAATCTTCGTTTCTGCGTCTGCAGATGAATGTTTCTCGCTATGTGATCCTTCTGAATGGCCATAGATTTTTTGCAATTGAGAAAAAATTTCGACAACTTGCGATCTCTCGTGGTGTTTTTGATGCCATTGCGAGTTAGATTTGGGTCGTTGAGTCGCTGATGAGCTTCTTGAAGACCGTACAGCATCTGGATGTTCTGTTGAATGCTTGACAACTTGCCTCTTCTGGGATTGGCTGAGAGGAACAATGAATGATAAGAGTGTTTGTGTGTTAATCGTGATACTTTTTGACACTGCCTGATTTCATATCAGATCAACAATCTTGGCCAAAAGGTTAGTGGACTTGAGAAAAAACCCAATAAAAAGGCAACTTTACCCCAATAATGTTATCAAAACCCCCCACCCTTGCAGTAATGTTGGTTTCTTGGAAAACGACGGCAATCGAAATGAGTAGAAATAAGTGTATCAACATTGACTGTGGGGGGTGGGGAGCGCATTTGTTCAAAAAGACTACAATTTGCCAGCCAGTCCAATAACTTTTAGCCAGGATTGAAGAAAAACAACGGTTAGCAAAAACTAACAGACGAGGCAAGTATTAGCAAAATGCGAAACATATCAGAGTTAAACGAGCAGCATCTGTTACGGAAATATTCAGATAACCGAGGTTCCTAGAAAATCAATGTTACTTTTTAGAAGCAAAAAGTGTTTCGATAAACTGAATGATAAGAAAGAAGAAATAGTCAGAAATAGTGTCATAATTCCATAAGTACAACTGCTCTGATATGCACATTTGAAAATAGCAAATTTAAAACGTGGTCGAAAGTCATCAAAATTTATCTAATGAAGGTTGAGAGCAAATAAATAGCAATTATAAACCGAAAATTATAAATTTAAAGTATTGCCATGCACCTTGCTTGGAATGCTGTTAACATCTTGATAACTTCTTCTAAATTTTCCCCCGATGTTCCTTTTTCGACTCCAAGGGCCTTCAGAAAGCTCTGCAAGTTATGTGGCTCAGAGTCGCTACCATACTGGGAGGCCACTCCAACAACCTTTTGTGGACTCCTACGAGCTGAATAGTCCTAGCACAAACAAATATGAACGTAAAAGTCTTTACAGCTCATAAGAATTACCCAGCTTTCATGATAATGAGAGAGTACATATTGCAAGGGGCCCAAAAGCCGCAAAAACGTGCCAAAATCAGACGCAATCAGCAATGAAATAAGCGCAACGATGCAGCTACAAAATAGAGAATAGGCAAGTCTCTGTTTCATAGAAAAGGTTTTGAGTCTAAAGTAAATAAATATAGTCTAAACCTTACTCAACATTTATTGATTGCATATGTTCGTGGAAGCTATCCTAATCCTAAAAGCCCTAAACCCTTGCCAATTTGCACAAAAAGATACATCGTATGCTGAAGCCGCAATCCGCAGAAAACCCACTACCAGAGCCATAGGCCACATGTAGAAAAAGGATTGAAGGCAACTAGTACGCAACTCTTGCATAATCACCTTGACTAACATTTTGTAAGACAAAATCATCAACATAAAAAGGAATAGTTTCACAGCTCTAAAATTTTGGTCTTCGCTTAACCTAATAAAACATCAAGTTGATTGCACTAACAAATGAGGGTTTGTCATAAAAAGCCCCAAGTAACAATCATCGGTTTAAATATTTCAGTAAACAGTCGCTTGATACTTACAGGATCTGCGTTTGAAAAATATCCTGGCTTGACTGGCCTTTCCTTAAGAACAGACTTTTTGAAAGCATGGGCTGCATGGCTTGTTTGCGGAGCCCGAGGCGGAGTCTGTGGACGAACGAAAAGTCAGTTAAAGGTGGGTTATAAACATACATCTATTATTGAAATATCCAATAGAAGGAAAGACAATCCAAAAGAAAGAAAAATCTACAATATAAACATAGTCTTGCACGCTGAAGAAGAATTAAGAGCACATAAATCCCTCCTTATTTGCTGCACTGGGTCTGGGTATTTGTCAATAAAAACCACATCATCGACAGGAGAGTTTCGGGAAAAGCCGAAGAGATGTAAAGGATTTAATTTTGAATTATGCCTTAGACTGCTAAATCTCTTGAATGGAAGAACGTAATGAAGCTCTTATTAACGTGTTTGGCTATGGTGATTAAAGATTCCCCACATGGTTGAAAGCTTTAATTAATACATTTACGAAGATGTTATTCATGTCAAAATACAATGGCTATACAACATTTCAGCATCTTTTTGAAAAAATGTCAAAGGAATGCAAAGCAGTAATTTATTTCAATGTCGATAAAACATCAGAGCTGTCAATAAATCTACTGCCTCCAGTAATATCTACTGAATTTATGACAGCCATAAACAAAAGCTGTAAATAAGAATAATTTATGCTAATTATTTAAAGAAAGGTTGGTCTTACAAGTTATTAAGACTTTTAAAATGACCTACCTTTAGAACACCCTTTATCGGATCTTGTGATACCGAGTCGGAGCCAATAGGAAAGGATTCAAACTGTTTCGCTTGTTCTTGATTGGTTAAATCGGATAACGTGACTGGCAGGTCTCTATCCACTCGTCGGGCTGGAGAAGCAAAATTTGAGTAAAGCAAGTATCACTTTTGCTCACAGACAACCCTAGCTGAATATTGGGCCATAAAAGATGATGGTGCAGTTTAGTGAAGGCCCATATAAATATCTTCTCAGTTTTAACAACACAATGAATACTTCTGAATAGTGAATACAACGTTTTAAAATGAGCTCTGATCGTGGTTTGAAATTTCCTGTTTCTTTCTTTTTTATTTTTTCTTTTCTCTTTTTGAATTTGGTTCAGTTAGAGCCACGCCTCGGCTTGTAAAAACCTCACTTCTCAATGATAAGTGCTTACAGGTGCTTATACATTGTATTGCTGCGAAGAAAGTGTGCTTTCGAAATGTAGAGAGCCTTTACGCAAAGTTTGTATTCATCAATCGTGAAAGTTTATCTACTCCAATCTTAGACTCCAAGGCTGGTATCGCTTGTTGCAAAAAATGTGTATGAATAGCAATCCGGATGCGAAATGCAAATCTGTAGATTTTCAAGGTGCGATTTTTCATCCGAGCATAGACTTGAGCATTTTTGGCTCATCCGCTTAATGTAAATGATTCAATTTTCAACAAGTTTATACGGGTAAATACTCACTGTTTCTTAAGTCACCAACTTGTTTCGATACCGCAGAGTTTTCCCGCTCATCTTCATCTTCGGTTGGGTTACCCGGTGATCTATTGAGCAACTGTCAGAAGAAACATTATCTTTTATAAAACCTGTGTATGTTTAGAGTAAGATCATGAGCAAGGGGGTGTTTAGGGGGGGTTTTAGGGTGTGAGGAAATCACTGTTTGTGTTGAAGAACACAGCTGGCTCTCGGCGGGCGGCTCTTTACTTTGACCCCGTTTACACAAGAGTGGATCCGAACCGGATCGTATCCAAAAGAGTACGGATAGGCCTTGCGTTTACACGGGAACTGGTGGATCCGTAAACTTTTTGATCCACTATCCAAACACTTTTAGGATCGCTTTTTTAGATTCATATCGGATTGACCCTTTCTCAGGGCATCAAGTACAACAAATAGCAACCCAATAACAGGGAGTTTTTCGTCATTGAACATTCATAAATAGTACATGCCTACCTCCAGGTAAGCGGCCATAGAGTCAGTTTTTAGGGCATAAAATTTCAGCTGAGCATATGAAGGTACACTTATACTAGAAAACAGACATTATGGTTCATCTCCTTTGCTGTATTTGAGATTCAGCTTACCTTTTTAATCAAAGACGTTAGTTTGGTTTGGCGGGGTTCTTGAGCTTCTTGCTTTTCCTTGGTTGATGTATCAAATAGGCCACTTCTGGTGCTATGATGAAATTAAAGTTGATTCAGATGAACATTGAAACGTCAAAATGCTTGTCAAATGAAGGACTTGCATACAATTCAAACAGAGCTAAAAGCATTGCTACAGCATTGAATAGGACAGTGTATTGTGTTTCTGAGCACCGAAAAGTCAGCAAGCATACGATTGCAAAGTCTATGAATCAAATGATTATAGATATTAAAACAAGTCTCAAAAGTTTATTCGACATCAATTAAGCAAACACAATTTTCTCAAAAGTATGTTTTATATTCTTTCAAACAATATATATGATTAGACTAACGACCAAGTATAATTGAAAATGCTGTAAATCAATGCTGCCTTACAAGTTTGGCAGCTTTGTTGGATAAGAGGAAGATATAAGCGGCCTGGAAAGGTCGGTTTGTTTTCCGTTGGCTGTTTCAAAGATTTAAATTCTGTCTCTAGCCCTATTAACACTGCACAAAGTAAATGTGTTCGACTCGGATTAGTTTTTCGTGGTGTAAAGCAACTAAGCCAGGTTGAAACTAACCTGGCTAGCTTAATCCCAGCCCGGGTTAGTTTGTATAGTATGAATAGGGCTTAAGACCTGGTTCTAGAGTTTCTGGGCGTGATAAAATCAGATTTAAGCTAACTTTTACCAGTCACCAATTTTGTAGACTCGATAAGTCTTAATTTAATGACTTTGGAGATCCTTGATAAATTTCGGATAATAAGAAATAGTAGTATCGTCAGCGTAGATGTTCACATTACCACTTTCTAACAAAAAACAAAGATCGTTGATGTATATCAACAACAAGAGTGGACCAAGGTAGGTGCCCTGAGGAACACTAATTTTATGACAAACCGTTTTCAAACAAGAGGTAAACCAGTCAAGTTTAAGCCCAGTACTCAAACATTTCTAAAGATTTATTTTCAATAGGATTCTTGTATGAAATATTTTTCAGGTGGATAAAAATAAAACCCATTTACTTTCAGACACCAATCATTCGTGTGTGCCAAAAGACAAGAAATTCGTAAGGTCGTCCACTCATCGAAGAGATTATGACAGCAAATGATTGGATTTATGTGGAACGTCAATGCTAAGACTTTCCCAGATAATGCAGATATAATTCATTATCTTCAATTTTCTCACGATTAAATTTCTAGCGCGACACAAATTTTGTGTTGCATCTCTTATCTACGACTTGGTTTATTACTTTTCATGTTCATCTTAGGTGATCTTGAAAATTAAGGATACTTCCCAAAACGATTGCATATTCACACACGCATGCGCAATTTGAAAAACTGGTGCACAACGGACCCGTTCTGGACCAAAGCAAACCACAAACACGGGATCCTTGGTAAACTACAAACACGGGAATGATTCCGCTCACGTGTAAACCGGGTCTTAGAGCCGCACTTACTTATAGTCAGCAGGCTCTCCTTGTGATCCGGGGTCTGATTGAATCCGCCGCTCATCTCCTTGTGTTACCTGAAAAGACATCGAAAGTACTCAGCAAGAACACTCTAAGTGATAAAAGTCAGGAAAGTGAAACACAAGTATTTTGCAGACATTTTTGTGAAGAAAGTTGCTACCACACAGGTGATTTGGTTATTGAAAAAGCAAAGAGGGAACAATTGCAAAGGTGGACTCTCAGTGGGCTTTAAATGATATCCCGGTAGAAAAAACATATTCATGATGCAGCATTTCACCGATAATGAATATGTGATGATGCTTAATGGAAAGGGCTGCGGTACGGTGCTCTTAATATCGTTTGGATAGCTTCATAGACCCACCGACTGATTGCTAAGTATGGTCCTTCGGGATTGAAACACGACTAGAATGACAGAGCAAAAGGGTGCATGATGTAGAAAAGACTGTTACCTAGTAGACATTCTCATACTTATTAGAGTTTATTGATAGCGGGACTTTTGATAGCACCAAAACAAGAAGCTACTTAAACCACTTAGATAGCATAACAAGACTAGTGATGGTCAGGTCTAATATCGTTTGACTCAAGATGTATAGCGCTAAGCATAACTGCATATAGGGCAAGTATCCGCGGTGTTGTTATGAAAGACCGCTCAGTAAAGTCTCACATGACAAAAGTAACTTCAATATTCCTAGAATAAATTTTAGGGTTAAAAATAGCAATTGTGATAATCCTGCCTGGAACCATAACGTAGGTAGAGCATAAGTTCTACGCATTGAACAACAAAATTGAACGAGGAGCTTACTTCTTCCAATCTGTGCTTTAAGAGTTGTTGAATTTGATGCCAGTTGTCAGCTGGCTCGGTCACATCCTCTTCAATCCAGTGACGACGATTCCCGTCATGCAATGCGGGCTTCTGTTCAAGAGTTTCCTGACCCCTGTCGAATTCGTTTCGCGTCAATCGCAACTTGTCGCTGAGACTCTGTAGACCGGACTGGAACTGTTGCTCACGTAAATAGAGGCTATCGACCAAATCCCTTTGCTCCGCAGTGATTCCAGATGTTCGGTTCCATTGCTCTGATTTGTTGTTAGTTTTAGGCTCGAAAAGACTGGTCAAACTTGCCGAATCAGGCATATTTTGAGACAACTTTGAGCTGTCGCCGTAAAACCTACCCATACCCGAAGTAGGGAGGTAATCTTTTGAATGTATGCTGCTAACACTGTCTCGAAGTTTGGCTACTTCTTTTGGCTCAGTCACAGTAGAAGACAGTGGACTATAGTCCATAGGTTTCTCATTATGGAGTGAATGCATCACGAGGTTGTCTTTAAAGCCATACTGGTCTACAGCCTCTGTAATCTGAAACACAAATGTTTTTTCTTAAAGTCACTGAATTGAAAATATGGTAATGATAACCGACTGCATGATTAGAAATTATCATAATAGCTCTACGATCACCAGACTCGTAGCAAAACAAACAACTTTCAAGTTCCTAAAGATGAGTATTCTCGACTTACCTGCACTGTTTGCAAAGCATATTACAAAAGCAAAGATTGCACCGTATGCTGAATACACATCTAGAATATCTTGCTTTGAATCAAGCCTTGTTATATCTTGTAAAGCATGCCTACATTAACGATACTGTCGTAATTAGTTACATACATGGTGGGCTGAAGGCGTCTGCAAGCCACCGGTGACGCTCACCAATGAGACTGCTTCTTGTATATGCTGCTGCATAAGTGAATGTAAACGTCGAGTTAATTCTTTTCTGGAAACAGAATAAGAAAAAGATAGCATAAGCTAAGCTCAAGCAGAGTGCAATTCAAATTTTAGCTCTAAGTAGGTAAACTGTGGCATTTCTTTGCCCTCTACGGCAGGGGTATACGAAATGGGTATGAGCCTTTTGTTTGAATTAAACAAGACTCTATCCTGGGGGCTAAAACACTGGGAGCCAATCAATGAATTTTTAATTCAACTCAAAAGAAAGGTAGGTAAAAGGAAACAGAGGAGCCGAGTCTGCACGCAGGGTGTCATAAAGCTGTTATTAATTTAAGGATATCTTCATGTCAAAGAGCTTATTGTAAATCCTCTCCAGGCACACCATCATCGCCGAATTTGATACTCACAGTGGTTGTTAAACCATCTACAAATGACTAATAATTTTCAAAACCTGTTACGCGGCTTAAGCTCGCTAAAGAAAGGGCGATGGTTACATGATCCCATCCCTGTCACCAAATCACAGTTAGACAGTTTGAAATTAACAAGAGTTTTTGCTTTGCTTGCTAGTTACTATCAAAACCACGCGACTTCGATGGGCTTTGCGAAGTGACGTATGCAAAAGCCAAATCAAATTTAGATAATTGAATGAATATATTAAATGTAATATCGCGATATGTGTTTGAACTCAGTGTCAAATCTGCGAGAACAACGTGAAGCAAGAATAATTATTTTAATTTTAATTTTTAATACATTTTACTATACGTCATAAGTAATCCTCAAATTAAGTAAGGAGAAAAATCAACCTTTGGGCTTCTAGTTTTGCTTTTGAGTCTCGGAGCTCGTGGATTTCGTCTTCTGCTTCAGAAAGCCTGGTCAAAAAAGGGATTATGAGTCGTTAAAACGATAAACTTAATAACTAGTGAATCATTTACGTCTAAAGAAGGGTCTTAGTCACGAAGCTGAAAGCATCTAGCTATTTAAATTAGGAGGGATTCTGAAACGTCATTCAGCAGTGGTAATGGCTGCAAGTGTAATGATTGAAGGAAGGGCCTTATTATAGTTTGATTTCGCTAAAATTGTTGAAATTCATACTTTTATAAACAGGTTTCACTAGGCTGAGACTTCTTGAAAATTCCAGTATCCGTGGACTAGTGACACAAAATGATTATATAATAGCAGATGGCACGATTTAAGTTACAACCGTCTTGTCCTTTACTCAAAAGAGTTTAACCCCCATTGTTGTTCATAGTATGGCTTTAGCAGTGATAACGTACACTGGTTTAGGACTTTTGTCATCAATGAAGATGGTGGATAAACTCAGAAATTCTTACCTCGTCTCGAAATCTCTCTTAAGCATCTCTGTTTGATTTTCTCGCTTATTGATTTCCTGCATAAATAAATAAACAGACTTAGTGTAATTAGAATTATATGCAACTAAGGAATATTAATGTGACCATTGCTGTTGGAATATCAATAACCATAAGTTACCATAATACCATTAATGCTTAGATACACTTGATGCTGCAAAACGTGGGCATTGACTGTGAAAGCATGTTTCAAGAGCAATGGGTGAAAGCATGTTTCAAGAGCAGTGGGTGAAAGCATGTTTAAAGAGCAGTGGGTGAAAGCATGTTTAAAGAGCAGCGGAAGTATTGACAAAGGACAATGTTGTATATCAGTGGAAATATAAAATGCAATGATGAAATGACAGTGAAGTAGAACCGTGTGAACTACACAACTTGCATGAGATCCAAAACTAGACTTGTTAGCCACTCGCAAAGAACCAACATGTGAGAGGATTGCTCAGTGGTTTGGGTTGCTGACTGCAGATGTAAGGGATTGTGGTTCGAGCCCCTGACAAGACCGAACTTTACCTTCGAGGGAGTGGCAAGCTCTCTGTATTCCAAGGCATAGGAATCCCGAGAGATGGTACCAGGTACTACATCGAGAGGAAGTACCAGGGCACTGCTCGATAAGAATAGTTTCTCTGTGTCCAAAAAACTACTTTCGGGTGCTAGGTAGCAAATACACAAAGAAGAACCAAAGGGCTCTTAAGTAGGCTTAAACAACATGATACTTTCAAGTAATACCCAGGGTAAAAATCAGCTGTCGTGTTAAGTTCAGCTGTGTTAGTAAAAACAGTTCATGGTAAGTTTAAAGTTATATATTAGTGTCCAATTTAGTTTTGCTTCTTGGATTCTTCGTTTTTGATTCCTTTAAGGAGGATTGCCCTACAGCTGGTTTTCATAGGGCCCTTTGATAAAAAATAAATAAAATTTTCAAAAAATATTTTATAAAGATATCGATTCAACCACATCACAAATTCTTGTTTACAATATTTCAAAGTACTATATCTCGTCAGTCAATCGTTCAGAGTTAACAATAGGCTTTGCAGAGAGTTTATGATCGAGAAACATTGATAATTAGCCGGTTGGAGACGTAACGATGTGTAGTCAATCGTGTAGTCCAACCAATGGGAAATTGAAATGGCCAGAGAAATGCGTCGGGACATAGTGCCTTCAAGATTTGCATACAGAGAAATTACATTAGCGTTGATGATAACAGCCTTTTCTGTTGGAATGATTGATCGTGCATTTGTATAAACAGCGGACAAGCCATAAACGCTAAAGTATCCATTATCAATGACACCACTTACCTCATGGAATCTTTTCAGCTGCAATTCAAGATCCTCTTTGTGGCGTTGATTCAATTCAAAAATCTTCAAGTAAGACAAACAGCAGTGATAAGCTTCAAATTTTTATTAATACAATGACGGACTCATTCTTCACACAAGAGCAATTAGCAGGGTGCAAGTACTAGCAGGACTAGAAGTAACAGTATTGAAAATTGTAACAAAATATTGCTGAAATATCTTGACATCTGCGTGGCTCATAAAGTGTCTCTAACATTGATGCATATAAGCCCATAATTTTGTATTCCCTATTTCGTTTGTGCTTAGAAGGGCCACTAACAAAATAGGCTTAAATGCCTTAAATAATCCACTCCTCAATAAAAAAGTTTCTATTTCTTTGTTTTCTAATATCCATAACTGTATAGTACAAGGAATGTTTTTCGTTTTTGCCTCTACTGTTTGATTTTCAAGGATCAGTCATAGGAACAATCTTTATGAAACAGAATTCAAACCAAACTAGTTGCTACTAAAGTATAGTTGGAAAAGCAAACAGTACAAATTGATACCTGATCTTTGTGTGCGTTTTTTAATTGGGTTTCTGTTCTCATGATTTCATCTTGAATAATATTGATCTTCTTGTTGAACTATAGAAAGATTAAGAAATAAATAAATTTTGTAACCGAACGAGGTGAAAAAGCTTTGATATTTATAAATTGTTTTGAAGCTGCGTTTCCATTCGATTTCATAAAACTGCAACGGTACTGAAGAGTGGATTGCCAAACGACTTTAAATTAAATTGCTGTACATTACTTTTGCGAGCAATCGTTTAAAACTATGCTAGGCCCTCAAGCCACATCTTTTCCTAAATAGCAAGCATTGAAGGTGCCGAAAGTTCAAGAAGCAGAGATGTCTATACAAACTCCTTAGCTTAGTGGCCTAGAAATGGACGCAGATAGCCTAAAAGATAGAAGAGTAAAAACTGACTGACGGAAAAATTCATTCTTGGTTCGAATGAAATGGTACCACCACAGTTAAAGAGACAATACAACGACCAATGAATTCATTGGATAATAGTTCGGCTTTATGGAAGCTTTTTTAATAAGCTGTGTTTTCAACCGTGTTGCGTTTTACTCAACAAAACAGCTGGGCCAGAAGCAATCAGTGATGAAGTTTAGCGGAGTTCCCAACAACGCTTTTGCTTGATATTGGCCTTATCGAAACTACGCCAGATGTTCTGCAAGGCCAGAGATGAAAACTTCCAGATCGAAATATTGCTGGACAATGTTCTTGTTAAACGATTGATTCCATCTAAGCATGCAGCAACTTTTTCAGAAAAAACGTGTATTTCGGCAAAACATCAAGCTTTTTCCTATCCCCTTGCTATGAATCATTAATGGATCAAAGTTGAAGGTGGTTGCTTTTAACTAAACTGCTTTTACGCTAGCTGGAAAAATATCAAACGAAATCTTCTGCCTTTTTTAAGCTAAAGAGCTGTCTTGTGGTTTTTACATAGTAAGTAATTGACGTCATACGCCTAAAATCATATCTCAAGACTTTGCTAGGCCTCTATCAAAACATTCCCCTAAAAAGCAATGTTTGAAAATGAGAGAAACAGACCTGATGTTTTACGATAAATGAAAATGGGGCTTTTTTAAGTCTAAATGCATTTTTTGAAGTGATCTGGTTTTACCTTGGCAATTACTGCAGTCCTTGAATAAATTCAGCACGAGAAAAAGTAATCTCAAATCCTGGCATTTTCGATTAGATTCGGAAAAAAGGATTTTAGCAGCTTGAATCTCATTAAAAATTTACGTTGAAAGCAAATATCCCATTATCTGACTTTCTTTCCCATTATCTGACTTTCTTCAAATTAATTACCAAAAATATTGAAACAGCGGTTGTTTTTCGACAGTGTGGCATGCAGACGATTCTTCGGCGGATAAAGCCAAGGAAGTCTTTTTTGCCGGCGCGATGCAGTTAAACACAATAGCCACCGGGTCATGAAGATTCAGATTTAGATGTGTTTAAAGTCAAAACCGACGATTCCGGTAAAATGATTGAAGTTCATGACGAAGAGGGAGATCTGTGTTTAGAAACCTCATGTGCGATAGAATTTGAAAAGAAACTTCCAGAAATTCTTCTCAGTTTTAAGTTCATACCGCGTTTCTTTCGATCCGTGCTCAGTAATTCATATTTCATGAAAAAATCACTCGAGAAGAACTTACTTTTTTAGAAGTTCTTTAAGTTAGCGGACAAAAATATAAGAAAAATATAAAAATCTTAATGCCAGAAAACGCTTCAGCTTTTAGCCATTTCAGAATTTAGAAAAAGCTTCAGTTCAGATTAAAATCAAAAAATTAATATTGATCAATAAATGACATCTGCTTTGTAAAGTCGTTTATTTCTTCGTAATTAGAAAGTTTTGTTAGAAATTTCAGTGAAAATTTCTGGATATCGCAAATTCTTTTGTAACAAGTTGTGCAAAAGATACGGCATTTAAAAAAGGTGATCACTGCTAACTGAACCAGTACAGACTGCTTGATACCTTATAGAGCAAGACCGTATTAGATCAGTGACAAATTCCAATGCCTAAACATACCTCTTCTTCCAATAAAGCTCTTTGCTCAAATTCTTGTTTCGTCTGGATAGAGTCTATCTTTGTCTCAAGCAGTGTGACTTCAACCTTTAAACTTTCCTGCAAAAAACCATTAAGATTTCTTTAATGACTCAAGTTTAATATTTCAATAATTTCTCTTCTTTATGCTACCAAGGCTTGGTCACAACCTTTAAATTAGGAAAAGTTACTGATCTACTGGCTTTGCACGTAATAGGATGGTCCTGAGAACGAAGTACGAGCATGGTCCCGAGAACAAGATAATAGAACTTGGACATAGTTTGAAATAAAAGTTTCTTGATACAATTAACGATACAAAAATTATAATCAACGTTCCTTGAACATGTAAAACTTTTGCATTGGTAATGATAACAAGGTTGCACAGATATTAAGTTGTAAAGGAAAAAATAGGGAAATCAGCTTGTTAAAGCAACGTGGCCTTATATCGGTCGCCTCAAGCTTATTTCTAAAGCGCAATCTCCAGTGAGAAAAAATCAGCGAAGTGCGAAAAAAAGTTCGCGCGAAATACGTTATGGGCATGCACATTGGACTGGGATTTCTCGCGAAGAATTTATCTGCGAAAAAAGTTCAAATGAGTTTGACTTTTTTCGCTTTTCGCTTGCGAAATCTTTCGGCAGCCAATCATACTCCATATCATTTTGTCACGCTTCCAAACTTTGCATTCCAATGTCGTGAGGTCAGCAAAAGCATTCAAAGGAATTTTTTCGCTTGAAGTATGTCGCAGTGAAAGTTCGCAAGGTTTTTTCTCACTGGAGATTGGGCTTAAGACTCAAGTAAAACGACGTTAAAGAAACAAATCTACACAAAAATATAGCAAAGATACATAAATGTGACATAAAGAGCAAAATCACTTTTCTCGAGAGAACTTTCAGTTAGTCATTGTTGGGTCCAAAAGACTTTTTTTCATAATTACAAACAAAGTAACAAAATCATGGAGTTCAGATATGGCTAATACAGGATTTCAAATGAATAAATAATTTTGTACACAAAAAGGATTCTTTAACAAAGGTTTAGTAAAACATGGAAAGATGGCTCACAAAGAAAAAAGTTAAGGAACCTAGAGGGATAACTTTATGACACAAAAGTTTCCTTCATCTTTAGCATATGTATATGAAGATCTGTTGGCTTTGCGTATAGAAAAACTCGTTGACAAATAATCAATTGATGGAAAACGTTTTATTACAAGACATAGCAAAATAGTTTCAGCAGATGTTTAAACAGGCGGGTTGTTCATTCGAAGAGAAGCTATTGTTTACAAAGACGATATTAATTAGAAGGCTGAGCACGAATTTTGCACTGAAAATTTTGGAAACAGAGCGATTAATGCATATCTGCTGTGACCTTAATGGTAAAGCTAATTCCAGTCATTAACACGATCGCGAGCCTTGGATGAAGACGTGTCTGATCGTGAGCAGTAAGATATTATACCATACAAATTATCTTGACGCAGTTGCTTCCAGTCACACCATCTTAACGCTGAATCGCTACTAGATTAAATAAAGCCCTGAAAAGAAGAACATTTCGGGAAAGCAAGAAAGGCATGCGAAGCAAAGAAGATCTTTTTAACTAGCAATGAGTTCGGCTTCAGACCGCTCATACCCTGTCACATTCAGAAAACCGTGGCATATGTGAACAAACGAATATCGCATTGTTAAAGGCTGGAGCTATGCGCTGGAATTAATTCAATGAAATTAAATTACTTTTTATGGTGAAAAGTAATCTTAAAATAAGGATTGAGTCTTCGTACGACACAGCAGAGAGGAGATATTTGTCTTTGGGAGACAAGCTTCTTTTGAAAACATAAAGATTATTTCATGAAATAACTCGGAGTTTGATCTGATGACTGGCTGAATTTATCGGGAGTAAACATTGATTACTGTTATCTCTATTGTAACATTCATAGCAAAATGAATATCTCTTGTGGCCACATTGGTTATTACTACGAGAAAACAACGCTGATGGACATAAACATCCTTGCTTGCGCTATAATCAACATCGTGAAAACCCCACCTACAATTTTCTTAAACCTTTTCATCATTCTTACGTCTGACCACAGAAAGATGAAAACAACAACAACAGGCTGTTTGCTTGCAAACTTGGTTATTGCAGACCTATTGATGGGTTGCTTCGTGAGCCCCTGTGCAGCGGCTGAGTTTCTAATGATCTACCTGGGAAAAGACCCTTGTTTTCTATCAAATTTCACTACCCCTGTTTCCTTAATTATCGGAGTAGTGTCGGTCATAACCTTAGCAATACTTGCAATCGATAGTTATATGTTGTTTTGCCATCCATTTAAACACCAGAGGTTGCAGTGTCAGACTTTGATCTACACGGTGCTTATAACCATTTGGGCTTTACCCCTATACCCGACGTTAGAATCAACATTAAACGAGGACATGATAACATTCGACGCATTCGTTGTTTTCCTGAGTGCACTCGTCTTTCCTGTCTACGGCTTCTGTTACGGCAATATATACAAACTAATAAGAAGACACAAGAGGCAAATTCAAGAAGTTACGTCAAACCACCGGCTAAGTTGCACGGCAAATCGCGATAAAAACAGCGTAATATGTGCTGCAATGCTACTAACTTCGACAATTCTGTGCCTTTGCCCTGCCGCAGTGCTATCAAGTTTGAGTGCCGTAACGAGCCGCAGAAACAAACGACTAATAGGCTATTTAACATACTGGGCATGGACCCTGGCGACACTAAATTCTTTAATAAATCCAATCTTTAAGTTCTACCGCCTGGAAAATGTCAGATCAGCTTTCAAAAAGTTTTGGAAAAGAGGCAGGAGACTATCAGCTGCTACACCAGAAATGGATTAGAGTCGAGTTTAAATAGCTGTTAGCAATTTAGGAAGTGGCAAAACTTTACGTCATCTGTTATTAGTATGAACCATAAAGCTGAGACCGGTAAAGTGGCGTGTTCGTCTATAAAGTGAACATAGGCGAAGTGAATATTGGCAAAGTAAATGTAGTACATTAGATACACCGTTGACGAACCCCTGCTTTAAAAAATCATGCTGATATAAGATCATGTCTTTGATTTTTGATTATTAATATCACTAATAAGTAGGATAATTTTTGTTGTAATGAATACAAATTAATCTCTTTCACGTCTTTATTAAAGTTTGCTTCGAAATATAATTGTGTGGCAGTTAAACTATGTAAGCATTGAGTGAGCATCACGAAGCTCGTGAAGTTGAACTAGCCTTCCTCCGAACCTATATGTGGGGTAAAACATTACCCTACCAATAACCAAAGATAACATGAAAATTAGCAGTACATGTCCCTAATTTTCACGAAAAAGTCTGACAGGTCCAATATTACTTAAACAAAGAGTGAAAATGGACATCAATTATAAGGAAGCTAAAAGTCTCCGAAAAATGCAGTTTTTCATTTTAGATATGACGCAATACCACATTAAAATATAACTCTAGACGATTTCAAAATAACAAAAGAAGCTTTCAATTTCTTAGTTCCAAACTAAAATGATTAAAAATATGACCAAGTATTAGCGTAACATTATAGAGTCATTATATTTCGAATAAACAGATCATAGTTTGGTATAAACAGATCATTTTAGCTAATTAACAAGTCATTCTGTTCAACATAGATTAACGTGGTTTAATAATTATTGTTTTTATAAGGATATAATATGCCACATCAACGACTAAAACTCATTATAATAGTTCTGTAGTCAATAATGATTTTGAAGGGCCTTGCTGCTCACTGCTTATGAACTAACGTCACGAAAAGTAAAGATACTAGGATGTAATAAAGAACTGACACACGAATGTCAAACATTGCAAATTCCTGCGAGCCAAGTGTGATGCTCGAGCGCTGTTACTAACCGAGACTGTTGTCTCTAGATTGTCATGTATATGTAGAAATTGTTCACTTATTCAAGTTTCCATATACAACGTGTGACGTTTCTATCTTTTGTTAATACGTGAAAAGAAAGCTAAGCTGAAGAATAGTATGACTATATAACTATTTAACGATATCATTTATATTGTCCCATCAAGAAATATCAGTGGCTTAAAAAGCAGTGGATTTATGCGATGATTCAAATAAATTTCAAAATGACAGAAACATGCAAACCAATAATCGAATCGTGGACTAGAGTGTTTTGTGTCTTTGTGCCATGCCTGGTGCTACTGCAAAACACTACCGTGCCCGCGTGACCTAAGATTAGCTACATTAACAATCCTTCTTCTCAAAGGTGGGTTAAACACGCAAGATGTAACAGGGTTGATTAGGGAATTGATCATTACTAGTGTCCATTCCCAACACAAAGCGTACTCCGGTGCCATCTTTTCTCCTTCAAGGATTCTACGGAAACTATTTGCAACGACGAGAGAGTAGCAGGTAGATATTGAAATGAATATCAAGCCGCCAATGAACACAAGGCTCCTGTTCTTTGCTGCGATTCGTTGCTGACCAAACCGAGCAGCAACTGACTCTATTTGGCGACGGACTTTCCTGGCTTGCAATAGTATCCTGAGGTAGCAGTATGTATTTAAGAGGGTGCCCAATATCACAACAGAAAAAGTTAACCAATGCAAAACAGCAAAGTCTTTAGTGATAACTGGCAGTATGACAAAGCTAACAGATAGCAACCATATGCAAGAGACAGAAAATTTAATCGTCTTTGAGTTAATGGTTGTGCTTTGCGAATACGGGCGAAAAATGTTGATGTACCTTTCAAGGGCGATCAACACAATTGTAAGAAACGATGCATAGGAAAGTATGTATCCCAAAGGTACAGTGATGAAAGCAAAGTTGCAGGGATCTTTTAGTTGGGCAACATAACTGAAAACGACGAAGAGATTCGGCATCACGACCAATCCAGCAAGGAAATCAGTGATGGCAAGGTTTAAGAGCAGTTTATAGCATGGTTCTCTCTTCAAGTTGGAGACAAGGATAGCAGCAATCACAAACAGGTTTAGTAACGTTGTTGGCAATGCCAGGCCAGCATTTATAAAGGCACAAGCTTGACTGTTTGTCTTGAATGTTGATATATTCCAAGTTTTAATACCGTATTGGCTACATGGCAATTTCATCCTATCGTTCCAAACTACACATTTATGCTTCGAGCTCCATAAATTTTCTGCTCGATAACAAAGTCCTCAGAGCGTTATAGCATCTACTGTGGGTGGCAAGGAACATCCACCTGTGGGTGGCAAGGTACATTCAAGCATCTGATGTAGGTGGCAATTGTAGCTGTTTATTTAATCGCGGAAATTTTTTGAGTTCTTTTGAACAATAAGATTATATTTGCAGACAATAAACAGAGATAACAGACTGTTTCATATTCAAATGCCCGGGGGATGAGAAAATTCTTGATGAAAACAAACGAATTGTTGATTTAAAGGAAAATTGCGCATATTGAACAATAGCTCAGTTTGAACAGCTTTTACTCCTGTCAACTTTGTTCCGTCTGATTGATTTTAGCAGCAATGAGCTGATTATTGAGACCATTTGCATGCAGGGTGCCCAAGGATTGGCAAGGGGGCAATCGTCCTAGGGCTAGGCAGCCCTAAGTAGTCAGTTTAATTTTAAAAGATTTTCGCTACATCTATTTTAACTGAAATCGATATCTCTATTTAGGAAAGATGTAAAATGTGTAAAATATTTAAGTGTAAAATGATATATTTTGAATCCAGCAAATTGTACTTTTCACTTATTTTGCAAGCCGAATTTTTAGGGTCAACTGAGGAAATTTAAATATAGTATAAAATTCAAGAGGATCTGTCACGTTTGAGCTGGCAAAAGTCGGTCAGGGCACCAAACAGGTGCATGTTTCTAGAGAGAAAGGTTGCTCAGCAGTGCATGCGTTCAAATTGGAGGATCTGTGAAACCATTTCAAACTTTGTGCCTACAGAAATACTGAGAAAATAGAAATGTATGAAATAACTAAAATTGTGACAAGATGGAAATAATCGTTTTCCGATATACCATTGTCTCACCTAACATTTTTCTTACAAAACTCTTACAAAACTGCATCTACTATCTCTGAATTTCTTGTGTCTGAAAATGCAGGATTCTGCATAAACGGAATCTAATAACTATTACCTCAGTTGTAATAAGAGCAAACCCGAAGACTGTAAAGGGACTAGTAAACTCATTAGTTCAATTTGTTGGATTTACCTCCACCAGGCCGACAATAGAATTCGTTATTTTAGACCCTGTTTACACGGGGAAAATGGGACTGATCCAGTTGGGGATCGATCCTAAAATTTCGCAGACGTTTACACGGGATCGATCCCAGATCGGACCGCACGGCTTTCTAGGCCCTTTTGAAAGGAACAGCCCATCACAAAGAAAATACCGCAAAATTTATAAGAAGGCTGAGAAGAAATGGCTTCGCATTTAAAAGGTAGCAGCAAAATATGTATTTGGAGCGATGAAAAGGGCCCTTCCCCTGAATGTCACGATGGAGTAAAAACATTATAGGTTGGAGCCTGTTTGCTAAATTAATAAATAAACTGGTGAAACTTCCTCGGTATTGTTTTACATTTTTAATCTGGTGGGCGAAGAGGGCGCGCAAGATCGGACCAAATGTCGAAGCACCGTGCTCAAAGTACATCAATCTGGAGAATTGATTAGCCTCGTTTCCTATAGGTGCCAATTTGGGATCGATATCATCAATTTCGTGCGTTTACACGAGGCAGGATCGATCCCGAACTGGATCGATCCCAGACTGGAACGCTCTCTAAAGCGAACCCAAAACAGTACGGAAAGCGGATCGTTCCCGAGCGTTCCCGTGTAAACGGAATGCTGACCCGAACCATTGGGAATCGATCCCGGCCTGGATCGACCCCGTGTAAACGGGGTCTTAAACCCAGATATTTCGGGGAACATTAATTTGAATAACCAAGAAAATTCATTTTCAGGTAACGGGTTAGTATTTATAATGTTCTGCAGTCATATAAGCCAGGGAAAAAAAGGCGGGAAAAGCTTCCCTGCACAAAAAGTAAACAAAAGCATTGATTTGAATTTATGCTCTTTAAAGGAATTCAGCTGAACCCATTGTTGTTGGGATTTATGTTTTTATGAATTTATGCAATTCACAAAAGATTACAAAAATATAGCTTTTTATCATTTTTAACATTTTGTTATTCAATAAAAAGACGGGAATATATACGACAGTCTTTTTAATCTGCTACATTCAATGAACCGAACTAAATTGCAATTAATAAATTTGAATAAAAGATCGTTCAACACAAAAAGTCCTTGGAGCTGAAATGATGATGTCAATTGACATTGTATTTTAATGCGATATTTTGGCAATATTCTTGGTGCTACATCACTTTCGACCAACAGCTTTCAGAAATTCACAGATTTGGTTAACTATTTGTGCCCGGCTCTAGAACCTTTCTCCCAACCCCTAGCCTCCCCCCCGCCCCAATGGGGTTTGAGTAGATCGACAGCGAGAGATTGCGTGCAATACGTATTGAGATTATGAACTGACTAATGATTCTAAACAGCGATTACAATATATACAAACAGGAAGATTATTATAAGCATAATTAGCATAAATTAGTAATTAGATTCCAGTCCTATTACCCTCATACAACACAAATCCAAGATTGCTAATCTTTGACATCGAATTCTACTTTCACACGTTCACTACTTTTTTATTTATGCTTCAACACAGCAAAGCAAATGCAAAGGCTCCATTCCATGCTGTAAATCCCACGCAAAAACAAGAAATGTTTGAATTTTAACCAACAGCAATAACCCAGCAAAGCTGTCCCATCGATTCTGAAGCCAAAATTCAAAAATAACTGGTGTTAACTGATGTGAACGGCAGATAGCTTGCGTTTTTCTGCGATCTTTCTGACTGACTGGTGTACTTAAAAGCTGGACGTACTTGCTTTCACCTTATATCACGTTTGAGCATTTACTTTGCTTGTTCAAAGTACCTACCAACAGGGGCGAAGCCAGTGGTGTAGTGCTATCAAAATAACAAGAGGGGCCCTTGCACAAAATGTTGCAAAAAACAATAGCAAAAGTAGAAACTTCCCAATTTTCAGCATTAACAAACCTCTGGACGAAGCCAAGAAAATTATTTGGAGGGGTGAAAAGGTAATTTTTGCCGACAACAGGGCGTGTATCACTTTTGAAGGGTGTGGTCAAAAGATAAATACTCTTACATGCTGTTTTTATGTGTATTTGTTTGAAAGTTTATATTCTATTACCATACTTTGAAAGTTCAACTACACAGACACTAGAAAGTTCAATTACAATAGTTGCAAAGTAAAGAAAAATTTCTATTTTCAAGACTTCCACCAAGTCGCATTTATGTATTGCTTCATGTCCTAATTTTGAAAATTAATGGAAATTATCTTAAATATGAGCTACATCGTTGTAAGAAATGAATTTGCTAGAAATTATATATGTAAGCGGAGTGTATAGAAGGTAGGCGTGAAGCAAGTTATGGCTTATATAAAGCACAACATTACCAAAAGCATAAAAAATAAAAAAGAACGAGCATAAAATAACCATTTAAGAGAAATCAAGCACATTTCCTGGTAAATGTTAAAACTATCGATATCTGACCTCAGTTAAAATCACATGTTCTTCAAACGGAAGCTTTGCATAGCAATGCTAGTAGTATTGTTCTCTCTGCCCTCCCTTTGAGACATTCTGTTGCCATTTGCTTTGCATGTCCACATTCTTACGATTTTCATTCTTACGACGGGATTAAAAACACACGATATCAGAGGGTTCATAAGCGAATTTGCCATGGCAAGGGTCCATTCCCAGCACAGTGCATAGTCCCAGGCATCTCCACGGATACCTAATACTTTCGCAAGCTTGCTTAAGACAATTGGAGTATAAGATAACGAGAGTGATATTATTATCAAACCACCAACAAAGAGAAGGTTTCTTTCTCTTTGACTCGGCACTCTCCGGCCAAATCGTGCTACTTCTGCCTCTATTTGGCGACGTGTTTTTCGGGCTCGCAGCAAAATTCTTAAATAACAATAAACATTGACAGAGCTTCCGAAAACAGCGACCAACACGACAAACAAGTGGAGTGGATAAGCATTTTTGGTTACGGCGGTCGGAACGACACAGATGACGGAAAAGGCCCATATTACAAACAAAAAGACAATGACAGTGCATGGATTAAATCTTGTATGGTAAACGTAGGGACAGAATATTTTCACGTATCTCTCAACTGCAATAACGGTTACAGTTAGAAATGAAGCTATACCAATAACATATCCAAGTGGTATTGCAACGTTGGAGAATTGACAAGGGTCTTTAAGAAAAGCGATGAGACGAAATTCGATGAAGTGAAAAGGCATGCTAGTAACTCCCGTTAGAAGGTCTGTAAAGGCTAGGTTAAGTAGCAATTCCTGACACGGCTTTTTGCACTCATTTGATGTAACAATCGCTACAATCAGTGTTAGATTTATCAGCGTAGTTGGTAAGGCTAATCCGAGATTTACGAATGAACAAGCTTGCAGATTTGTCTTAAACGACGTTATATTCCGAATCACCAACCCATAGTGCCCACACGAAATTTCCATCGCGGCAGTGCTTCTCTAACGAAGAGCAGTGTGTCGTTACAATACTTGGAGATCAAACACCTTTGCAAGCTATCAAGAATTAACTCCTCTGCAAATACAAGAGCTCCAAATTTTTGAGGCAAACATATACACGCAACACCTGCCTTTTCGGATACATACATTCAAAATAAATCACATGAAAAATTAAAGCCCGCTCTTCTTTCTGCCAATTTTCAATAAGAAAGTGATCTGTTGTCATGCGACCTCAATAGCAAAAACAACTGCTACACTTATGTCTACAGTTACGTAACAAAAGTATTAGAACGATGGATAACAAATTGGCGGCTCCAAAACTAGCATTCTAACATTGATTAAACAAATGATTGAACAAAAACGACCAGAAACAGAACGAGAAGCAATAAAAAATTGGGTCTAGCGTTTCATTTGTTTGCTGAAACTGCAAAAAAGTTTGGTTGCAGCAAGTTTACAAAGCATTTTATTTACAAGAACAGAAAGTTAACAAGGCCGACTAAGATGCAAAAAATGGTAGGCTTGGGCAGGCAGGGAGAAATAGGAAAATATCAATGATTTAGTTTCAATGTCAAAAACACAAAAACGACCAGAAACAGAATGAGAAGCAATAAAAAGTTGTGTCTAGCGTTTCATTTGTTTGCTGAAACTGCAAGAAAGTTTGGTTGCAGCAAGTTTACAAGGCATTTTATTTACAAGAACAGAAAGTTAACAAGGCCGACTAAAAAGCAAAAAATGGTAGGCTTGGGCAGGCAGGGAGAAATAGAAAATATCAATGATTTAGTTTCAATGTCAAAAACACAAAAACGACCAGAAACAGAATGAGAAGCAATAAAAAGTTGTGTCTAGCGTTTCATTTGTTTGCTGAAACTGCAAGAAAGTTTGGTTGCAGCAAGTTTACAAGGCATTTTATTTACAAGAACAGAAAGTTAACAAGGCCGACTAAAATGCAAAAAATGGTAGGCTTGGGCAGGCAGGGAGAAATAGAAAATATCAATGATTTAGTTTCAATGCCAAAAACACAAAAACGACCAGAAACAGAATGAGAAGCAATAAAAAGTTGTGTCTAGCGTTTCATTTGTTTGCTGAAACTGCAAGAAAGTTTGGTTGCAGCAAGTTTACAAGGCATTTTATTTACAAGAACAGAAAGTTAACAAGGCCGACTAAAATGCAAAAAATGGTAGGCTTGGGCAGGCAGGGAGAAATAGAAAATATCAATGATTTAGTTTCAATGCCGAAAACACAAAAACGACCAGAAACAGAATGAGAAGCAATAAAAAGTTGTGTCTAGCGTTTTATTTGTTTGCTGAAACTGCAAGAAAGTTTGGTTGCAGCAAGTTTACAACGCATTTTATTTACAGGAACAGAAAGTTAACAAGGCCGACTAAAATGCAAAAAATGGTAGGCTTGGGCAGGCAGGGAGAAATAGAAAATAGAAATGATTTAGTTTCAATGCCGAAAACACAAAAACGACCAGAAACAGAATGAGAAGCAATAAAAAGTTGTGTCTAGCATTTCATTTGTTTGCTGAAACTGCAAGAAAGTTTGGTTGCAGCAAGTTTACAAGGCATTTTATTTACAAGAACAGAAAGTTAACAAGGCCGACTAAAAAGCAAAAAATGGTAGGCTTGGGCAGGCAGGGAGAAATAGGAAATATCAATGATTTAGTTTCAATGCCAAAAACACAAAAACGACCAGAAACAGAATGAGAAGCAATAAAAAGTTGGGTTCTAGCGTTTCATTTGTTTGCTGAAACTTCAAGAAAGTTTGGTTGCAGCAAGTTTACAAGGCATTTTATTTACAAGAACAGAAAGTTAACAAGGCCGACTAAAATGCAAAAAATGGTAGGCTTGGGCAGGCAGGGAGAAATAGGAAATATCAATGATTTAGTTTCAATGTCAAAAACACAAAAACGACCAGAAACAGAATGAGAAGCAATAAAAAGTTGGGTTCTAGCGTTTCATTTGTTTGCTGAAACTGCAAAGAAGTTTGGTTGCAGCAAGTTTACAAGGCATTTCATTTACAAGAACAGAAAGTTAACAAGGCCGACTATAATGCAAAATATGGTAGGCTTGGGCAGGCAGGGAGAAATAGGAAATATCAATGATTTAGTTACAGCTACAAGAGACTTTTATTTGGCATTGTTGCTCTTTTTCCTGATTCTATTAAAAAGAAAGATGGCCCTGCCTGGGAAAAGGAACAAGATGTTTTCATGAATCTTTAATCGTAAAAGGCTAGATAAGAACATTTACATGTTCTGCAGGAATTACACGAAAGAAGAATAATATGCTAACTTTTACCATTTATTCTCCAAACCAACCACTTTTTTCTGAAAAGACAAAGGATCTGTATTATACTATCTCTTAATCTATATAATAGATAAAACACATAGTATCGATTTAAGCTTAAATAACAGCCAAACAAAATACCTTACAATAACACTTTAAGAACATCGTATTCCAGAAAGATTTGAGAGGTACTTTTCTCCTATTTCTTCCTTAAGACGTTTAGGAAGGATGTTGATAAAACCCGCCTTTGGCATCATTGTTTTTATGCATGGAAGCGATATTTTGTACAACACAGATTTCCAGAGGAGTTCTTGAAATCTTTTATTATGCATAATGCACTCTTGTGATAATAAATAATCTACTTGAATTTGAATTTGAAGTTGGAAATAATGGAAAGAAATTTTCCATTTGAGAGATGAGACTTTAGAGAAAACTTCAGGTGAGTTAGTTTGGAATTGGTATTGATATCAAATGGAAGTAGCTTAATAGCATGAACTAGACAAAGATCAGGTTGCCGACAATATGATCCTGTTTCTTCTATCTAAACTCTATTGTTTGATCAATAGATCAAGGAAAGCTACGACTTCTTCTCACCCAAGCTAACTGTTTTCAAGCGCAGAGAATAGATGGTGCAATATAAAACTGGTAATTCTCCATGCCCCATTAGACCCATCAGGTACATTACTAATCTCTATAGAGGATGATATACTTCAGATAACAATGCCGAATTCAGTACAAGTTAGTACCATCATTATTGAAATGAACTGAAATAGGCACCAATTGGGTAAACAGACGTAGATCCGTACCTTACGCTAGCCTATTTAATTACAAACTCACACTCCGTAAGATCGGAAATGACTGCATCTGTATAACAAGTAGTGGAAATTGCATAAAACTCCTCTGAACCGACTCAGTTGAACGTTACTAATTAAGCTGTAGACAAAGCATTACTAATTAGGCTTTAAATAAAGCGTTACCAATTGAGCTGTAATTAAAGCGTTACTGTAATTAAGCGATCAGAAGATAAGCGATTCAGAAACGAAGACAGTCTCTCTATGTAAAAATAGCAAAGAATACCCTTAAAAACAGAGCTAAAATATGATTAAAAGGAAAACATTGTCGAACTGCTGCTTTCAAAATGGTTCTAATAGTATTAGCTCGGCCATAACAAGAAATTGGCTTTAATCTTAACTTTCAAGAAATATTTTAGTTTATTTTCTAGCAAATTCAAGATTATATTTGAACTTGCGCCAATAAAAATAGCCTATAAGTGTAAACATGTAGCTATGTACATGTAAACTATAATGAAACCACCCAAATATTAAATCTCGTTTGTTAACAAAAGCACATTTTGCAATATACGTGATTCAGGAACGCGTGATTCAAGGCTCGTGAAATCAACTTAAAAGGTAGCAGCAACGAGATGGGAATCTTCTGAAATAATGAATCATTTAATTTACGATCAAGATGACAATGAAAGTGAATATAAAAGCACTAAGTGAGAAAGCGAAGGTGTTGCCAAACTGATCGACACCAGCAAAGAAATACCAGGTTTGGGGTCAAGAAAAGCTATACATTCCTCGTAATGCCATGAGAATTCAAATTTATGTTGATGATCTCTTACTCGCCAAGAAGAATAACAAAATACATTTAACTCACGAAGAAGAATTATTCCAGATTGCGTTGTTTATTTTGAATTATGAATCTTTTTTTAATCACCAGGCGATGTACAATTGTTTGGGAAAAAAGTACTGTTTTCTTGTTAGGGTGTCTTCCAAATTATTAAAGAAAATGGAATGGCTTAAGCGGCGAGTTTACCACCGCCAACACCACCTCTAACAAAACCACCAGCCAAATATGTCTCAAATCAATGCGACTAAGTTTTTAATCTCATGCCTACCAAAACAATGTCATTGTCACTTGCATTTGCAATAATTGTTCATAGATCTAGGTTCAGTCAAAGCTAAAATTCATGCAAAAACCTTAGCACTGTAGGAATAGTTGATCCTGTACAACGAATTCAGTTCAAATTCCAACCGAACAGAGAAAACGCGAACATAAAATATTGCAGCCTGCTACTGTGATTATAAAGGTTGGAGCAGTAAACCTGGCTCCCAGTGTGTCCCTTTTGTTTACATAATGATCCTGTCTATTGTCGTGTAAAATCATTACCGGGGTTTCGAATAAATAGAGGGTATCTGAAGATGCGTGGAAACAAACACTAAAAAGCTTCTAATTATGTTATGAATCGCCTAATAAGTCGAATGGAAAGGATGTCTGAAAACTCACTATAAAGCAGAAGTGTCTTGCTTGAATGTTAAAAACCACTTTTCGCCCACAAATTTCGCAGTGTGAAAATTAAATGACAGCAACTGGGGAGCATGAATGTACCCAACTTTAAGAACGCTAACTCCAACCAAGACTATAATATTGCACAAAATGCAAAAACATATTTACGCCTATATCTAAGTTTAAGAGCAACTCTGTGCCAGCTTGTTATATGCGGTAGAAATTTCCAGTGGTGATAAAAAACACATGGAAACCTCGAATAATTACCAAAAAGCTTTAAAAAAATAGCATATGGACAAGATGTTCAGAATATGGAGAATTGCAAGACACGGAGAGTAAAAAGTTTATTTTCGAGCTTTGCTTAACAAAACGTTAGGACTTCCTCCAACTATACTAGTTGCAAAACACACCGACTGAACATAACCTCTATGGTATCCACTTAAATCAGGAGCAGTAGCACGAGGTGCCAAGGCATTAGTGAGCATTCCTGGTCAGTAAATCTCTCTCGGCTTCCTTGATACTTCATGGGTTCCTGATAAATATTTTGGTCATCTTTCGTATGAAAGTAGATAGGCAAGAACATTCAACGAATAGCAATTTAATGGCGAAAAATTCTTATGATGAAAACAGCCTGCAAATATCCTATTAGATGCATGCAAATTCATTCTATCCTTAGTTAGAAATTTTGGGTAACCTTTGTGTAGAACATAACACGTTAAGACTTTTGGCGCTCGTCTCAAGGGCCAACCCTGGCCAAAACAAAACAAGCTTTAGAGGTAGTTTGCTTATCAAATAATATTGGCTCGCGTTTATATTAGCAATATGTTCATATGCTATACATAAAATAAATATGTTCATATACACGGACATCTATATAAAACACGACAATACGACAACAGAATACTTTTTTATAATGGGAACAGTAGTGTGAAGTGCATGTTCTACCAAGACAACCGTGAGAAAATTGCATCAAAATTCAGGTCATGACACGTAAGGAAATTATTTACAAAACGACTTTAAGAATTGAACAGTCGCACAAACATAAATAAAACATCCAACCTCAAAGGATCTGACTCTGAATTTTACTTGCTCGAACAGCTGTGTAGAGAAACAATAAAGCTGATACTCCAGTCATTAAGTCTGTGATTGTAGATATATGGTTCCAAGTTTTTAGCGCATTATTGTGCGTAAAATTCGTGAAAATTAGAGCAATTGTCTTTTTGCACACAAAGCGAGTGAAAATTCGCACCGGCGGTACTTGTAATGTGAAATAAAGCCTTTCAGGTTGATACAACACATATGGTCATAGCTAAGGCAAATTCCTTTATTGTGCACTGTTGAATGATGATTTGCTGACCCACAGTAATGGCCGCATGAAATTCAATGACGTCATTGCAATGACGTAATTTTCACCGCAGAAAATCTTCTTCATCCGCAAAGCTGATATGAACATTCAGCTATTTTCTATTGCTATTTTCCATTGCAGTGCTCCGCACTATTCAATGTCTGCAATTGCATCCACAGTGTAATATATTCATCACCCGTCCTTTAGCAACAGGGTTGAATGTGCAAGATATAACAGGGTTGATCAGGGAGTTGAGCATCGCAAAAAACCATTCCCAGCAAAGAGTGTAATCAAGGACATGGCTTGTAACGGCGAAAATTTCGAATGATATTCTCGCAAAATAGGGAGAATAGCAGACAAAAAAAGAAATGATTATCAGGCCACCAAGAAACAAAAG